GGCCTCCCGGGCTCCGTTTCCAGCCATGATGTCCTCCTGCAGCCCTCTACCAGTGAAAATGGAGCCCGGGAGGCCATCGTAGCTGGAAATAGAGCCTCGATGAGTGACGTCAAGCTGGCCACGCCCACACTAGCCACGCCTTCACCCCCACCCCCGAGGTCAAACACAACCCTGATGTGGCCCTCAATGAAATCGAGTTTGATACCCCTGCCCTAAACGAACCAAACGATGGGTTTTCAGACAAGGGCGGGCAAAGAACTAGCCCGATCGCCTGGCCCCCCTCATCACTCCTTGCGTTATTTGTTTGTTTGTTTATTCTCCCTTGCTCATTCCAAACCGCTCGTTTTGGTCCTTTCTGTTGGCTTCTTTTCAGGTGCGGCCAGAACAAGATGGACCTGGCCAACCTGGCCATCATCTTTGTGCCCAACCTCTTCTCCGGGGAGATGTCCAGCCAGATGGGCATCAGTAAGGCGGAGGAGCGGCTGCAGAGTCAAGTGGCGGTCACTCGGGTGTTGATCAGCCATGCCTCGGAGATTGGTGAGTCATGGGTACATGGCAGGGGGGGAGAGATTTCTATGTGGGCACCAGCTGGAAAATTGGGAGAGGGGGGAAATGTGGCTTGTGAGTGAAGGCTGACCTAGAAAGCAGGAGTTGGTGAGTTCTAGTCTCGCCTTAAGCATGAAAGCCGGCTGGGTGACTTTGAGCCAATCACCAGGAGACTGGGAGTTCTAGTCCCGCCTTAAGGCGTGAAAGCCGGCTGGGTGACTTTGAGCCATTTACCGGAGACTGGGAGTTCTAGTCCCGCCTTAGGCGTGAAAGCTGGCTGGGTGACTTTGAGCCAATCACCGGAGACTGGGAGTTTCTAGTCCCGCCTTAGGCGTGAAAGCTGGCTGGGTGACTTTGAGCCAATCACCGGGAGACTGGGAGTTCTAGTCCCGCCTTAGGCGTGAAAGCTGGCTGGGTGACTTTGAGCCAATCACCGGGAGATTGGGAGTTCTAGTCCCGCCTTAGGCGTGAAAGCCGGCTGGGTGACTTTGAGCCAATCACCGGGAGACTGGGAGTTCTAGTCCCGCCTTAGGCGTGAAAGCTGGCTGGGTGACTTTGAGCCAATCACCGGGAGACTGGGAGTTCTAGTCCCGCCTTAAGTGAAAGCCAACTGGGTGACTTTGAGCCAATCATCAGGCGACTGGGAGTTCTAGTCTAGCATTAGATATGAAAGCTGGTGGGGTGATTTTTTTTTTTTTTTTGCTTTTTAATTTTTATTTTTTTTTGCATTTTAATTTATATGCCGCCCTTCTCCGGAGACTCAGGGCGGCTTACAATGCGCTAAGCAATAGCCTTCATACTTTTGTATATTTTATACAAAGTCAGCTTATTGCCCCCACAATCTGGGTCCTCATTTCACCTACCTTTGAAAGAATGGAAGGCTGAGTCAACCTTGAGCCTGGCGAGATTTGAACTTGCAGTAATTGCAAGCAGCAGATGTTAATAACAGTGTTTAGTCCACTGTACTACAGGCTCTTTTGGGTGACTCACCTGGAGATGGGGATTTCGAGTCCTGCGTTAGGCATGAAAGCCAACTGGGTGACTTTGGGCCAATCACCAGGCGACTGGGAGTTCTAGTCCCGCCTTAGATGTGAAAACTGGTGGGGTGATTTTGGGTGACTCACCTGGAGACGGGGAGTTCGAGTCCCGTCTCAGGCATGAAAGCCGGCTGACTGTGAGCCAGTCCCTCCCTCTCAGTCCAACCCGCCTTACAGGGTTGTGTTGCGGTAAAAAAAAAAAAATAGGAGGAAGAAGGAGTATTCGGTATACTCGCTGCCTTGAGTTATTTATTGCTAATAAATATAGGATAAACAAACTTAACAAACCAATGCATTTCAAATGCTTTGATGGTGATAAAGTGCTGCCCCCTGTTGTGTTCAGCTGGAATAGCAAGCAACCCTCTCTCTGCATCCAGGGGTCTTTGATACTTGCCTGGCCAATAGCTGTCCAGGGGACACACACACACACACACACACACACACACACACACTTTTCTCCCTGGAAGGCTACCCCAGATTCTACAGCCCTCTCCTTTGCCGGCCCTCCTTTTCATAGAGACCCACTGCTAAATAAATCTGCCAAATTGTGCTGGCTGGAGCCCCCCCCCCATGGAGAACTTTTCTTTGGGATCAGGCAGCCCCCCCCCCCATCCTTTTAACCTTCCGGAAAGCCCTTAAGACCTGGCTTTTCTCCCCAAAAGCTGGCATGGGGTGAGATTAAACAGCGCCACCCATTGGGACCCCGAAAGTCCTCCTTCTCTGTTGCAAGACCTGCCCTCTGGAATGAGGTCCCCCCCATCTCCCCAAATTCCAACCCTGTTAATATTCAGAAGGGTTGCAAAGATCTGGCTTTAGGGGAGAAACCTGCTTTAAAAAAAAACCCTCCTTTCTTCCTTCCTCTGACCCCCACTTAATGTTCTTCACCATCCTCGTTCTTTTGTCTAGTGCGGGTTTTTTTTCTGTTCTTTGCACAAAGTTTCTTTCTTTGGAAATGTTTGAACAACTAGGCGGCTCAGTGGCTAAGACGCTGAGCTCGTCGATCAGAAAGGTCGGCCGTTCGGCGGTTCGAATCCCTAGTACAGGGGGGCAAGGGGCTGGACTAGATGACCTCCAAGTTCCCTTCCAACTTTGTTATTATTAAATGCAACCCACCCAGAGTAGCTAAGAGAAGAGGCGGCATTGCATGTCAATGTAATCTTTAGATTTGATATTGGGAAGTGTTATGTCGTGGGCTGCGTCACAAACCAGATGCGCCTGGTTTTTCGACTTGCGTCTTTGCTGCTTTGCTTTTATCGACCGCGTTTTGTATCGTGTTGCGCGTTGCGACTTCGGCTTAAACTTTTATTGTCGCTTTGAATGCACACACTAATCGGCAGGCATGAAAATGAAATGACTGTTGCGTACAGTAAGTTCGGTATTAACGACGTCGTGTTGCTTCCCTTGGGTTGGGAGCCCCCCAGAGTTCGGTTGAAGATGGGCGGCCATATAAATCCATTTTAAATAATGGCTTGGTTTGGGGGGGACCAGTGATGTAGCAGTAACATAGTTGGAAGGGACCTTGGAGGTCATCTAGTCCAACCCCCCGGCTCACGCAGGAGACCTGTACTAGGAATTCGAACCACCGAACTGGGTGGGTTCTAAATTTTTTTACTACCAGTTCTGTGGGCGTGGCTTATTTTGTGGGCATGGCTTGGTGGGTAGGGGTAATGTGACTGGGTGGGCGTGGCCAACTTTTTTTTTTTTTTTTTACTTTTAAAAGCATTTTTTTCTACAACCTTAAGAGGCTGCAGAAAACAATGCTTTGAAAAGCCTCTGCTGATCAGGCAACTCAGCTGGGATCGCCAGAGGCTTTTAAAGGCATTTTTCTTTTCTACAGCCTCTTTGGCCAAAGAGGTTGTAGAAAAAATGCTTTGAAAAGCCTCTGACGATGGCAGCTGAGCTGCGGGATCATCAGAGGCTTTTTTTTTTTTAAACTTTTAAAAGCATTTTTTCGGCCGAAGAGGTTGTGGAAAAAATGCTTTGAAAAGTAAAAAAAAAAAAAAAGCCTCTGATGAGGTGGGCGGGGTAAGCGAGCGGCGAACGGGCCGGGAACCGGTTCGGGGGCGTGGCCAGCCAATGTTATTACCGGTTCTCGGAACTACTACAAATTTTTACTACCGGTTCTTGCGAACCGGTGCGAACCGGGAGCAACCCACCACTGGAACTGCCGAACTTTCTGATTGACAAGCTCAGTGTCTTAGCTGGTCTGGCGGTACTCTCCAGTTTCACAACGGGGTGTCTGTCCCAGGGGTGAAATCTACTTCCCTTCCCTACCAGTTCAGAAGTGGGCATGCGGGGAGGCTAAAAAACAGGTTACTTCCTGGTTAAAACCAGGGAAGTAACGATGGCCGGGAGGATGGGCGGAGCCTCGTGCTGTCATCGCTACCGGTTCTCCGAACCACCCTCCGCCATCGATACCGGTTCGAACCGGTAGCATTTCACCTTTGGTCTGTCCATTTCCAACCACGATTCTTGGTTATACCGAATGGCTCAGCCCCCCCCCCCAATAAGGGGACAGTGAGGCCGAAGGTGGGCAGTTTGGCAAGGAAGGGAACGGAGCCATTTTTGGTGCATGAGTCAGAGGAGGGGAAGGAAGAGAGCAATCTTGGCTTGTTAGCCCAGGAACAAAGTGTTTTCGTGCAGCCCAAATTTACGGGAAGGGAAAGCGCCGAATGAGAAATTCCTTTCTTTTCTGAAGTGTGTTTGTGGGAAGTGATGCATATATGCGCCTGCCTTGCGTTTTGCCACAGCTTGCAGAGACTTGCATGCCCGCACGCACACCTATCCTTCTTTTCGTGGCTTTTCTTCCGTGCAAAGCCAGCCAATGCGGTGACAGTTGTAAGTGAGAGGACCAGTCATAAGCTTGGATCTAGCAAGCCAGCCCAGTTACGTCCTGCAAATTAGTGCTGCAGGGTATTTTTTTTATGGACGGCAGGGAAGGTTCCAAATGGCGACCACTTGAACCCAGGACATGGCATCAATGGACGGTCATAAATCTGTGCCAGGCGCCCGTCATGTTACTGTGGGGAATGTGGTGACGGTTGTAAGCGCGAGGACCAGTGATAAGCTTTGATCTAACAAGGCAGTTATGTCCTGCAAGTTGTTTTTTTTTTTAAGCCCACAATTTATGTCGCTAAGTGAAACATTGGTTAAGTGAGCTTTGACCCATTTTACAACCTTTCTTGCCATGGTTGTTAAGTGAATCTGGACCCCCCCTGTTGACTTGGCTGGTCAGAAGGTCATAAAAGCGGATCACTTGATCCCAGGGGACAATGCAACCGTCATAAACATGAACCAGTAGCCAAGCCTCATGCCCATTTTTGATCGCGTGACCATCGGGATACTGTGACGGTCGTCGTAAGTGTGAAAAATGGTTCTAAGTCACTCTTTTCAGTGTCGTGGTAACTTGGGACGGTCGCTAAGCGAACTGTCGTAAGTCGGGGACTGCCTTTATCCCCTTCCCCCCATCCTCTTCCTTTTAGGAGAGCTCCTAGTTTCCCATTTGACTTTCAAACTTTAATCAAGATATTATGAAATATAAGTATGTCTATATCAAGTCCAGTTCATACTGAGGGCGATTTTCCCCTCCTGCCTTCTTGGTTTTAGGCACGATTCCTGAGCCCCTCCGGGAAAAAATTCACGCCGCTGTTTCAGACATGGAAAGCAAACGGCGGTTTCGGCCAAGCCAGGAAGAGGCTGAAGTTGGCCACGCCACGAGGAGGAGGAGACGGCGGCGCAGCGTAAGCTGTGAGTGTGCCAGGGAGAACCCAGATTAATGTGCTGCTTCTCATGTTACAGATACAGATGGACAGAGTTGGAAGGGACCTTGTAGGTCATCTAGTCCAAACCCCCCCCAAAGCAGGAGACCCTACACCATTTCTGACAGACGGCAGTCCAGTCTCTTCTTGAAATCCTCCAATGATGAAGCTCCCACAACTTCTGAAGGCAACTTCTGTTCCATGGGTTGATTGTTCTCACTGTCAGGAAATTTCTCCTTATTTCTAGGTTGAATCTCTCCTTGATCAGTTTCCATCCATTATTCCTTGTTGGGCTTTTGGGTGCTTTGGAAAATAGCTTGACCCCCTTCCTCCTCTCTGGGGCAGCCCCTCAAGTATTAGAAGACTGCTCTCCTGTCTCCCCTGGTCCTTCTCTTCACTAGACCAGCCATGCCCAGTTCCTGCAACCGTTCATCGTATGTTTTATCCTCCAGCCCCCTCATCATCCTGGCTGCTCTTCTCTGCACTCTTTCTAGAGTCTCCACATCTTTTTTATAGTGTGGTGACCAAAACTGGATGCAGTACTTTAGGTGTGGTCTTACTAAGGCTTTATAGAGTGGTATTAGTACTTTCCTTGATTGTATCCCTCTGTTAATGCAATTTAGGATTGCATTGGCTTCTTTGGTTGCCGCTGCACACAGCTGGCTCATATTTAATTAGTTGTCCACTAAGACTTCAATTACGACGTTTCCTTTTTGAAAATCCTTTAGGAGAAGAGAGTCTTTGAAAGAGGGAAGGTAGACGGGCAGAGTATTTTAGGACTGTAAATGTTTTTTTTTATTTTTTGGCTTTGCAGATATGGTCACCGAAGCCCTGAGCAAATTCAGGACCTGTCGAACTTTTTGCGTCAGTCCTGACCTGGAAATGAATCAGGGTGAGGATGAATTGCCTTTGAATTTTGATTCCTCCCCCCCCCCCAGGTAGCTCCAGGGTTTAAAGGTGTTTGATGGCAATGGAAAGTGGGTGAGAACATGGAAGCTGCTGTGTGGGTGATCTCTCGGTCCTCATGTGAGGACCTCGGTGTTGCTGTAGTGGCTGAGAGGTTCGGTTTGAGGCTGCTTTTGAACCTCTTCCCACAGAGTCTCAAGATAGCACAGACCTGAAAATATCCTTCGGCTCCAAGCGGAAAGCTTCCGAGGAGGTGGTGACAATTACCGAGCTTTCTATCAAGAAAAGGTGAGATCTTAACTGCAATCACCGATAGAAGAGCCAGGGTGGAATTGCTAATTCGGCTTGGATATATTTTATTTATTTTATTTTACTTTATTTCGAATTTATATACCGCACCTTCTCCCGAGGGACTCAGGGCGGTGTACAGCCAGCTAAAAACATACAATACAAACATTAAAAACAATTAAAAGGATATATATTAATTTGGCCCCAATGTAAAATGACAAACCAGTTAAAAATGTTTTTTTAAAAATGTTATGTTAGAGAAGGTTTGCCTGCCAGTTGCTTTGCAGGATCAGAATCGAGCTGGAAGGGACTTTGGAGGCCTTCTAGTCCAGCCCAGTGGTGAAATGCTCCCGGTTCGGACCGGATCACCCAATCCGGTAGTGATGGAGGCGGGTGGTTCAGAGAACCAGTAGCAAAAATCTTCCCCCCCCCCCCCAATGCACAGCTGAGCTGCGCGATCATCAGAGGCTTTTTTTCTTTTAAAAGCCTCTGCCGATCAGGCAATTCAGCTTGGATCATCAGAGGCATTTAAAAGAAAAAAAGCCTCTGCCGATCAGGCAGCTCAGCTGGGATCATCAGAGCCTTTTGAAAGCATTTTTTTACAACTTCTTCACTGAAGAGGTTGTAGAAAAAATGGTTTTAAAAGTAAAAAAAAAAAAAATTGGCCACGCCCACCCAGTCACATTATCATTTTGCCCGCAGGAGATCGGATTTGGGATTAACCAGTTCAGACCCCTTTGAGGAAAATGGTGGGGATTCTTTTGATCAACCGGCTGACATCACTTCAGTGCAAGGTAATTTCCCTGATCCCACCCCCACCCCCACCCCCACCCCCCATGTCCTTCTATCCAGGACGTAGCATATAGGCGCTGCTCCAGCAGAGTTCGCAGGATTGTCTGGGACGCCACACGTCCTCATCATGACCTGTTTTCCTGGTTACCTTGTGGGAGGGGGCTTCGTGGTACCCGAAGCAGAACATCCAGATTCAGTCACAATTTGGTTCCATACATGCACAGAAGAGGCGTGCGCGCTCACATTCCCGAACCAGTAGCAAAGGTAAGTGCATTTCACCACTGAGACAGAGATAGAGATAGATAGATAGAGATAGAGATAGAGATAGAGATAGATAGATAGATAGATAGATAGATAGATAGATAGATAGATCAATAATGGATGGATGGATGGATAGATAGGTAGGTAGGTAGGTAGGTAGATAGATAGATAGATAGATAGATAGATAGATAGATAGATAGATAGACCGATCAGCGGTGAAATCCGGCTGGATCTATTGGGTTTGCACAAACTGATAGCGCTGCCGGCAGAAAGCTCCACCCACCCGCCAGAACATCATTATGTCCCATTTTTGACTCTCTGCACATGCGCAGAAGAGATGCGCACACTCACATTCCCAAACCAGTAGAAAAGGTAAGTGCATTTCACCACAGAGATAGAGATAGAGATAGAGATAGAGATAGAGATAGAGATAGAGATAGATAGATAGATAGATAGATAGATAGATGGATGGATGGATGGATGGATGGATGGATGGATGGATAGATGATATACGATAGGTACAGTGGTGGGATTCAGCCAGTTCGCACCACTTCGGGAGAACCGGTTGTTAACTTTCTGAGCAGTTTAGCAAACTGGTTGTTGGAAGAAATCATTAGGGCAGAGAACCGGTTCTTAAATTACCTGAATCCCACCACTGGATAATAGACAGAAGATAGATAGGCAGGCAGACAGATAGATAGATAGACACATACATATAGATAGATATAGATAGATAGATAGATAGATGTAGAGATAGGTGGATGAATAGATAATAGAAGATAGATAGATAGATAGATAGATAGATAGATAGATAGATAGATAGATAGATAGGGAGAGGGACAGGATAGACAGGATAGAGAGAGAGAGAGGAGAGAGATGATACTAAATAGAGAGAGAGAGAGAGAGAGATGATACTAGATAGATAGATAGATAGATAGATAGATAGATAGATAGATAGATAGATGATAGATAGGGAGAGGGACAGGATACTTAGAGATAGAGAGATGATATGATATGATATGATATGATATGATATGATATGATATGATATGATATGATACGATAGGCAGGCAGGCAGAAAAAGAGAGAGCAGGAGATGGATAGATAGAAAGAAAGAAAGAAAGATATAGATATATGTACATAGCTGATGATTTTTGTGTTGCTCCAATCGAACCGGTGCTGTTTGGTGTCAGTCCCAATTTTTATCTCAAGGAGGAAGACAAGCAACCCAGGTGAAAATGCTGGCGTGAAAGTTGGATCTAAGAGGTCCTGGGTGTGTGTGTGTGACTTTTCTCGCTTCTACGGAGCTGGCCTTCTTCTTCTCGCGTTCCCCAAGCCTTTCCTTCATCGCCTCTTTCTTACAGGCGGCCCAGAACCTCCAACCGGGAAAATTCAATGGAAACAGAGCAGCAGCAGGAAACGCCCTCGGAGGTGGGTGGGTAAGACTCTGCCTAGAAATATTTACCTGGCTTTGCAAAAGCGGGAAGACCCTTATCTCGACGTATGTATGCAAATGCGGGATTTTCAAATTGAGACTTGCCGCTGCAAAACAGCTTCCTTGGCTGCAATTGTTATCCGCATTTTAGCAGCATGATGCATTTCTGGCATTTCGGAGACCAGGTGTCAATCACCTGGTGTCAACCATTGTTCTGATAACCCTCCCCCCCACACACACAATCTTGCAGTCCCCACCCCCCAGGTGCATTTCAAGTTATAAGTCATAAGTCATAAGTTTATTTTGTCAAGCATATATAAGATAACAGGTAAAAGTAAAATCATAATTTAAATACATGAAAGGAGTAAGTAAAAAGAAAGTTTGTGCCTTTCTCCCAAAGGTGCTTTTTCAAAAGGCCGCTGGACTTTCTTGGCTGTTTCTTTTTTTTCCTTGAAAACGTTTCGCTCCTCATCCAAGAAGCTTCTTCAGTTCTGAACTTCAAATAAATTTTCAATGGGGGAACAAAACCCCAAGAAAGTCCAGTGGCCTTTTGAAAAGCATCTTGGGGGACAACCATGACCTGGCGGCAGGTGGTTCAGAGAACCGGTAGCAAAAATCCCTGCCCCCCCTCCTGCCGCCATGCCCAGCTGAGCCGCGCGATCATCAGAGGCAGTTTTTTTAATTTTTAAAAGCATTTTTTCTACAACCTCTTCGGCCGAAAAAATGCTTTAAAAAGTAAAAAAAAAAAAAAAGCTTCTGATGATCGTGCGGCTCAGCTGGGATCGTCAGAGGCTTTTAAAAGCTGAAGAGGTTTTAGGAAAAAATGCTTTTAAAAGCCTCTGACGATCCCAGTTGAGTTGCCCGATCGTCAAGAGGCTTTTAAAAGCATTTTTTTCCTGCAACCTCTTTGCCGAAGAGGTTGTAGAAAAAATAGTTTTAAAAGTTATAAAAAAAAAGTTGGCCATGCCCACTCAGTCACATTACCCACCACCACCAAGCCACGCCCACAAATTTTCCATTTCACCACTGGTCCAGATAGCACGATCTCCTTCAAATCAGATGCCCATGTTGCTCTATTTCTTAGCAACACGGTTGTTAAGTGCCAACCCCCCCCCCCCAAACCCCCTACCCTTCTTTTCTTCCAGGAAGTCCACTACTCCTGCCTCCCTCACTGAGAGGAAGCAAATAGGCCACAAATCCTTGAGTATCTTCTCTCGCAACAGCAAAGACCAGGTGAGAACTCTTGAGGGTGTTGCTGGAAATCACAGGCGGTTAGTACGTAATTTTTTTTTCTGCAGAGCTGCCACAGTTGTGCTGGACTACAATTCCCAGGATCGCTACCAGCTGGTAACAAAGAGTGGTGTATTCCAAAATGGCTGGGTGTGTGTGTGTGTAGTTTAAAATGTCACCTCAGTAGGACAGGTGGTGACAACCATCTTTAAGTGGAAGGGTATTGTTGTGGCCTGTTGGCCGCCGGCCCCTCCAGCAGCCAAATCAGAGGAGGAGGAGGAGGCATGGGAGTTGGGTCAGCATCAAGGCAACCTGAGAGCTCCGAGGGGGAAGAGGGAATGGAGCTGTCGGAGAGAGAGGGACAGAGGCAGAGCCTGGGCTGTCCATCAGCCCTCAGATGGAGAGTCAACAGCCCCCAGGTCTGGAGGTGGCTGATGAGGAGGAGGAGGAACAGCTGGATCCAGTGCCTGACACACGGATGCGCAGAAGGCAGAGGAGAGGAGAACAGTGGAAATCTATGGGCCAGTCCTTGGGATGGAAGAGCCACTGCTGCTAGTGAAGCCCCACCCTAGCTCTGGGGATAAAAGGCAGGGGGCGGAGATGAATAGATGTGGCAGACAACTATTCATCTCCTTGCCGGACAGACTTGTTAGCCTGCGGAGAGAGAGAAAGAGAGAGAGAGAGAGAGAGAGAGAGAGAGGGAGAGAGAGAGAGACTTTTTGCCAGGGCTGCTGGGGCTCCTAATAAAGGAATCATTGATTTAACTTCAGAGGGTTTGTCGTGTTTGGGGAGCTGGGTCAGAACAGGTACATGAGGTTAAAATGCTGGGCTGATGATCAGCAGGCTCGTGTTCGAAACCCGTTGCTGCCACCGGCTGGGGTGAGCTCCCGTCACTTGCTCCAGCTCCTGCCAACCCAGCAGTTCGAAAGCAGGCGATCACAAGTAGATAAATGGGTACCACTTCACTGGGCAACTTCACATGAAAGGACATGAAAGGACCCCCCCGCCCCAATTACGTATTCCCCGGGCAATGGTGAAGCTGCGGGCAGATCCTTTCACCATGGAAGCACTTTGGGGCTTCTGACACGGAAGTAGTAGTGGTAGTAGTAATTTTCACGATGGGTGGACCAAACTAGAGATAGTACTACTGGATTCATTCAAAGTTGTTCCTTTTTCCGGCTCTCATCCCAGCAACCCCACTCCCTCTCTGCCAAAGGAGCAGACCCCAGTGGATGGTTCCCGCTGAAGAAGAGGAGGCAAGATGCAGGAGACCTCTCCATGATCCTGCCTCAGTGGGAAGGATCCTGCCTGCAATCCTACAAGGTCCAGGAAGATCAAAGAGGTATGCTTGGTTGAGGTGGACCCTCTTGAAGGGGCTACCAAGGAGAGTTTCCATAAATGTGGTTTGGAGAAGGATTGTAAAACAGCTGTTATTTTGGATTCGTTTGAAGGGACTCCAAGCTGTTCAGTCGGTGAAAAGGCAAGTGCTCGCGTCTCCTTGAACCCGAGGGCTTTGGAGGATGTGAAATCCAGAAGGCCCGCAGAACCAAGGCCCTATTTTGAGGTACTCAATTCTCGGCAGAACGCAGGGACCCCCCTTGGAAAGAGAGGGCTGCTGGCGAAGATGGAGGCCCTGGCTGAGACAAGTAGGCAAGGCATCGCTCTCGCCATGTGCCACAAAGCTCTCCGGCGATCTCTGAGCTGGCCGGAAGAGCTCTCGTTGCGGGATGCCATGGATGAAACCGATTTCTCTCCAGATGAAGCTGCCGCTAGCCCAGGAAGGCAGGAGGATCTCGGGCCAGCTGAGCCGTCTCAGCCTGGCATGAAAGAAGTCGTATCAGGCATGAAACAACTCAGCCTTCACATGGTGCGCGCGGTGCCACCAGAGAGGCCCAGAGCTGGTTGTTCGGGAGACGAATCTTGCCATCTTTCTCCGAAGCTGTTTCCATCTCGGTCGGAAGCGTTGGAGGCTGGTGGGGGTCTCGACAGTCAAATCCCCCAAACTCCCGCAGGACAATTCTCCCCCAACCCCCAACGGGCTCCACTCCGGTCCAACGAAGAGCCCCAAATCAGCATCCTCCTCGGTTCTCCCAAACCCAAAAGCAGGCGCCGTTTTGGACGGTCGGTGAGCCACGAGAGTGGCCTTCCCTTGCAGGGCGAGGCCTCCAAGGGAGGGAAATCCAAGACGCCCCTGCAGCAGCTCAAGGCTTGCGGCCGGCAAATCTTCATCACCCACAAGCACATCCGGAGTTCATTGGCGGGGCTGTGGGGCCGAAAAGAGGGATATGGACCCACGGGGGACCCCCCAGACCAGCAGAGCAGCCTCCTGTTGGAAGATCACCGGATGCCCCAGAGCTGCCGTTCCCCGCAAAACCCCGCAAGGGAGTTGTAGATGATGATTAATTCACGATGCTCCGATTTGTCAACACCGTCCCCGACATCCACGCCGGTAGGAGCCACTGATGTCTGTTTGGGGCTTGATTTGCCATTAGTTGGATCTAAATTTGAGCGGGGGGGGGGCAGGCCAAGGAGGGCTTTGATTCTGCTCCAATCCTGCGGGTGGCTGATGGCGTGCGTGAATCCCACCTGTCATTTTTCCTTCTTTAACAAGGTAAAAAGGTTGACACGGCTAACCTCCGTGAACCTCCTTTCCTGCCGTGTGTGGGCAGGTTCCCCCCCCTGGCAACTCTTGGTGCTTTTCTCTGCCTTCGTTATTCATTTTATTATGCCTCCCCCCACCCACCCAAAAAAAATAAAGTTTTTGACTTGCAAGGCGGGAAAGGGCTCCCAAGGCAGCGCGTGAAAAACCTGGGGAGTTTTCTGTTTTGGGCTACGTCTGCTTTCCCCTTTGCAGTTCATAGCTTCCCCTTTCTTTGTCTTAAAAGTATGAATCGCTGGAAGAGCAATAAAAATTCACGACGACGTCAAAGGTTTCTTCGTTGATTTTGGGGGGGGGGGAAATTACGTCTTGAACATTGTGCAGTGTTGACAGGCGCCCTCAAGGGGGCGCCAAGAGCCTTCCTGATGGCCAACAATTGTAGCCTCCTACTTCTTTTTAATTTCTTCGCTGTGTATTTGGTGTGTATGTGTGTTTACTTGCTCGCACGCTGGGTGTTCGGCAGTACTAAATAATTAAAAGCAAGAAGTGCCATACTGCTGGCCTGACCTTCTCCTCCTTAAGCTGTTTTTAATGAGCTTTCTTTTTTTAATTGCCCGTGGTCGCATTTATCTTTGTTAAGAGATGTCTCGCCCAAAGAACGCCAAAACGCACAACCGGCTGCGAGATGAACCTCGCCGTTGTAGCCTAAACCGGAGTTTTTACAACCCTCTTCGTATTGATTTTATTCATTTCTTGGTGCCCAATCCTTTCTAAGGCTGGGGGTGTTTGGAAACGCAGGAGAAACGCAGCCAAGTTACGTCGACATAGGCAAACTTCAAACGGAAGTTTGATGAGACTTAAAACTGTGATGGTCGCAGTCGCGTTAGCTAAGGCTTCTCTTTAACGCTGTCGATTGAGGCAACCCCTCCAACAGATAGTTTCGAAATGCAGCAGCAGAGGAAAGTGATGTTAAAGAAGGAAATGTTCAATAATTTGATATGGATAGACGGTTCAATCAAGATTACTTCCGGGATGAATGTTTTTCTATCTATTTGTCTCCCACATTTCTTTCTTTTTTTTTAAAGCAGCTCAAGGTGGAGAATGTATCTAACAGCCCTTTCTACTTCTGATTCCCTACAACAACAATCCTGTGAGCTGGGTTGCGTTGGGATGGGATGAGAGAAGAGAGGGACTGGCCCAAAATCACCCAGCCAACTTTCATGCCTAAAACGGGTCTAGAACTCACAGGCTCCTGGTGATTGGCCTGGAGTCTCCCAGTGGGCTTTCATGCCTAAGGCAGGACTAGAACTCACCATCTCCTGGTGATTGGCCTGGAGTCTCCCAGTGGGCTTTCATGTCTAAGGCAGGACTAAAACTCACAGTCTCCTGGTGATTGGCCCGGAGTCTCCCAGTGGGCTTTCATGCCTAAAGCGGGACTAGAAACTCCCAGCAACCCAGTTTCTAGCCTGTATTGCTTAGCGCGTGGACTAAATTAGCTTTTATGAAATAACCCAATTGCTATCTTCACAGATTGCACATAAGCCAAATTAAAATCATAAGCTGGCTCACACAATTTACTAAAGCCACAAAGCAACCAACTATATACATTTTACCACGCTCATGAGTGTGTGAACCCAGCCATTCCATCCTGGGCTCATGCCCGACCTCAAGTGTGTGCAAATGACACGGCTGTTTGGTGCTTTTAAAGTTTCAACTGTTTCATCGGAGAAATTTGTAGCATCTTCCCAATTCTAGCTGTCTCTGAGTTGGATGCAACAAGCTCGCCAAAAATGCATTAAAAACGGGTGTAAATAATATAAAACTGGTATCTTCAAGGCACTGTTCAGTTACAGTACAGGTAGTTCTCGACTTACGACTGTAATTGAGCCAAGTGATTGCTAAGCGAGACATTTGTTCGGAGTTTTGTCCCGTTTTTACGACCTTTCTGGCCACCGTTGTTAAGTGAATCATTGCAGTTCTTAAATTAAGCAACTGTACTTCAGCAAATCTGGCTCCCCCACTGATTTTGCTTGTCGGAAGTTTGCAAAAAGTGGTCACAGACCCAGGACACTGCAACCGTCAAAAATAAGTGTACCTGCCAGTTGCCAAGCCTCCGAATTTTGATCACGTGGTCACAAGAATGCTGCATTGAAAAACGCTCCTTACGTCGTTTTTTTTTCCAGCGCCATTTTTAACTTCAAACGGTCACTAAACGAACTGTTATACGTCAAGGACTACCTGTAATCCAACATCTACTTTGGCCTGTCTCTTGTAAATACACCAATAGAACAAGGAATATATTTCCAAGGCAGTGGTGGGTTTCAAATTTTTTTTACTACCGGTCCTGTGGGTTTGCTTGGTGGGCGTGGCATGGGTGGGTGGGCGTGGCAGGGGAAGGATACTGTAAAATCTCCATTCCCTCCCCACTCCTGGGGAAGGTTACTGCAAAATCCCCATTTTTCTCCCAATCAGCTGGGACTCGGGAGGCAGAGAATAGATGGGGGCTGGGTCCGGTCAGAGGTGGTATTTACGGTCGTTTGCGAAACTACTCAAAATTTCCGCTACCGGTTCTCCAGAACTGGTCAGACCTGCTGAAACCCACCTCTGTTCCAAGGTGAGAAACATTGCATAAAATGCGTCCTGCTAAATCGCAAATCCTGCAGACGTGCAGAATGGATTTGTTCCTAGGGTTGCTAAATTTGCAGCCTCGTGCGATATAAAAGCCGGCGTCTTCTTTTGGCTAATTAATTGAGTCCTTTTTAAATGATTTGCCCTCTTTTTTCCCCCCCTCTTCCAATTGAATCCTGAATCCAATTTTCAGAGGGGAAACTTTGCTTCCTAGTCAAGCGAGTCAAACGAAGTCAAGCCCGTCGGCGTACAATGAATTTAGAAGCCGGAGTGTAAAGAAACGAACAAGGATTGCGCTATATAAAGCACTCCAAGGGAATTAATTTAATATCCCGAGTCTATAAAAAGCGGCGATGCGTTGACCCTGTGATTCTTTCTTTTCAGACTTTTTTTTTCCCCTCTGTGAGATAATGTTTTGGTTTTTTTTTTTAAAAAAAAACAAGTTTCTATTTAATTAGCACTCCTGATTTAAGTGAGACACATTTAATCGGGGTGTCCAACCTCGGCCCTTTAAGACCTGTGGACTTCAACTCCCAGAATTCCCCAGCCAGCCATGCATTTTTCCCCCCCATGCTGGCTAGGGAATTCTGGGAGTTGAAGTCCACAGGTCTTAAAGGGCCGAGGTTGGACACTGCTGGTTTATATTTTTCTTACCAGCCAAAATATTAAGGGAAAAATGAGGAAGGAGGATTGTTGTCTGGCTGCTTTCCTTCGAAATTTTCCAAAGGTGGATCGTTCTGCTATCGCCTTGGAGAAACCTTTCCTGAATTATCCGATGATAGAAAATATTTCGGGAATCCCTCTAACCTGTCTGTCTCCGATCTGATAGGAATCTCTACCTATTAGTTGCAAAACTGAAGTGCAAAACCTCCTGCCTAAGCAGGGGGTTGGACTAGAAGACCTCCAAGGTCCCTTCCAACTCTGTTATTCTATTCTATTCTTAACTGCAGAAACTCTGCACCTCCACTGGCCCTTAGAATGGGAAAACGACTCCTTTTTATCTGGAAAAGTATTACACAATAGCACGGATTTTTTTTTAAAAAAAATTCTTAGCCTATTTACATCAGCAGGAAAGCGGCCTGCAAAACCGCTTGTGAGGGCTTGAACGCAAATAGGGAGTTCGGTCAAACCGAGGTTTGTTTTTTGTAGTTTGCAAAGGGAGGCGGTTAACCCTGCAGTTCAAATGGCCACTTTAAAGGCTTTCGCGGAAGGTTCCTGCTGCTTTTAATAGCTTTGCTTTGTGAATTTTTTTTCCCCCAAAAGGATTCATTTATTTTTATTTATTTTTTTTAGCCCAAAAGGGCCAGCTTGCTGAGGAGAAATTCACCTCAGGTTGTTGTTGTTTTTTTTTAAATCACGGTTTAAACTGAGCAGCTTCAAATCCTACGGGGTCCGTCAGAGGCATTAAACGGGGCAGATTTCCCAATATAGTATCCGGTGCTGCCGCGAGAATTCCCGGTTGACTTGTGGGGATGACGTGACCTTGGGACGGTCATAAATGTGAGTCAGCTGTCCGGTATCCGAATGTCAATGGCGTGACCAACGGAGGGGGACAGCAGCAACGGCCATAAGTGTGAAAAACAGTCGTCGGTACGGTTTCCCCCCCCCCCCGTGTCGTGGTAACTTCGGTCACTAAACGAACTGTTGTAAGTCGAGGACTACCTGTAAAGCTCGGGCATTACGGGGCTGGTATAACCATGGTTTAGAGCCTGTGTGACTAACCACCAATGTCAGTTATTTATTTATTTATTGGTTCGAATTTATATGCCACCTTTCTCCGGAGACTCAGGGCGGCTTACAATGTCTTAAGTATTGCAAGTAAATATTTATTTATTGTAAGTAAATTTGCAATTGAGTCGGGGGCTGCAAAAGGAGGGAGACCCCCCCCCCCACAATAAACGGAGGAGAGCCGACAGGTGGAGGAGCAGCTCCCATGCACCTGCTCCCAGCAGCAGCCACACCCCGCTCGGGATGCTGAGCCACGATAGACTGCTCCTGACCGGGAGGCTCCACTGGGCGGCGGAGAGCCTGGCGGCGGCCGTCTCCCCTCCCTCCTCGTAGGGGCGGGCCGGGGGGCGGGGACGGCTGGCCGGCTGGGGTGCTGCCGGAGCCGGGACGGCCGGTTAGTGTCTCCGCAGGAGCTCCCGGCTGCTGCGTCCGCAACACCTCGGCCGGCTCCCGCCGCCAGCCCAGGCCGCGATCCCGCCGCCCAGCCCAGCCCAGCCCAGCCATGGCCGAAGGAGGCGGCGAGGGGGAGGACGATGTGCAGTTTCTGCGGACGGTGAGCTGGGCTGGGGGGCAACGAAGAGGAGGAGGAGGAGGAAGGCTGGAATGGGGGTCCAGGAATTGGGGGCTGTTGGGGTGGGGAGTGAAGAGGAGGAGGAGGAGGAGGAAGGGGTCAGCTGGAAGGGGGGGTCCAGGAATTGGGGGAGTGGGCTGGGGGGCACCGAGGAGGAGAAGGAGGAGGAGGAGGAAGGCTGGTGGAAAGAGGAAGGGGTCCAGGAATTGGGGGGAGTGGGCTGGGGGGCACCAAGGAGGAGGAGGAGGAGGAAGAGGAAGGCTGGAATGGGGGTCCAGGAATTGGGCGGTGCTGGGCTGGGGAGTGAAGAGGAGGAGGAGGAGGAAGGGGTCAGCTGGAAAGGGGGGGTCCAGGAATTGGGGGGAGTGGGCTGGCGGCAGCAACGAAGAGGAGGAGGAAGAGGAAGGCTGGTGGAAAGAGGAAGAGGTCGGCTGGAAGGGGGGGGGGTCCAGGAATTGGGAGAGTGGGCTGGGGGGGCACCGAGGAGGAGGAGGGGAGGAAGGTGTCAGCTGGAAGGGGGGGTCCAGGAATTGGGGGGAATGGGCTGGTGGGCAACGAAGAGGAGGAGGAAGAGGAAAGTCTGGTGGAAAAGAGGAAGGGGTCAGATGGAAGGGGGGTCCAGGAATTGGGGGCAAGGGGCACCAAGGAGGAGGAGGAAGGGGTTGGCTGGAAGGGGGGGTCCAGGAATTGGGGGGTGCTGGGCTGGGGAGTGAAGAGGAGGAGGAGGAAGGGGTCAGTTGAAAGGGGGAGGTCCAGGAATTGGGGGGCAGGGGGCACCAAGGAGCAGGAAGAGGAAGAAGGCCGGTGGAAGGAGGAAGGGGTCAATTGGAAGGGGCTCCCAGGAATTGGGGGGAGTTGGGCTGGGGGGCACCAAGGAGGAGGTGGGGGTCGATTTGAAGGGGTGTCCAGGAATTGGGGGGGCACAACGGAGTGAGCCAAGCCAAGGGCAATGCCAGCTCGCCTGCCTGGAGTGCCCCCCTCTCCCAACACGCCTAACAGGGCGAAAATCGTCCCTCTGGGCTGTGTGGAAAAGGGGGCTCTTAGTGGGGACCCCCAGTGGAGACAATCAGAGGAAAGCAAAGTGAGGTGGCAGAGGAGGGAGGGAGGGGAGGGAAGGAGGAAGGCAGGGAAGAAGGTCAGATGAAAGTTGGGAGTAAGAATTTCCCCGTCGTTCCTCAGTGTGAACTGTGAACGCGAGACGGACACATGCTGGGTCTTAGTGCGGTCTGGGGAGTTGGGTGGTTGATGCCCTTTGGCTGAAGGAGAGCTTTGGTTTCCCTGCTGGGGGGGAGATGGATTTTGGGGGTTGGGGGCTTTTAATTGAAGTGATCCCACCCTCACCCCGCCTTCTTTGGGGACATGGCTGGGAAAGAGTTGGTCTTCTGGGCCCAAAATTTGGCCAACCTAGAGGAGAGGAAGAGCCAGGGAGGGAGGGGGTCACACAGCCCCCTTGATATCTGGGGGGTGGGCCTGCCTACTTAGCTTCTTCATGGCCAGGCAAGAGTTGGGGGGGGGAGAAACAATCTCCCTCATCTATCCCCCTCTGCCCGCATTCACACAACCTTGGGGTGGGGTGTCCTCTCTCTCCCGTTCAATGCCAGCAGCCACAAGGAAGGCATTTTTGTGCCTCAATTTTGGGGAAGGGGGCCTGAAGAAGCTTTTTGCCAGTTGTGGTCGTTCTTCCACTTTTGTGGGAAATCAGCTGGGTGGGTTTGGGAATAACCGGGACGGGCAGGGCCGATGAAACACAAAGCAAGACCCAGAATACCGTAATCCGGAGCAGCCATGGCTAGGAAAGGTCTATCTTTTTTCCCTTCCCGTTGAAGTTTTGGCCTCTATTTCTTTCCCGCGGGGGCTGAGCGACACTAAAATTAGAGCCCGTTCCTATTCCAAAGCGGACGGATCCTGATCGGCCCAGCTGGCTGAGAACAGGTGGCGTTCTTGGGACTTAGTGGAGGGTGCTGGGTTCGACTCGGCTTTCTCTTCCTCTCCTCCTCTCCTCCTCCCTCCTCCTCCTCCTCCTCCTCCTCCTCCTCCTCCTCCTCCCTCCTCTTCCTCCTCCTCCTCCTCCTCCCCTGAGACAGGCATGTCTTGCTGGACCTTGGATGGCCACGGAGGAACCTCAGGCCTGTCCTGTCCTGTCCCCCCACCCAATTTGCATCTATCCAAACTTGTGTTCTCCCCCATTAACTTGGATAACTGTTTGCTCCCCTCTTCCTCTGGGGTGCAAGCTGAGAGATGCCTCTTCCATGGGGCAGGGACCTCTCTGCTTCTGGAAACCTCAGAGGGGCCTGGAGAGCTTTCAACAACCGTGTCTCCAGAGACGGGTCGCTTGCGAGCGGAAGGGCACGTGCGAATGGACACAAGGGCACATTCAGGACAGGTGTTTGTTCCTGGCCTAGATGCCGTGGTGAAGCTGAAGGTTTTTCCCAAGCCTGATCTCGCCAGGTGATCTGTCCCATCAAGTTGATGTAGCAAGAGTTTCTCCCAAGGAAATCGGCCCCTCTCTGGGCTTTCGGGTTTTCCAGCGTTGCAAGGTCGTCTGGTTGCGGTCGTCTGTGGAGATGCTCGAGGCATCCAGGACACGGTTGCCCCAAAGGGGCTTTTCCAAAAAGGCCACTGGATTTTCTTGGGGTTTTGTGGTTTTTTTGGCTTGAAAATGTTTCGCTTCTCATTCAAAAACCTTCCAGAACAGAAGAAGCTTCTTGCAATGGAAGAGTGAAATGTTTTCAAGGAAAAACAAAACAAAAAAACAAAATCCAGTGGCCTTTTGGAAAAGCAGCTTTGGGACATTGCTGTTATTAAGGCCCTTCACCTTCTTTTTCTCCCCCTCCTCCTTTTCCCTTCTCCTTTTTTCCTTTTTTCCTTCGCCTCCCTCCCTCCTCCCTCCCTCCCTCCCTCCCTGTGCCCTTCCTTTCCCTTCCTTTCCCCTTCTTCCTTCCTTCCTTCCTTCCCTCTTCCTTTTTTCCTTCCTTCTTCTTCCTTCCTCCCTCCCTCCTTTCTCCCCCTCCCTTCCTCCCCTCCTTCCTTCCCTCCCTCCTTTCTTTTTCCTTCCTTCCTTCCCCTTCCTTTCCCCTTTCTCTTTCTTTTATCTTCTTCCTTCCTTCCTTCCTTCCTTCCTTCCTTCCTTCCTTCCTTCCTTTTTCCTTCCTTCCCCTTCCTCCCTCCCTCCCTTTCTCCCCTCCCTCCCTTCCTGCCCTCCTTCCTTCCCCTTCCTTTCCCCTTTCCCTTTCTTTTATCTTCTTCCTTCCTTCCTTCCCCTTCCTTCCTCCCTCCTCCCTCCCCTCCCTCCCCTCCTTCCTTCCTTCCTTCTCCTTCTTTCTTTCCTTCCTCTTCCTTCCTCCCCTCCCTTTCCCTTTCTTTTCCCTTCTTCCTTCCTTCCTTCCTTCCTTCCCTCCTTTCTTTTTCCTTCCTTCCCCTTCCTTCCTCCCTCCCTCCTTTCTCCCATCCCTCCGTCAGCATGAAAGCCTTCTCCAGAGAGCTGGGTTTTTGCACAATGTGTCCGAAGTACAATTTCAGCCTTGTACAAATTTCTCCCTCGGGTAAGACTTCTGGATTGATTTGTTGAGGGATCCGTCGGTTTCTTGTCTTGGCTGCCCACGGAATCCTCAGGAATCTCTTCCAAAACCTCCCATGCTTTTCAGGTTTTCTGCCTTGCTTCTTCCAAAATCTACCCTTTACTTCCATAGAGAGTCACAGGGAAACTGCGGCCTGCACGGCAGCTTCTCTGGTTACTAACCTTTATTTATCTCAGGTTGACAGCTGAGGGCTGTTCCTTACAAACGGCCTTCTCAGGTTTAGGACCGCAGTTGCTGTCACAATCCAAGTCAGCCTTAACTACTGGAAATCCGCTGGAGAAGCCTCTGCAGTTTTTTCTTAGTAACGTTTTCAAGAAGGGTTAGCCATTGCAGGCTTCTTAGGGCTGAGAGAAAGTGTCTGGCTCAGAGTCTTGCCCAGCTGGCAAGATGGAGAATGAGTCTCTCACTCCACTGCTTTAACCAACCACACCACGCTGTCTCTCTTTCTCTCTCTAGGGCGATCTTTCTCTTTTTTTTTCCAATTTTTTTATTATTAAATATAAACAAAAAAATTAAAGACAATACAAAGACAAACAAAACCCGCACCACCTACAAAACCCCACATGACATTCTACATATATACTTTTTGTCATCAAAGGATATATAGTGTTCTACTTTGTATATTAATGAAAAAATAGTATTAGATTCTTAATTCAAATATTTTAAACTAAAAATATACTTGCATCATCTCCTTATTCATCTCCTACTGTTAATAGGGCGATCTTTCTCAACTCTTGACAGCTTTAAGCTTGTGGACTTCAAGTGCCAGAATTCCCTCGACAACATGCTGGCTTGGGGAATTCTGGGAGTTGAAGTCCATGCATGCTGGCTTGGCAATCCAAGGTATGGAGAGAGGAGGAACTCCCATCAAGAGGGATATTTTAGCCCAGGGACCAAAATCGGAAGCCGCTGACCTTGTTCCTCTTTTGATAGCATTCTCCAGGCTGAGGTTGAGTTTGGTATTGCAACTTCCCAGGTTCCTCAACAGGAATTCTTACATCCCTGTTTTTCAGAAGAACAGCGCTTCTGGACTGCATTAAAACATCCTGTATATGAAAAAAGAAATAGAAGAGAATATTTGTAGCTTGGCATTGAAATAAGTTTTTTTTGTTGTTGTTCTATGTATGAGATTGGTGGTTCTCTTGCAGACGTTTTGGTGTCCCAGCTAGGTAACATCATCAGTGCTAGAAGGGAGTGGGGGTTCGCTGAGAGGGGAAGGAGGAGGAGGAGGAGGGCTGTGGGATTCTTAGCGCTCTTGGAGTTTAGTTGTTTTAATTGCAGGCATTTCATTACCAAACTAGGTAACGTCATCGGTGCTAGAGGGATGCGGGGTTTGCTCTCTGTAAACTCTGCAAACATAATAGCACTGATGATGCTACCTAGGTGGATCATGAAACGTCTGCAAGAAAGCAGCCAAGCTCAGGGAGCACCAAGGACCCCAAAGAAATTATTACAGATGGTTTTATTGCAGGGAATTAAGTGCCTTATCTTTATTGTACAATATGAACATTAAGCACACAGAACAGGCTGCATGATGGAGTGAGTTCTCCTTTGCTTAAAGGTCTTCAAAACAGAGGTGTGTGTGTGTGTGTGTGTGTGTGTGTGTGTGTGTGTGTGTGTGTGTGTGTTTGTGTGAGAGACACACACAGAGATGCTGTAGCACAGGGGTCTCCAACCTTGGCAACTTTAAACCTGGAGGACTTCAACTCCCAGAATTCCCCAGTCAGCTGGCTGGGGAATTCTGGGAGTTGAAGTCCTCCAGGCTTAAAGTTGCCAAGGTTGGAGACCTCTGCTCTAGCACAGTGTTTTTCATACTTGGCAACTTTAAGATATGTGAACTTCAATTCCCATGCTTCCATTCCCATGTTAGCTAGGGAATTCTGGGGGTTGAAGTCCCGCTCTGGTAATTCTGTACTGAGCAAGGAGAGGGGTTGGACTGGATGGCCCCTAGGGTACCCTTTACATTTCAGTTCTAGAGTTTATGTTTATTCCCAAACTACGAATTCCTAGTAATTTTTTTCTTTTAAACTTTGTGCGATGTAGTGGTTCCTGATTGCTCATATCCAACCATCCTCATCGGTTAATCACAAGAATCACAAAAGTTCTTTTGCACAACTTTTTTTTTTTTATTCCATGCTTACTTGGGGAGTACAGATCTCTCCTGTTCACCTTTGGTGTGAGCGTGCCCTCGAGTCTGTTTTGCCCAAAAGTCACTCTTGTCTTGGAAGGCATGTGCGTATGTGAGTGTGTTTGTATGTCAGCAAGTTCCCCGGGCTCTGAGCTATGTGCTTACCCAGAGTAGTAGGAATGCTTCGAACAGGTGCAGAGACCAAAAATACTCATTTCCCCTCCCTAGGGCCCAGGGGAACGGTGAACGAAGGCGGGTGAGACATGGGGGGTGGGTAGGAAAGAGGGGCTTCAAACAGAGGAAGTTTGATCTTTCTGTTTCTCAATTTTTTTCCCCCCTCAATTTTTTTTTTCCTGGCTAAAAAAAAAAGTTCTAAAATCCCAGCCATCCTCCAAACGGGCTTTTTTTCCAAGGATTCCATTTTAATTTTGACTCTCGTGGGTTGGTTTGAAGTCAAGTTACAGATTTTGGGGAGTTTGAAGGTTGCCCAGAATGGGTTAGTTTGGGTGGAGAACTCTTGTTTCCCCCAACCTCGGAGACTTTTAAGGGGTCTGCATTTCCAATTTTCAGAATTCCCCAGCCAGCAGTTTGGTGGAGACCCTTGGAGTCCCTTCCCCATCTCTTGGGTGGTTGGGGGGATTTAACAGACCCTAAACTCAGCCGGGCTTGTGGGAGGGAGGGCAGGGCATCTCTCTGCACAAGCCCCAGCTGATGGCGCACATTCCCAGGGCCGAAATAGTTTGCCAAGGAACCTGATCTCCAGGGGCGACGAGCCAGCTCGGTTTGAAGATCAGCCAGGTGGAATGGGGGGGGCGGGGGGGGGGCTTCTGGGGGAAAGAAGGTATATCAGGGCACATTTTAGATTTTTTTTAAAAAAAAAAATACATTTATTTTTTTTTAAGAAGTGTATTAAATTTCCAAAAATGAAAAAGGTGAAAATTACGAAATGACGGGTAGTCCTTCGCTTACGACCGTCACGGAGCTCCCAATGTTTGTTCCTAAGCGAGACAGTTTGTGCCGCAGTGGTTTGAGCGAATCGCTGCCGTTGTTAAGTTAGTCGCCGGGTTGTAAAATGAATCTGGTTTTCTCCGTTGACTTTGCTTGTCAAAAGGGACATTTGCGACCGTCATAAATAACGAGCCAGTGGCCAACTTCCAAATTTTGATCGCGGGGAGGCCGCAACGGTCATTAGTATGAAAAATGGTTGTAAATCACTTTTTTTTCCGGTGCTGTCGTAACTTTGAACGGTCACTGAATAAGTAAGTCAAGGACTATCCTGATTTCCTATCCTCGTTCTCGGCCCGCGTCGAGAGTGGTGTGGTGGCCTAGAGTTGGAGCTAACGCTTCACAATCAGGAGGCTGTTGAGTCCGATCGTAGTAGAGGCAGATGTTTCTCTCCCTGGGCACAATGAGATTATATCTGCTGAACAAAACTCCGTGTTGGCAACAGGAAAGGCATCTGGCCAGTAAACACTCTACTAGCTCCTATCAGTTGCCCACACTCCACCTCACAATGGATTATGGGATCATTAAAAGTAGATGATGATGATTCTCGGCCCGCGTCGCCTACACCAGCAGGGTGGAGAAGCATCTGTCGGCTGGATGGAGGACGCTGATGTCCTCGTCCTGGCTCCTTCCTGAGTCACCTTCCCCATCGTGGCTGCGTTCCAAGGTCTCCCATCCTTGGTTGCGCATCTCGGCTCTTCGGCTGGTGCGCACGTGCCTCCCCGTCTTTAATTCCCTGCACTGGTGCTGCAGGTTTGCTTCACGGTGCCCTTGATTGATGAAGGCTGCCAGTTCTGGCAGATGGTCTGATAGGAAGTCTTCTCCCTCCAGTTTGATGGTCATGAATGAAGCAGGCTTTGCACCACGTCGCTTCTGATTTTGAGGTGGAGGGTGGGAATTGTTGAAGGACAGGAAGCCCAGCTCGAAAAATAAGACTCTCTAGCCCGGAAGGTTTTTCATGCAACCTGATTTTTATTTTGTTTTATCTACCGGTAACAGAGATTATTCGAGGAAAAGCAGTTTTCCACGTTCATCTCCTCTTTTGGGATTTTATGATTGCAATTTCTTGGTTTCCTTGTTGCGAGTCGCCCAGAGTCGTTCGGAATCTGCTGGCGTACAGGTTTCATAAATGACGCGTTGTCACGCAGTCAACCAGGTGTTTAGACTCGATTGGATAATTTTTGTCCACTTCTCGAGTCCTTTCCCAAGGACCTGGGAGAGGTAGACGTTGCTTGATAGTTTTGAAGGTCTCCTCACAGGATGTCAGCTGTTTTGAGCTGTTTGGTTAATTGTCCTCACTGTTAGGAAGCTTCTCCTTAATTCCAGGCTGGTTCTCTCCTTGAATAGTTTCCAACCATTGTTTCTTGTCCTGCCCTCTGGGGCTCTGAAGAATAATTTGTCCCCTCTTCTTTGTGGCAGCCCCTCCAATACTGGAATACTGCTGTCATGTCCCCCCCTAATTCTTCTTTTCTTTAGAGCAGTGTTTCTCAACCTTGGAAGCTTGAAGATGGGTGGACATCAACTCCCAGAATCCCCTAGCCAGGGCTCCAGGCCTTTGATCATCTTAGTTGCTCTTCTCTGAGCTTTTTCCAAAGTCTCAACATCTTTTTTTTTTTTTGTGGTATGGGGACCAGAATTGATTGCAGTATCCCAGGTGTGGTCTTACTAGGATTTTAAGTTGACCATATGCAGGGGGTAAGGGGAGGGAGGAGGCAGTGTTTCTCAACCTTCGAAATTTAAGATGGTGTGGACTGCAACTCCGAGAATTCCCCAGCCGGCATGGTTGCCAAGTTTGAAAAATACTTTTGAAGAGTAGCCGTTTCATATTCCTATTGGAATTCCAATAGGAGTGACCTAAAATATGTCTAATTCTGAACAATTTTTTTTTTCCTCCCTTAGGATGATGAGGTTGTCCTTCAATGTTCCGCCGTAGTCTTCAACGAACAGCTGAAGTTATGTCTGGCTACCGAAGGCTTTGGAAATCGACTATGTTTTCTGGAACCTACCTCTAATGCTCAGGTGTGTACCGAGGCAGGTGACCCAGGTATGGGACTGAAAAGGTGCTCTCCGTGGCCTGCAGCCGCCTGCTTTCATACTGGGAATTAGGTATTGAAGTCTATCGGTCTGGAGAAGTTGGCTTTCTTTCAGGGGTGAAATGCTCCTGGTGATAGAACTTAATATAAGCATTGTTATTAGAAATATATAAGCGGATTGAAGGTAAGGATTATGATTAACCTGATTAGTTTTATTTGTATTAGAATGTATGACACTCAGGTGCCACACAATTCATGCATTGATTTGATATTTTGATAAAAAAAAGAAAGAAAAAAGAAACCACACTGTTAGGAAGTGACTAATACCTAACTTGTTGGGTTGGCAATATATAAGCCATCAATGTAGCTTTAAGACTGCTGTATTGCATCATACTGCGCCCTGATTGGTTAGCTCTGTAGCCAATGTCCTTAAGACGGAGCTAGAAACATGGTTTGTTCTTTTTGCTGTTCTTGCTCTCTGATATCTCTGTATGCTACTGTTTGCAAATCCAGAAGAACTGTTTATTGTGAATGACTACGACGACTGGTAAGAAGACTTTGTTATTGGATTATCCCTGGACTGTCGTTTTGGCTATCTCCTGCTTTATATGTGTATGACCTGGACTGTTTATTGGACTGTGCCTTACTATTTCCTGAAAGTAAACACAACTCAGTGTATCTGTGTGTTGACTGTGTTTATTCGTATCTACTCTCAATCGCTTTCATGTACACACCCTTGCTACTCAAGGGTTACTCTGCGAATTCCTTAACACACACCTACTCTTCTATCCCCACGCAGAAAGTCCCTCCTGATCTGGCGATATGCTGCTTCGTTTTGGAACAATCCTTGTCCGTACGAGCCCTGCAGGAAATGCTGGCCAATACAGTGGAAGCCGGTGTCGAGGTAAGAAGGGGAGCATTTCCCTTCCTTTGGGGGCAGTGAGTTAGAAGGGGAGCTCTTGGCGTGGCCTCCTTGAGTTAAAACCATGGGATGAGAATGTGTGTGTGAGTGTGTATTCAAGAAGAACTACAAGTATCTTACTAGGGTGAGCAGATGAGCCTCTCTTTCAAGCATCCGGCACAAAAGCTATGCATATAGACCAAGGATCCTCAAACTACGGCCTGTGGGACGCATGCGACCCACCGAGACCATTAATCCGGCCCGCGCAGGACCACGAGGCTGCCCCACCCACATCGCCCCGCCCACCCTTCGGCGGAGCGCAGGACTTACCTTCGTGAGTCCCACGGGCTGGAACAGAAAAGTAAGGTCAACAATTTTGGCCTGCAGAAACGTTCTGGAGGTGGGGAAGGCAAAAAACGGGTGCGCGGATGCCCCGGGAGGCCAAAAACGGCCCCGTTTTTCACCTCCCCCCCTCTTCCAGAAGATAGATAGAGAAAAAGAGAGAAGAGAGACAGAGAGAGATTTCTCAAGCTCCTTGGGGATGAGAAGAATTCCTGCAAAACTGAGTTTCCTGAAGTGGACCACTAGATTCCTAAACAACTGAAAAAAACGATCTAGTAAAAAGAAAAGTCAACCAAAAGAACAACATGCAAACAAAAGCAAATAAAACACCCCCAGGAGCAAATTAAATTAAATTAAATTAAAAGTTTAATTTGTGTGCATTGTTTAATGGACTGTTAAATTGGCCACACCCACCTAGCCACGCCCACCCAGCCACATGACCACCTAGCCACGCCCACCCAGCCGGTCCAGCCCTCCCCCAACAGTCTGAGGGACTATGAATTGGCCCCCTGTTTAAAAAGTTTGAGGACCCCTGATATAGACACATGCCAGCCTTGTGAGGTAGTCCAGATAAGAAGCACACCCAGGAGTGCTACAGCTGTGCCTTTATTATATGGTTACATTAACAGAATCTTGCAAGCCTGAAAGTACATTTCTGCCCCCTCAACTATGCAGTCTCAGAAACTAGGGAGGGTGTCTTCTGAGATGTTTGCTAACATCCTTATTTCTTCCATGGGCTCAGCTGCCTCTTATCTGACTGTTGCCTAGCCTGCCTCTCTTCCTCCTGTCTCCCAAGGTCATCCCCACATACCACTGCAATAGAATTCCGCATTGTAGCTTGGATGAAGAGGGGGCACATTGGCATTGGAATTGGGTGGATGGGGTTTGAAGACCGGGGAAGAGTCACCCTAGAGTTGGGTGACACCAAATTGAATTAAAAAAATATATATGACGTCAGTCGTTAGGGTGGTGCGGTGGCCTAGAGGTGGAGCTATCGCCTCACAATCATGAGGTGGTGAGTTCGATCCTAGGTAATAGAGGCAGATATTCTCTCTCTGGGCACACTGAGACTATATCTGCTGAATAAAACTCCGTGTTGGTGACAGGAAGGGCATCTGGCCATTAAATCACTCTGCTAGCTCCGTTCAGTTGCCCAGACTCCACCCCGCAAGGAATTATATGGGATTGTTAAAAGAGGATGATGATATGATGTCAGTCATTACAGATACTCCTCGTTACCAGAGGTACATTTTAATTAACGTTACAGGATGGTCTGGTACATGTGAATAAATACTGTATTGTAGAAATAGGAGAGAGAGTCTTAATTGGGGATCTTCTCCATTAGGAACTCTGTGCACAGTCTCAAATTTAATTGCACCTAGCTACTAACTGGCTTTAGTGGGGAAGCTAAGTTATTTATTTCTTAATGGTGCTAAGTCACGGAAAGCTGCCTTGACCAGCAGAAATCCCAGAATTGAAAGAAGAGGCCCCTTGCCAATTTGATTTTTTGCTTCTCAAACAGCTGGTGGGATGCAAAAATATTTCCCCTCTAAAACGGCAATGCTGAAAAACCAAGATCTGATCATGGGGGGGGGGTCACTTCCTGGTTTGATCCCATGGGTCCTCACCGGAGGCGGAGCGTGTCCTGGGTACGTTCTCCGCCTTCTCCTGCTGGGGAGAACCCGATGGGCGTCTTGAATGGTGAATGAATGGAAGGTGGGTGGTCCTTTTAAGGGGTGAAGGGAGACATCCAGGAAGCCTCAGGTATCCCGCGATGCCTGTTGGCCCTTGACCTGAAGTAATCATCAATGGTTCACCTTCTCTCCCTCTTCTTTTCTTTGGCTTCTCAAATCTGCCGACTGACCCTCTAGGGTGTTGACTTGGACAAGTGGGTAGGTGCTACCTTCAGCCGCTGCCGTGATCCCATCTCCTCATGCCCTTCCTTCTAAATCTTCTCTCTCCCCCTCACCCGCCTTCTCCCTACCCTGTTTTGGTGTGTGCCTCCCAGTTCCTGTTTTCCTTCTCGGGGGTTCCCACCTCCTCTAACGTAACCCGTAAGAGACACAAATGACAGATTTCAAGAAGTCTGTTGATTTGCCGTAGGACGGTTGGGGCGTTAACCTAGAAGGACCCAACTTGTTTTGGTTTGAAGGACTTTCCAGTTCACACTATATTAAGGGTCAAGGAGGGCCCATTTGGGAAAGAGCATTGAGATACCTTGAAGGGTGAACTGGGCATCATAAGTACCTTCAGATGGTAAGAGAGATATCTGGCCTCTTAAAACCCTCTAACCCCAACTCCATACAAACAGGAGTTCTGCTCCTAGGGCAATGATGGCGAACTTTTTTGGCACTGAGTGCCCAAACCGGAATGTGCATTCATGCACATGCAGGTCAGCATTTCTCTGCGCCAGAGCCCCCGAAGACCAGCTAGCCGGCATAGGCATGCCTGATTTTTGGCTGTTTTTGGCCCAAAAACGGCCTGAAAAACTGCGTTTTGGCTGGATTTCAGGCCTTTTTCAGGCACTTCGGTGCACATGAAGTCCAGCTGGCACACCGGAAACCAGAAAAGCAGCTGGCGACAGCGCACATGCTCACAGAGAGGGCTCTTGATGCCACCTCTGGCACGTGTGCCATAGTTTTACCATCACAGTCCTAGTGTGTAGAAGGAGTGGAAGAATCGGGGGGTGGAGTTAAAAGAGAGATTAGTCTAGAATCCTTTATGCTGTCAACTAATTCCAACCTCCCTTGAATTCCATTGATCCTATCAGGCACCAGGAGCCAAGATAAGAGTTCAAAAGCCCTGAGAATTTATTCCCTGCAACCTATACCCAAGATCAAGAACCTGATCTGTAATGATCAATTCGAATTGGCGCCAGATAAGAATCAATGGACTTCAAGGGGGTGGGGGGTGGGGGGCTGGAGATCTCTCTTTTGGGGGTGTAGGGATTCCAGACTGATGACATGGCTGATCTCCCCCTTGGGATCAGCCTGGTCATCTTCTACAGACCCTTATCTAATTCCAAGCAGGTGCTAACCATTCGTTGAGAAGCTTCCCTTTGCATTGGCATGATTAGCAATAAATCAGTTTCATTGGATCTTAAAATGTGGACCTGATCGTCCAGGCCTGACATAGCCCCCCTCCACACACACACAAATACTTAACATGCCTTTAAATCACAATTTAAATCATGATTTAAATCACTAGTAAGAAGGCTTGATTTAAATCAACTCGATTTAAATCATAATTGTTAAAGAGCAACTGTCATCTCTGCTACTCCTTTGACCCACTGTTGACTCACCGATAGTCCCAGTGTTGCAGAATATACAGCCTCGTGCTACATAACTAAGCTCCACTTCATGCTGAATAAACTAAATTATTTATGTATCTTAAATAGAAAACTATCTTACCCCAAAATTTTTACCCCCAAAATTTTTTATTAAAATAAATTTGATAAAAATCAAAAAAATCCGATTTAAATCAAAAAAATCTGATTTTTTTTATTTTTTTTAAAAAATCATTGATTTTTATCCACCCTGCTTTTTTCTAAGTTATGCTACCTATCGCCTACCATACAGATAGATTGAGATACATCTCCCAGAACCGAGCCAGGGGGCAGGATCTGGAGCGGGCATTTTCTATTTTATCATGTCCCCATTCTCACAACTGTCCCACAGGCAGGTCCCACAAAAGCTTTGGAGCAGTTGGGGATTTTTCTGAAAATGTCGAGCAATGTGACGGTTTGTGAAGTTGGGTGGGCCTTGCCAACCCCACAGTTCTTAGCGATGGGCCTTCCTTGTTGAAAACCAGGTGGGATCCCCTTATCCTCTCCCTCCAGTAATCTTTCTCTCACTCCCTCATACTCCTTCTTCCTTCCTTCCTTCCTTCCTTCCTTCCACGTTTTCAACCCATCTCCTTCCCATTGGACTTCTCCACTGATGGTTGGTTGTGGTTTCCCAGAATTGTCCCTGTGTCCCTTCTCCCTTCATTGCATGGTTCCTATCAGTGAACCCCTCCTTCCTTCTGGAAAACCCTCCACGGGTTGGGTGTAGAATGGAGTGTGACGAAAGAAACATGGTGGTTTGCACTTGACAACGGAGAGTTGGGAAGGAGGGAAGGGTGGACAACGGAAGGTTGGGAGGGAGAGCCCTGGGATCATGGGACGTGGTCTGCCTCGACTTAACTCACTGAAATCTTGAACCCAGAAGCAACTTTATGGGGTCCCAGAAAGGTTCATAACTGTTCTGCCCCAGCTACAGACCCCAAAGAACGCAGCACACACAAAGTCCGTTCAAACCTTAGTTTACTGAATAAACCAGTCTTTTACAACAACGGCTGTTAATTAATTGCATTAACAGCCTACAAGAATCCAAAGAATAAATAATCGTAATCTTACTATGGTTGGCAGAAAGCCCAGAAGCAATTTGCAGAGAACTAAGATCAGGACACGAAGGAGAGTGAACGAAGTTGTTCCCTGCAAATTGCTTCTGTCGGCGTTATTCCTTAAATAGGCTAAGGGAGTGGCCAATTAGCCCCAAGCCTTACTCTTGAGGAGACCTCCTCCTGAGGAGCCACTCCTGCCTTTTGGCAGCTCTGCGTGCCCATGCATCGATAAGAGGCTCCTCCTCCTCTTCTTCCTCTTCACTTATGGGAGCTTCTGGAGGTTCTGAAGGCCCTGGCTGAATCCCCGCCTCTGGCACCACATCTTCTCCAGCCTCCTCATTGTCTGACTCGAGTGCCAGCTGCACAGCCTGCTGGCGCAGCATCACACCAGCCTCCTTGCTGTCTGAATCAGCTACCAGCTGCACAGGCCACAACAATCACAGCCTTTCTAAGGGCAATGATCTTGGCTCTCCTCATATCCCTCAACCCCGTTCACGTTTTGGGGAAGAAAATCTGTGAAATTCTAGTTGACAAGCAACCCATGTTGAACCTGCCAAATGGGAACATCTGTTTTCTTGCTGTTTTATTGGGATGAAATGGGGTGGGGTGGGGGAAAGACCAGAGGGAGCTGTTAGAAGAAGGAGCAGTTTACAAGTAGCTAAGCTAGGAGGATATGAATCCTGCCCCATATTCTAGATGAGTGTTTCTCAACACTCATGGGAGTTGAAGTCCACCCATCTTCAAGCTATCAAGGTTGAGAAACACTGATCTAGATAATTTGATCTGAAGGAAGAGAAGGTTACAATTCTGTGTCATACAAATAATTTGAATTCTGCAGTAAACAATTGCAGGCTTGTATTGGACTACAGCTGGTCTCTGGTCTCAAAGCTGTTGAGGTTGGGACCTCTATCCCAATAATGTCTACAATGATGTCTACATAGCAGTTTGGGTCCATGCTCATGTGATGTGAGTTTTATGGCTGCAAGAATACATGAAATAATTAGATGTTCCTGAGTGTGCTTGGGAGCTTCTGGCTTTTTTTGGTGGTGGTGGTGATGGGCATTTTCTGCAGTCAGTCAGTCAGTCAGTGATCTGCTCACATCTGGGCCGACACGACTCAAACAGATCCATCCTTTGAGGATGATGTCACTCATTGTATGCACCTTGAGATATAAGATGCAGGAGTTGAACTCTTCCCCGGGGTGGTGAGGTCCACATTTTGAGGCACGTGCTAAAAGAGATGAGACTGGGACATCGTGGAAATCTCCCCAACCATTAATTTCATAGTATTTTATTATGAACTAGCTGATAAACCAGCGTTGCCCGGGTATTTATTTATCCCAATCCTCCTTACCAGAGGGAGCCCCCTTGTGGAGTACTGTGAAGCCGTTACCATGACAACTCCACTGTGCTGTACAGTAGAAGCCATTTTAAGGCACAACAGGCCTTAGGTCTTATCTTAACTATCACACCATCACTGTCAAAAGTACTTTGATTTGACACTTATAGATATAATTCATTCCTTTTCATTTCAGCAGCCCAGGCGTTCCAGAGTTATGCTGGAACACCCACCCACACCCACACCCCGAGGGGTGTTAGGGGTGTCTTACCCGCACAGTATTTTTTTCCAGAGAGTAAGTCATCTGTGTACCAAGTTTGGGTGAATCTGGTTTCCCCATTAACTTCCCTGGTCAGAAGGTCGCAAAAGGGGATGACGTGACCCTGAGACACTGCGACCGTCATAAATGTGAATCAGTGGTCAAGCATCTGGATGCAAGTCACGTGACCATGGGGATGTTGTAATGGTCGTAAGTGTGAACAACGGTCATAAGTCCCCTTTTTCCAGTGCCATTGTCACTTTGAACGGTCACTAAACGAACGGTTGTAAGTCGAGGTCTTCCTGCATATTGTTCCTGATTACTGCAAAATGAAGATCAAGACAAAAATCAGATTTTTGTCTTGAAACTGGATGGCAACTGCTGCATCAACATACGTAGGAGGGCATACAAAGCCTTGGCTGAAATTTTAGCAAGGGGGAAGGATTTGCAACTGGTGTGGCCCAACGTAGCTACACAATGGTGGAAAGAGCCAAGTAGCCTCCAGTCCTTCCCCGCCCAACTAAACATCTCTGCCCCTTTGACTTGGGTGAAAAATCCGGTTTTGGCTGTTGTGTTTGAGTTGCAACTCCCAAGCCCATTGGGCATCCAATGCTTAGTTGCTCCAGAGACGCTCTTCCATCTCTTCAGAAGATGGAAGACCTACGGCGTTATGTGAAGGCGGTATCTCATGTGGAGATGAACACATAACTTACCGGGACGGTCTCTTATGGAAATTGTCAAACCTGTGCTTCCATGCGTGCCACATGGGAAATCAATTGTTGGGTTGTGTAGCCCGGATGGTAAGGAGAATTTGGCCATACACCACGGTGACCTTGAATGGTAGCGTGTCTGGTAAAAAGATGGGGGGGGGGGAGTAGATCTGTTGATTCTTGAAGTCATCCCAGTTTCGCAGGTGTCCCCTTGCGAAAATTAATTGCCCACCCCTCCCCTAACATGTTGAGTTGAAGAAATTACACCATCTGTTCGATCTTGGCTGATCTTGTATAGCTAAGCAGGGTCAGATCTGGTGAATCACTTGGATGGGAGATCAGCAAGATCTCAACAACAACAGCAATGGAAAACTATATTGTTGCCAAGAGAACCACATGGACACCCATGAACTAACCAAGAGTCAAGCTTGACTTGGAGATGGTTGCCATCTTACCTTTTGGTTAGTAGGTTTCAATCCTATCTCTGCACGTCTCGCCTTCTTGTTTGGTCAACCACGAGGTCTAGGATCTTGTCAATCATGTAGAAGCCGGCAATAGTTGTTGTGGGATGGGTGCATGGATTTGAGTGAGCTCCAGGTTGAACAGTCCACAGGTTAATGCTGTCAAATGCCTTGTGTGATTTGGGTTTCTCTTTTGCCTTGTCATCCTCCAGTCCTCACAAGGTGGTGGACATCGGACTCTGCTGTATGGACACGCTATTCTTCTCCGGCATTCCCACAGCGGCATGGTAAGGAGGGAATGGAATTCAAGGAAGCTGTAGATTCCAACACGGGGATAAGGGGAGGGTTGGGGAGCTTCAGCGCAGGGCAAGGTGACTCTACACAAGCCCAGCGGAGCAGCGCTGTCACACAGCGGCAACCAGGGCCATTTTGGGTTAAAGCCAAGCAGGTTTATTTTCAAACCCTTGAGTCATCTGTTCTCTAGATGAGGAGGTGTAAAAATTGCAAGGAATCTCAAAGGAAAGCTTTGAGGAGCTGGGGCGTAGTTTTCCTCCACGTCAACGTCAAGGTTTGAAAAGGCTGGGAGTTGTTCTGGAGGCCAAGTCGAAGTTCTAAGTAAAGGAGCTGAGGTCATTTGAGGTGGGGCGGTGCTGGCTGTTCCTTGCCTTCTGTGTCACCGTTCCTAGGAGAGTCATAGCTATGGAGATTCACCACCAGAAGAAGGCCTGAATTGGTCACCCTTTTAGCCAAGCATCTCAAGCATGCGAACCACTTGCTTGAGATGTCCCCTTGCTGCTTCTTAGATTTGATACCCCAGAATGAATTGATTGCTGGTGGACGTCGCTTTAGCATCAACTCATTGGATCAGTTCAAACCTATCTTCTCAGAAGCTTCTGCCTTCATCTTGGTGGTGTAGGGTTTCCTGCCTAAGCAGAGGGTTGGACTAGAACAGAGGTCTCCAAGCTTGGCCACTTTAAGACTTGTGGACTTCAACTTCCAGCAAAGCTGGCTGAGGAATTCTGGGAGTTAAAATCCACAAGTCTTAAAGTGGCCAAGCTTTTGGAGACCCCCTGGACTAGAAGACCTCCAAGGTCTCCTTTCTACTCTCTTATTTTATTCAACCTGTGGCTGGTCCTCAGGATCTGATTTGACTCTTTTCTAATTACCTTTTGGGGTTTCAAAGGCAAAAACAATTCAAGGAGTTCTCTTAAGATGATGTTGGAAGGACCAACTCTTAACCCACCCTTGATCCAAAATGGATCATTCCAGATCAGTTGGGAATACAAAGAGTAGAATTCCCATCAACCTACGTTTCTTGAAGCTTAACATGGCGATGGAAAATAAGTCAAGGTTTCAGCCGTGTAATTATGCAAAGAGGAACAGAAATGGGACATTGGAGGTGGGACATTTAGTACCCAAGTTCACAGACAGGAATAAACAGCTAATGTTGATTAAGTCAAAAGCAGGGGCAAGAATCTTTTTTTAAAAAAATATATTTTTTTATCCTGTCTTTATTAATTTACAAATAACTCAAGGCAGCAAACAGACATAACTGTTTTTGAACCCTGGATTATCGTTTCGCCATCGCAAAACCCTACCATAGTTTTCCTCAACCTTGCCAATTTTAAGACAGGCGGATTCTTCGACATGCTGCCTGGGGAATTCTGGGAATTGAATTCCACTCATCTTAAAAGTGGCCAAGGTTGATTTAAAGGCAGTCTAAACTTCGTGGTACATTACCGGAACAATCTCAATCTAGTTTTCTTTGAAACATAAGTTGCGTCAGCGAGCTCCCCACACTTGTGGCCAGTCATCACATTGTCTAGACCAGGGGTGTCCAACCTTGCAACTTGACGACCTGTGGACTTCAATTCCCAGAGTTCCCCATGGCTGGCTGGGGAATTCTGGGAGTTGAAGTCCACAAGACTTAAAAGTTGCTAAGGTTTAACATTCCTGGTCTAGGCTATTTTTTTTTTTTTGCACTGATTTTTGTGTATAAGCCAGGAATCCTGGCTTATACGCAAGCCAGGAATCCTGGCTTATACGCAAGCCAGGAATCCTGGCTTATACGCAAGCCAGGAAACTTGGCTTATACAGAATCTTTCTTCCCAACGTTTAGTATTTAAGCTGCTTGACCACCTCGCGTTCCTTGACGGATAAACTCGCCTTTGATGTGGGCCTTCAAGAAGATGCTTCAGGTATGTGACGTGGCTGAGCTCTCAAGGGAACAATCGGGGGGAGGGGGTGTTTCTTGCAGGATGCAGAGGGTTGGACTAGATGACCCTTGAGGTCCCTTACAGCTCCCACGGTTCTGGAATTGTATGGGATGGCTTGAAGGGATAGGGAGGAAGAATTTACCTATCAGATTCTACATAGGTCTATTCTAATTTTTCTGTGTCTCCCACCAAGTTTTAAGCAGCTTAAAGTAAATGCAGTTTGGGTTAGGTTTTTATGTATTAATATTTATTTCCACTTATACTTTATACATTGTTGTTCTTGTTCTCATTTTCTTATCATCTTCATTAGCCGCCACCTACCCAGGTACAGGTAGACTTTGATTGACAAGCATTCGTTTAGTGTACTGTTAAGGTTATGTCAGCACTGAAAAACAGTGACTTACAGCCTGTCTTCACACTTACAACTATTTCTGCATCCCCACGGGACCAAAAGTCAGGCAGATGGCTGCCAGCATGCACAGCTAGTCCTCGGTTTACAACAGTCCATTTAGTGACAGTTCGAAGTGATGACGGCACCGAAAAAACTGACTTATGACCGTTTTTCACACTTACGACCGTTGCAGCACACGGTTTACATTTGGATGCTTGACAACTGACTCATGTTTATGACGGTTGCAGTGTCCCTGGGTCACGTGACCAATGTTCGCGACCGTCGGACGAGCAAAGTCAACAGGGGAAAGCCAGATTCACTTAACAACTGGGTGACTAATTTAACAACCGCAGTGATTTGCTTAACAAATGTGGCAAGAAAAGCCGTAAAATGAGACAAAAGTCTCACTTAACACCTTTCTCGCTGGGCCCAGTTGTGGTCGTAAGTCGAGGACTTATCTGTACTTAATGACATTTGTAGCCTCCTGGGGTTATGCGACCGCCATTTGCGACTTTCCCAGCCAGATAAGCAGAGCTGGATTCTCGTTAACGAGTCTGTGATTCGCTTAACAAACGTGGCCAAAAACTGGTCACGGCTCACTTAGCAGCCACCTTGATGGAAATTCCGGTCCCTATTGCGGTCGTAAGTTGAAGACAACCTGTAACCAAAACTGGATGCCACGTAGAAGCAGAGTTTGGTCATCTGCATGAGTTCTCCAGCCGAGCAGAACCGTCTGATAGAAATTTCACTCCATACCGGGGGTTCCCTCCATGCATAATTTGCATATTTGTGCATAATTTGCATGGTTTACTTTCCCTCTGCATTGGACAAGGGGGTAAAACAGCGGTGCGGGATGCCAAAGCATGATGGAACTAACGAACAGACAGAGACCCTCTTCTCCTCGCCTTCCGAAACCTCCCTGGCGTCGGCTGCCATCTATCTCTTCGGAAAGGCTGGCCTACGAAGCCCATCGTCCCCCGCCAGGCCGACCCGGGGAAGGAATGCTGCATGGCTGTGCGAAAAATGTGCTTGGATTCTCGGCGGCTATCCGTGTTTGGATAGCCGCCCACGAGTCTTCCTTCTCCCATCCGCAGGGGAAGCGTGTTGGTGGACCATCCACCCGGCCTCGAAGCAACGGTCAGAAGGGGAGAAGGTGCGCGTGGGGGACGACCTCATCCTCGTCAGCGTCTCCTCTGAGCGCTATCTGGTGTGTGTCCAAGTATGGCGGTGGTGCCTTCGAGGCAGATGTTCAGGTTGGGGGTGAAAAACGTAGGCCGGGTTTCCTTGGCAACTGTTAAGACGGGTGGACTTCAACTCCCAGAATTCCCTAGCCTAGGGGTGGGCAAATGTGGCTCTTTTACAACCTGTGGACTTCAACTCCCAGAATTCCTGAGCCAGCTTGGATCAGCTTGAATTCTGGGTGTTGACAGCCACCTGTCTTAAAGTTGCTCAGGTTGACAAACACAGTTTTATTTATTTATTCGTTACATTTTTTAATCTATATTGCCTTAGAAGTAACTCAAGACATCGAATATAGTTACTATTTCCTTCCTATTCTTATTTTCCTCACAACAACCACCCTCTGAGATGGGTTGGGCCAAGAGAAAGAGAGCGAGCGATTGGGCCAAAGTCACCCAATCCACTTTCATGACTAAGGCGGGACTAGAACTCACCGTCTCTTGGTGATTGGCCCAAAGTCAGCCAGCTGGATTTCATGCCTAAGGCAGGAACTAGAACTCACTGTCTCCTAGTGATTGGCCCATAGTCACCCAGTTGCTTTCCAGTTTAAGGTGCGACTAGAACGCTCAGTCTCCTGGTGATTGGCCCAAAGTCAGCTAGCTGGATTTCATGCCTAAGGCAGGACTAGAACTCTCAGTCTCCTGGTGATTGGCCCAAAGTCACCCAGCCAGCTTACAGGCCTAAGGCAGGACTAGAAGTCATGGTCTCCTGGTTTCCAGGCCAGCTTCTTAACCATAGTTGAAACGCCAACTTCAGCATGTATTGAGGTTGCTTTACTTTAATTCAGTGTTTCTCAACCTTGGTAGCTTGAAGATGGGTGGACTTCAACTCCCAGAATCCTGGGAGTTGAAGTCCACCCATCTTCAAGCTACCAAGGTTGAGAAACACTGCTTTAATTGAACCTTGCTCTGGGAAACAGACAATCACTTCCCCTCTCCTCCGCCATTGACATGGGTGTCCTTTGCCTTCTCCAGCACTTGTCCACCGCCAGTGGAGAACTTCAAGCCGATGCCTCCTTCATGCAAACCCTTTGGAACATGAACCCCATCAGTTCTGGCTGCGAGGAAGGTGTGTGTTGTTGTTTTTTTTTGTGAGTGGTTGGGATAGAGTTTCTTTGGCCTTCCAAGATTTCAGATAACGTGGTGGAAGTTTTCAGTAATGGTGGCCCACGGGCTGCCGAAGCGAGTCTGTGCATTGGCTTGGGAGTTGGGTTGACCTTGGCCCTTAATTCCATCTTGCCCTGTTGCCATCTCCGGATCTGGAGATGGTTGTTGACTCACTCTGCCGTCTCCTCTCTTTGCCCCCAAGGTTGTGTGACGGGTGGCCATGTCATGCGCCTCTTTCACGGCCACATGGACGAATGCCTCACCATCTCCACCACGGACCAGAATGAAGAGCAGCGCAGGTGGGTCTCCTGAGTAGAGCCGGAGATGAGTAGGCAGGCCTTAACAGCTTGTCGATCGAAAAGTTGGCAGTTCAGCGGTTCGAATCCCTAGTGCCGCGTAATGGGGTGAGCGCCCGTGACTTGTCCCAGCTTCTGCCGACCTAGCAGTTCGAAAAGCACGTTAAAAAAAAAATGGAAGTAGAAAAATTGGGACCACCTTTGGTGGGAAGGGAACAGCGTTCCGTGTGCCTTTGGCATTGAGTCATGGCGGCCATATGACCACGGAGACGTCTTCGGACAGCGCTGGCTCTTCGGCTTTGAAACGGAGATGAGCATCGCCCCCTAGAGTCAGGAACGACTAGGACATATGTGCGAGGGGAGCCTTTACCTTTAACAGAACAGAATATCAGAGTTGGAAGGGACCTTGGAGGTCTTCTAGTCCAACCCCTTGCTCAGGTAGGAGACCCTATTCCATGTCAGACAAATGGCTAACCGGTCTCTTCTTAAAAACCTCCGCTTTTGGAGCCTTTACAGCTTCTGGAAGCCATATTCGCAAGCCATATTGGCTGGATTCAGATGTTGCGTGAAGCCATAAACCAAGAGTTTGCAAATTTGGCAAATTTCAGACTTGTAGACTTGGCCCGGTTGAGGAATTCTGGGAGTTGAAGTCCACAAGTCTTAAAGTTGCCACGTTTGGAGACCACCTGCCATAAACAGATCCCTTGATCTGTTTAGTGGGAATTTGGCCACTGAATCCTACTCAAGGATCCCTTAGCCAAGTCCTCCCCTCGTTTTAAACTTTCTTCGGCAGGGTGGTGAACTATGAAGGAGGCGCCGTCTGTTCCCAGGCCCGATCCCTCTGGCGCCTGGAGCCCCTGCGCATCAGGTAGGTTGGCTTTTTCCATGCTTTGGTCTTCATCTTCTCCCTTACTTCGGACCTTTCTTCTGTGAAATTTCTCACGGCAAGCTGGTGTTCACTTGCTTGGGCAGAAAAGAAAATGAAATCTGACTGGGGATAGGCTGGTCTGTATCAGCGTGTTGAACTAAATCATGACTTATCTATGGCTTATGGCAGGGGTGTCAAACTCAAATCTCATTGAGGAACACATCAGGGCTGTGGTGGACCTTGGGGGGGGCGGGGGGCGACTGGGTATGTGTGGCCAGCTTGACGACACTCACTGGGCGTGGCTGACTGGGGGGGGCGTGGCCAGCTGGCTGGGCCAAAGTGATGCGGGCAGACCGGGACGGCCCCGTGGTCCAAATCCGATGACATCATGGGCCGCATTGGGCCTCTGGGCATGGGTGGGCTGCTAGGGATTCGCCGGGGTTCAGAAGAACCTCTAGCTAAGATTCTGTGCAGTTTGGCTTTCCCCCAAATCCCACTCCTGGCTGGCTCTGCACACCCCGCCCCTCCCAAGAGTCCCCACACGGCCCATTTTGGATGCAAGTAAGTGCAGGGCGCATATGCAGGCTTGTGGAGGATGAGAAACGGGCCTACTGGAAGTTCGGGAAGGCCAGAAACGGGCCCTTTTCCAGCCTCCAGAGCCTGGGGAGGCCGTTTTCGCCCTCCCAAAGGCTCAAGTTAAGCCTCCGGAGCCTGGGGAGGGCAAAAATTCCCCCCCACCGTTGTGGTGCAGGAGGCCGACTAGGCCACACCCACCATGGCCACGCCCTCCCAGCAACCAGGCAGAGAACCCCTTGCTAAAATTTTTGAAGCCCTCCCTCCCCCGGGTTCATTGATTTATTGATGTTTTTTGTTTTTTTAATTTAATTTATATGCCGCCCTTCTCCGGAGACTCAGGGCGTCTTACAATGCGTTAAGCAATAGCCTTCATCCTTTTGTATATTTATACAAAGTCAGCTTATTGCCCCCACAAACTGGGTCCTCATTTCACCTACCTTAGAAAGGATGGAAGGCTGAGTCAACCTTGAGCCTGGGGAGATTCGAACTTACAGTAATTGCAGGCAGCTGGTGTTAATCACCATGCTTTTAGTCTGCTGAGCCATCAGGCCCCTGTTGATGTGTTGATGATTTATGACATCCCTGGCTTTTGGGATCAAGCATCTTTAGAAGAGAATATTTCCATCTTTGGAACTCATCTTTGTTTGGTCTACCATGTCCTGCTAAGACAGTGTTTCTCAACCTTGGAAGCTTGAAGATGGGTGGACTTCAACTCCCAGAATCCCCCAGCCAGCAGCGAGTTGGGAGTTGAAGTCCACCCATCTTCAAGCTTCCAAGGTTGAGAAACACTGTGCTAAGCCATCAACAAGGAGATACGGATCATCTTCATCCCAAACTTAACCAAAGAGTGTCTTCCTTATTGTTAAACCTGAGATTCCTTCTGTCCTAACAGCTGGAGCGGCAGCCACATGAAGTGGGGTCAACCGTTTCGTGTCCGTCACGTCACCACGGGACGCTACTTGGCCCTGACTGAGGAGAAGGGGTTGGTTGTGGTTGACGCTGAGAAGGCGCACACCAAAGCAACATCGTTTTGCTTCCGGGTCTCAAAGGTGAGAGGTCTCCTCGTGTTAGGGGCTGATCCTGCCCAGAAGGGGCTTCAAAAGAGTGTGAACATCTGGACTGCAGTTCCCTTGGAGAGATTGGAAGTGCCCTAAAGGCAATGCTGTCAAGCAACATTTCTTGTTGTGGCCCACCAGTGGGGACAGTGAGGAGGTTGGGGAGGAACAGGGGCCAGTCCTGGAGTCTGGGGAAGGCTCCGACAAGGGCTCTGCGTCGGAGGCAGAGAGGGGGCCAGGGCCGTCTGACAGTTATCAGCTGCCTTCAGAGTCAGACATCAGTGAGATAGTAGAACAGCTGGAGCCTGTTCCCAGTGGGCGCATGTGCAGAGTTGCCAGACGAAGGGAACAGCTAAAGAACAAGGGTCGACTCAGAAGTAAGGCCACAGGTGGACGATGAACGGCCCCTCCCAGAGAGAATAAAAGAGGAGCGAAAGGGGAGTGGAGTTTGCAGGAGACAATTTAGTTCGCTTAATTGGTTCATGACTCTCCAAGACTCCTGGCCAAGTTTTGAAGATATCGGCCTGGCAGCTCTCCAAGCCAGATAAGGTCTGTGGCTGTAAATTCTCCCTTGAAGGACTTTGCGGGATGCGAATGAGAGGAATTCACAGTAACTTAATAAAAAGGGCTTTTTGTCGGAACAAGGAGTCTGCTTCGTGCTCTTGGGAAGCCTCGGGCAGAACATTTCTCTACCTTGGTAACTTCCAGAGCTGTGGACTTCAATTCCCAGAATCCCTCAAGCAGCACGCTCCCTGCGGAGAATTCTGGAACTTAACCAGTCCACACATCTGGAATTGCCCAGATTGAGAAACCTGAACGTACGTTTTTCAGATGTGGAGTGCTTGGTGCTATCTGAGCTTGGTGGTTTGCTTGCAGACATTTCATTACCCAACTAGGTAATTTCATCAGTGCCATTCTTTCATAAGGGCCTGTAGTGAGTAAGGGGAGCCCTTCTCCTACATTTGTGTGTTGTTGTTGTTTTTTTTAATTTTGATTTATATGCCGCCCTTCTCCGGAGACTCAGGGCGGCTTACAATGCGTTAAGCAATAGCCTTCATACTTTTGTATATTTTATACAAAGTCAGCTTATTGCCCCCACAATCTGGGTCCTCATTTTACCTACCTTTGAAAGGATGGAAGGCTGAGTCGACCTTGAGCCTGGTGAGAATTGAACTCGCAGTAATTGCAGGCAGCTGGAAGCGAAATACTAATGCTTTAACAGTAGCATTAGTCTGCTGCGCCACTCAGGCTCTAGTTTTGGAACAGTTTAGGGGATTTCACTGGAATTTCTGCTCCTGTAGGAGAAGGAATTGCAGAAACTGGGGGTGGCATTAAAGGAGGGATCAACTTAGAACCCCTACATAGTCGCAAATGCCACTGAATTTCACTGATCCTTATCTAACTCCAAGCAGGTGCTAACCTTGATTGAGAAGATTCCTATGCGTAGACCTTTTAGGAATCATTCAGTTCCATTGGATCTTCCCACGTGGATCTTTCATGTCTTTCATGCCTTCTCCTTCCTCTCTTTCAGGAAAAGCTAGACGTGGCCCCAAAACGAGACGTGGAAGGCATGGGCGCCCCGGAGATCAAATACGGAGAGTCCATGTGCTTCGTGCAACATGTGGACAGTGGTCTCTGGATGACCTACGCAGCCGCCGACACCAAGGCGATGCGTCTGGGTGTGCTCAAGAGAAGGGTAAGTCGTGGCTGGTGGGGTTTATTTATTTATTTATTAAATTTCTATGCCGCCCAAACTGGACCACATAAAAGCAAGATGCCCCTGGCCCAGAATCCAGTACTGGACTGTTGGATCGATGCCATGAGACTCCCAGCTGCCTTAGTCACTGAATATAAGGGCTCCTGCCTTGGGCAATGGGTTGGTGGACCAGAACAGAGTTCCCCAACTTTTTCGGCTTTGTGGGTTGGCACGGAGGGAGGGGGGATGGTTCTGTGTGAATGGCGGGCAAGCGTACGGTCAGGTTTTGATGCTATCTCAAAATAAATGAATTTCCAAACTGCCGATCTTTGAGGAAATTTTCTCTTTATTAAGCATAGTGATCTGTCCCTGGCTCTTTCGCGGTCAGCACTGACCTTTGCCCCCCAATCCCTCCCTTTCCGATCCCCAATTCTCTGCGTCTCATTGGCTATCTTCCAAGCCACTCTCCTCATCCCATCTCCGTCAGATCACAGGAATGTCCCCCCCTCCTCCCATCTCCGAGGAAACAGAATCTTCAAAGGAATTAAGTAGGCAAAAATTCAAGCTTCTCCTCTCCTTTCATATGTCAGTGCTGGAACGCTGACACATACGTGTTGTGGCTTGTCGGCCGCCGGCCTCTCTAGCAGCTAAATCAGAGGAGGAGGAGGAGGAGGCTTGGGAGTCAGGGTCAGCCTCAAGGCAACCTGAGAGCTCTGAGAGGGAAGAGAGAACGGAGCTGTCAGAGAAAGAGACAGAGGTGGAGCCTGGGCTGTCTGTCCGCCCTCAGATGGAGAGTCAACAGCCCCCAGGAGTAGAGGTGGCTGATGAGGAAGCGGAGGAACAGCTGGGTCCAGTGCCTGACGCATGGATGCACAGAAGGCAGAGGAGAGGAGAGCAGTGGAAATCTATGGGCCGGTCCTTGGGACGGAAGAGCTATGACTGCTAGTGAAGTCCCACCCTAGCTCTGAGGATAAAAGGCAGGGGGCGGAGACGAATAGACGTGTTAGACAACTATTCATCTCCCTGCTGGACGGATTTGTTAGCCTGCAGTGAGAGAGAGACTTTTTGCCAGGGCTGCTGGAACTCCTAATAAAGGAATCATTGATTTAACTACAGAGGGTTTGTCGTATTTGAGAGCTGGGTCAGACAGTATGCGGCTCCATTAGCACATGCACATCGCCGCTTGCATAAATGGAGCTCACGCCACTTGGGATGTGCGCTCACCTGCCACTTCTGCGGCCCGGTTCTGAACGGCTCAAGGTCCGTAGTGGGCCGCGGCCCGGAGATTGGGATCCCCTGGACTAGAAGACCTCCGGGCTTAGGATCCCACGAGAGTTTCTTAACGCATCTCTGCACATCCACAGGCTATCTTGCATCAGGAAGGGCATATGGACGATGCCCTCTCGCTGACCCGCTGCCAGCACGAGCAATCCCAAGCCGCCCGGATGATCTACAACACTTCGGGACTTTATAACCAGTTCATCAAGTAAGCGTCACGAGGGTCCTTTCCCCTGGGATCACCAGGGACTAGCTTCTTGGGAGCCGTTGTTATAGTCTCTTTGACTCCCGCTTTCTCCATCCTCCAGAGGCCTGGACACCCTGCTCGGGAAGGCCAAGTCCAGCACTCCGGTGACTCTTCCCATTGAAGGGATGATCCTCAGTTTGCAGGATCTCATCAACTACTTCCAGCACCCGGAGGAAGACCTCCAGCACGAAGAGAAGCAGACGAAGCTCCGTTCCCTAAAGAACAGGCAGAACCTCTTCCAGGAGGAGGTGAGCAAGTCATACTGACCTCAGGGCAGTGGTGAAATGTAAAAGTTGTTACTACCGGTTCTGTGGGCATGGCTTGGTGGTGGTGGTGGGGTCTGGACAACCATTTGTCTGAAATAGTATGGGGTCTCCTGCTTGAGCAGAACATCTCCAGGTCTCTTCCAGCTCTGTTAGGAGTCTGTAGAGATTCTCCATCATCCAGGTCATGGTTGTCCCAAAGGTGCTTTTTCAGGAGGCAACTGGACTTTCTTGAGTTTTTCTTGAAAACGTTTCTCTTCTCATCCAAGTAGTTTCTCCAGTTCTGGTTTCTCTCACACACTTTTTTTATATTCCTTGTAGACAGCTGGTCAACCTCCAAGTGCTTCAAGGACCCTCTAAAAGATGTGAATGACCAGCTGCTTGCAAGGAATATAAATCCTTCTATTCCCCACCATTCAGTCAGAGCTGAAGAAGCTTCTTGGATGAGAAGTGAAATCTCTTTAAAAAAACAAACAAAACTTCCTTCCTTCCTTCCTTCCTTCCTTCCTTCCTTCCTTCCTTCCTTGTTTTCCCCATTCATCATCTGCCATCCATCCATCTATCTATCTATTGCTCCCTTCCTTCCTTCCTCATCCATTCCTTCCTCATCCATTCCTTCCTTCCTTCCTTCCTTCCTTCCCCCATTCATCATCTGCCATCCATCCATCTATCTATTGCTCCCTTCCTTCCTTCCTCATCCATCCTTTCCTTCCTTCCTTCCTTCCTTCCTTCCTTCCTTCCTTCCTTCCTTCCTTCCTTCCTTTTTCCCCATCCATCATCTGCTATCCATCCATCTATCTATCTATTGCTCCCTTCCTTCCTTCCTTCCTTCCTTCCTCATCCCTTCCTTCCTTCCTTCCTTCTTTTTCCCCATTCATCATCTGCCATCCATCCATCCATCTATCTATTGCTCCCTTCCTTCCTTCCTTCCACATCCCTTCCTTCCTTCCTTCCTTCCTTCCTTCCTTCCTTCCTTCCTTCCTTCCTTCCTTCCTTCCTTCTTTCTTTTTCCCATCCATCATCTGCCATTCATCCATCTATCTATCTATTGCTCCCTTCCTTCCTTCCTTCTTTCCTCATCCATCCCTTCCTTCCTTCCTTCCTTCCTTCCTTCCTTCCTTCCTTCCTTCCTTCCTTCCTCTTCTAGGAATGCGAGGATCCACGCCCTTGGATGTGGCTGCTGCTTCGGTCATCGATAACAATGAGCTGGCCCTGGCTTTGCAGGAGCAAGATCTGGAAAAGGTAGCTTTGCCCAATTAAGAGGATGCCAACATGCAGGGAATATCCCACTCATATCCTAGAGGGAGAAGGAGGCCCCAAGACTCCCTGTTCAGGGCAGGAATCCCAGTGGAGGCACCTCAGATTCATGATCTTACATAGTTTGGTAATGAAACATCTGCAAGAAAACCACCAAGCTCAGAGAGCACCAAGGACCCCACAGTCCTCCTCCTCTTCTTCTTCACAAACCCTGCTGTCTTGATGATGTTATCTAGCTGGGACATGAAACGTCTGCAAGGAAACTGCCAAGCTCAGAGAGCACCCAGGACCTCATAATTCAACCTTGAACCTCATTCTCTTTTATTGGCAGCATCCTTTCTAGCGATAGAAAGAGCCTTGGTGGTGCAGCAGACTAAAGCGCTGTTAAGTAGCACCAGCTGCCTGCAATTATTGCAAGTTCAAATCTTATCAGGCTCAAGGTTGACTCAGGCTTCCATCCTTTTGAGGGAGGTAAAATGAGGACCCAGATTGTGGGGGCAATAAGCTGACCTTGTATAAAATGGAACACCGCTTATGGGGGGGCCCCCAAAGCCCTACTAAGCAGGTATGTACAGAAGTATGAAGGCTATTGCTTAATGCATTGTCAGCCGCCCTGAGTCTCTGGAAAAGGGCGGCATATAAATCGAACCAATAAATAAATAAATAATAAATAGCAATAGCACTTAGACTTATATACTGCTTTACAGTGCTTTACAGCCCTCTCTAAAGCGGTTTTACAGAGTCAGCCTCTTGCCCCCCAACAATCTGGGTCCTCATTTTACCCACCTCGGAAGGACGGAAGGCTGAGTCAACCTTGAGCCTGGTGAGATTTGAAGATTTGGTGAGATTCTACCTTCATTCAATCTCTGATTATGGTCAGGATATTATGTGGATAAGCCCCTCCATTGTGATAAGTTATGAAGTGGTTCCTTCGATCAGTTCTGCTCACTTTGGATGGATTTGCTTTGATAGGAGCTCTGTGGAGCCCAGTGGAAATCTTGAGATATTTTTTTTTCTCCTCGCCTCCATAGGTGGTGACCTACCTTGCTGGCACGGGCCTCCAGAGCTGTCCCATGTTGCTCTCCAAGGGATATCCTGACATTGGTTGGAACCCTTGCGGAGGCGAGCGTTATCTGGATTTCCTGCGCTTCACCGTCTTCGTCAATGGTGAGTTGGGTGACCAAAGTGGTCACATACTGAGACAGGTGTAGGGCATGTCTTCTATCCATAAGAAGGTTGGAGTCACTAAAGAAGGATATGGGGAAACCGATTCTACAACTCACCCTTCCAGAGTACATGGAAGCCAAGTTGCAGTCTGTGCGTCCGTCCATCCATCCATCCATCCATCCAATCAATCAACCATCCAAGTTGTATAGCTGCCCAACTCACCCTTAAGTGACAACAACATTTTAAAAAAATATTTGAAAATCCATCCCATAATAAAATCCATTAAAAACCCCCACCCCAATGGCAGCCTCAATACAATCAAAGCAGCCACTTGATGGGCTTCATCTCCCTTCAGAGTCCCCAGGCCCGCTGACAAAACTACTGTATTTTTCGGACTATAAGACCCACCTAAGTTTAGAAGAGGAAATCAACAAAAAAAAGTTTTTAGTCTCCACGGGCCCCATTTTCGGACTTTTTTTCGGGCCTTTACCAGCCTTTTTTCGGCCCATTTTCAAGGCTTTTTTCTGCCCGTTTTCTAGGCTTTTTCAGCCCATTATTGAAGCTTTTTTCAGCCCATTTCCGAGGCTTTTTTCAGCCCGTTTTTGAGGCTTTTTTCGGTCTGTTTTCAAGGCTTTTTTGGCCAGTTTTTGAGGCTTTTTTCGGCTTGTTTTTGAGGCTTTTTTCGGTCTGTTTTCAAGGCTTTTTTTGCCAGTTTTTGAGGCTTTTTTCGGCCTCAAAAAAAGCCCCGAAAACGGTCTGAAAAAAGCCCTGGAAATAGGCCAAAAAAGGCCTGAAAAAGGCCTGAAATTGGGTCATGCAGAGGCCAAAAAACGGCCGGTGGGTGGGTGAGGCTTTGGCAATATTCGGTATTATAAGACACACACACATTTTCACCCCCTTTGGGGAGACAAAAAAGTGCGTCTTATAGTCCAAAAAATACAGTACATTTTTAGGGCCCCTTGGAAAAGCAGAGGGTGGGGACCAAACATACCTAGGGAGGGGTGATGTTCTATAAAAGAGGGGCCACCCCCAAGAAAGCCCTTTTTCCTGGTCCCACCAGATGACGACCCCTAATCAACGGGACCCATAACGCGCCCTGCCTTTCCGTCCTGGTGGACCAGGTTGTTGTAATAGGGGACAGGTGGTCCTTCAAATCACCTTTTCACCTCTGTGTTGTTTTTCTGGGTCCCTGGGGTAATCAATTTAGTCCTGTGGGTCTCTCTGAGGTCCTTCTCCTTCCATAGGTGAAAGTGTGGAGGAGAACGCCAATGTGGTGGTACGCTTGCTGATCCGTCGCCCTGAGTGCTTTGGCCCGGCCCTGCGTGGGGAAGGAGGCAACGGCCTGCTGGCGGCCATAGAAGAAGCCATCCAGATCTCTCAGGATCCTGCTCGGGATGGGCCTACCGTCAAGAAAGATCGCCGAAGGGAATTGTGCGTGAAGGACACGCTGGAAGGCGGTGGGAGGAGAAATCTGTTGTATAATTTGGAAGATTAACAGATTAACTCTGTAATTAGCAAAGATAGGGAGGAATCCCCAATGGAGTGGAGGTGGGATCTTCTATTTTTAATATTAGAATTCTTTTATCGGCCAAGTGTGTTTGGACACACAAGGAATTTGTCTTTGGTGCATACGCTCTCAGTGTACGTAAAAAGACAAGATACATTCGTCAAGAATCATAAGGTACAACACTTAATGATAGTCATTGGGTACAAATAAGCAATCAGGAAACAATATCAATATAAATCGTAAGGATACAAGCAACAAAGTCATACGTTTTTAATCCACTAACCATTTCCAGAATGGCATGCTCTCATAAATATTGCTTCTCTCTCTCTCCCATTCCTCTCTTTTTTCGCTCTCTCGCTCCCAGATTTGGGGGAGAAGAAACTCACGAGGAGTATCGGGTCCATTTGGGCAATGCCATCATGTCCTTCTACGCTGCCCTCATTGATCTGCTGGGACGCTGCGCCCCTGAGATGCACGTAAGGGTCCCTTCTCTTTCCTTCACTGTCCTGCCCCTCGGGGATAGAAGGAAGTCCGCTTCTTTTGAGTATAGGTAGTCCTTGACTTACAATCGTAAATTTTGAGCCCCAAAATTTCATTATCCTAACATCATCAGTGCTAGGACTAACACTGATGAGGTTACCTAGCTGGGTAATGAAACCTCTGCAAGAAAACAAGCAAATTCAGAGAGTACCAAGGATCCCACAGTCTTCCTCCTCCTCTCCAGATCCCACACCCTTCCAGCACTGATAATGTTACCTAGTTGGGTAATGAAATGTCTGCAAGAAAACGGCCAAGCTCAGAGGGCACAAATGACCCTACAGTCCTCCTCCTCCTCCTCCTCCTCCTCCTCCTCCTCCTCCTCCTCCTCCAACAAACCCCACTCCCTTCTAGCACTGATGTTACCTACTTGTGTCATGCAACATCTCCAAGCAACCCTCCAAGCTTAGAGAGCACCAAGGATCCCACAGTATTCCTCCTCTTCCTCCTCCTCCTCTTCTTCCTCCTCCTTCTCCCCATAAACCCCACTCCCTTCTAGCACCAATGATGTTGCCTAGCTGGGTAATGAAACATCTGCTACAAAACTACCAAGCTCAGAGAGCACCAAGGACCGCTCATTTCAATCCTGAGCTACAAATATTCTCCTTTATTGGATCATTTATAAGTCAAGGACTACCTGTAAAGCATTCACAGGTTTTGGCCATGGGCAACTTCTCACCACGCATTGCTCCCATCTCTGCAAAACGGCCCTCTCTTCTCCAGCTTCCTTTTACCCACAAACTGGCCTTTGCTTGGATTACATGCTAGAGACTCATCCTGTCTCCCTTCCTCTGGCTTCTTCTCTGAGCAGCTCATCCAAGCTGGGAAGGGGGAAGCCCTCCGGATCAGAGCCATCTTGCGTTCCTTAGTGCCCATCGAGGACCTTGTCGGAGTCATCAGCCTCCCGCTGCAGATCCCTTCGTTTGGCAAAGGTACGTTGGCCCTCTGGGCAGCAAAGTATCCGTAGGAGGCTCTATTTCCTGCTCCTAGACTTAGTTCATCTTGGTATCTACTGCCCATTTGTGGTGGAACCATCGGCTGAAGGGGAGGGCGCCCTACCAGGTGGAGTGAAGAGAGATTCCAGCATAGAATCCGTTAGGGGAATGAAACATCAAAGATCAAACTCTTAGGTCTATATCTGCCATTTCCCAAGTGAAGGCAGTGTCAGCACTGCAACGCTGACATAGAGAGCAGAGGAGAGAGAGATAAGCTCTGAACTTTTGCCTGCTAAATCCCTTTGAAGTCGGGTTGTTGTGGAAATGAGGAGGGGGGACATTCCTGGGAAATGACGAGACAAGAAGCCTGAAGAATGATTGGAAGATAGCCAATGAGAAGCAGAGATTTGGGGATCGGAAAGGGAGGGATTGGGGGGCAAAAGGTCAGTCTTGTCCACATCGAGTCATGATCCGGTGGCTGTGCTCAATTAAAGAAAAGATTTCCTTAAAGATTGGCAGTTTGGAAATTCATTTATTTTGAGATAGCATCGAAGTCTGACAGGCAGACAGAATGGGAAGATTCTTGTAGTGTAGGCGATCAGCGATGAAATACCTGTTTCAGCCTATCCCACTGGTTGCTTGTGTAGGAAAAGAGCGGGCAGACCTGGGGGATTAAATTTAGAATCGTTACATTCTCACAAGTGCTCCTCCAACTCCCCTTGAATTCCATTGACCCATATCTAGAGCCAATTGAGTATTGAACTTTAGTTGATTAGATTCACATCAGGCGCAAAGGATCAGGACCGTACGTTGAGTGGCAGTTAGTAAGATTGCTCAAGTCTATACACAAGAATCTGGTCAACTAAAGTTCAATAGTAAATTGGCGCTAGAAAAGGATCAGCGGAATTCAAGAGCGGTTGGATTTTTTACTTGTTTATGGCAATGTAATGACTCTGAGCTAATGACACACATAACTCCGCTCCCCTAACTCTGCCTACGTTTTGTGCTTGATACCACTTGAGCTTCATTCCTTGGAAAGTCTGCCTTTCCCTCCTCTCTACAGCCGCTACCCCCCACCTCCATCGCCTCCGATTTATAATCTGCCCTTCCCGCTCTAGATGGCAATGTCATTGAACCCAAGATGTCCGCCAGCTTCGTGCCCGACCACAAGGCACCCATGGTGTTGTTTCTGGACCGTGTGTACGGCATCGAGAACCAGGACTTCCTCCTCCATGTCCTGGAAATAGGTTTTCTGCCTGACATGAGAGCTGCGGCCTCCTTGGACACAGTAAGTATCTTTGGGACGGGATGGCATCATCACAACATTCAAACTGTACACATAGGGTTTAGTCTGGCAAGATTCCATCTGTTGGCGGCAAGGAAATAAAAAAACTGAACCTTGGTTAAATAAAGGTAAAGGTAAAGGTTCCCCTCGCACATATGGGCTAGTCGTTCCCGACTCTAGGGGGCGGTGCTCATCTCCGTTCCAAAGCCGAAGAGCCAGCGCTGTCCGAAGACGTCTCCGTGGTCATGTGGCCGGCATGACTCAACGCCAAAGGCGCACGGAATGGTGTTCCCTTCCCACCAAAGGTGGTCCCTATTTTTCGACTTCTAGGTTGGCAGAAGCCGGGACAAGGAACGGGAGCTCACCCCGTTATGCGGCACTAGGGATTTGAACCGCTGAACTGCCGACCTTTCGATCGACAAGCTCAGCATCTTAGCCACTGAGCCACCACGTCCCTTTTTATTTTTATTTTACTTTTTGGTTGAATTGCTCTTTGTTATTCCTGGGTTTAACCTGATGGCTCTGAAAAGGTGGATTGGGCCATGATGTGCCTTCGTCATGCCTTGGCAACCTGTCTCTCTTTCTCTCCACCAAATGTCCCTCGTGGCTTCTCCTTCCCACAGGCTTCTTTTAGCACCACAGAGATGGCCCTGGCCATGAACCGCTACCTCTGCCTGGCTGTGCTACCGCTCATCACCAAATGTGCTCCTCTTTTTGCTGGTACTGAGCACCGGGCTATCATGGTGGACTCCATGTTGCACACCATCTACCGGCTGTCTCGTGGTCGCTCTCTTACCAAGGCCCAGCGCGACGTCATTGAAGAGTGCCTCATGGCGCTGTGCAAGTAAGGAGAAGAATGTAGGAAAAGGAGTGGTAGAACCCAGGGGCGGCGTTAAAAGAGGAATCAGCCTGGAATCACTACGTAGTCACAAGTGGACTAAGCCCCACCTCCCTTGAATTTTGTTGACCCTTATCTAACTCCAAGCAGATATTAGTCATTAGTTGAGAAACTGCATAAGCCCTTTAGCAATAAAATAGTTTAATTGGACCTTCACATGTGGACGTGGTCTTTCACGCCTGACAAAGAATGAGGAATTTGTGGATCGGCTCAGACATCCCTGCACCGTGGCAGCTTCTTCTGTGTAGCTTGGCCCTTGAACCTGAGAACTTCCAATGACCATCCCTACAAGTTTCTCTCCCTCTTTCTCCTTAAGTTCCTTCCAGCTGGAGACCTCCAAAGTTTCCTATTTAAAAGGAATTAGGAACCTATTCTGTTTTTCCATCCTTAACCAATAAGGATATTTTTTTTTTTAAAAAAAGGGGAAATCTTAGAGAGAAACACAGGAAGTGATAGAAAACAATGTAACATGAAATTCTGCCATTTAGACCTACGGATAGCATCTCCTGGAGGCAAATGAATCGCCAGCCAAAAGGAGAAACTCATCATTCTTTTGTAAAATGCCTCTTTGGCTCTGCTTACTCATTGCCCTGCTTGTCCTTCAAGGTACATAAGGCCATCCATGCTCCAGCATCTTCTCCGCCGGCTGGTGTTTGATGTGCCCATCCTCAATGAATTTGCCAAAATGCCTCTCAAGGTAAGAAACCATGGCCATTTAACTATATAAGACAGTCGTGAAATTCAATTTTTTTTGCTACCAGTTCTGTGGCCGTGGCTTGGTGGGCGTGGCAAGGGAAGGATACTGCAAAATCCCCATTTCCTCCCTACTCTGGGACCGGCCAGAGGTGGTATTTGCCGGTTCTCCAAACTACTCAAAATTTCCGCTACCGGTTCTCCAGAACCTGTCAGAACCTGCTGGATTTCACCCATGATATAAGGTTTAGGATTAGCAATGGATTGCCACAACAGGCCAACATGCAATGATTGGCTACTGTTAACTTTGATTATTTTGCATTAGGGGTGCATATTAACATATAAAACAGGACACTCTGTCTGTTGTAGCCCTCCCCAGTCTGATTGTGGATATAAACCGTCTTCCTCCTTACGATATGTTGCTTTTCCTGTTCTCTGTCCAGCTGTTGACCAACCATTACGAGCGTTGCTGGAAATATTACTGCCTTCCCACTGGTTGGGCCAACTATGGGGTCAGCTCGGAGGAGGAGCTTCACCTGACACGGAAACTCTTCTGGGGCATCTTTGAGTCATTGTCCCATAAGGTGAGGAGTGTGCTTATCCTTGACTTCACGGAGGGGCTTTGAGGTCAGCCAAAAATAGGGTTTGCAGTGTTCTAGAATAAGGGTCTCCAACTGTGGCAACTTTAAGACTTGTGGACTTCAACTCCCAGAGTTCCTCAGCCAGCAAAGCCTTCTGGGTAACTAACTTCCTCTGTACAATAGGGTGCCATCAAACTCTTGGCAATTAATGTTGAGCTCCTGGCATCTAATGGGAAGTATTACTGGAAATGATAGTGGAATTTTGAAAAGAAAAATAGCAGAACTATTCTTGTTGAGAGGGAGCATTTCAACAGACGGTATTGCCTGACTGAACATCTGTTCTTCCCCTGTTCAGAAATTTGACTCCGATCTGTTTAAGCTGGCCATGCCCTGCTTGTGTGCCATCGCTGGTGCCATTCCTCCAGACTACGTGGACGCCAGCTATTCTTCGAAAACTGAAAAGAAGGCTTCGGTAGACGCCGAGGGCAACTTTGACCCCAAACCTGTGGAAACACTAAAGTGAGTGAGATTTACAGGAGAAAATAGCAATAGTAATAGCACTTAGATTTATATACCGCTTTACAGTGCTTTACAGCCCTCTCTAAGCGGTTTACAGAGTCAGCCTATTGCCCCCAACAATCTGGGTCCTCATTTTACCCACCTCGGAAGGACAGAAGGCTGAGTCAACCTTGAGCCCATCAGGATCAAACTCTTGACTGGACAGAGTTACCCTGTAATGCTGCATTCTAACAGGAAGGGAGGGAGGGAGGGAGGGAGGGAGGGAGGGAGGGAAGGAAGGAAGGAAGGAAGGAAGGAAGGAAGGAAGGAAGGAAGGAAGGAAGGAAGGAAGGAAGGAAGGACAGAGTCAGCATATTGCCCCCAACAATCTGGGTCCTCATTTTACCGACCTTGGAAGGATGGAAGGCTGAGTCAACCTGGAGCCTAGTGAGATTCGAACTGCCAATTTGCAGTCAGCCGGCAGTCAGCAGATGTAGCCTGCAGTACTGCACTCTAACCACTGCGCCACCAACCTTGTTGTTCACATTCCTTGATTGGTCAAGTTTTGCATCAAGATGCTTAGAATATCATTCTCATCCCTCTGGTTTCTAAAGTAGTTTCTACCATAGGCATCAAGATTGGTAATGATAATGAATTTGGGTGATTGTAACCAGAAATCTAAATATAAATTTGTGTATTAGTACTCCCTGATTTGGCTCTCCTGCTCTTCAGGGTTCCAAAACTGCTTCTTCCTCAGGTGAGCATTGTGTTCTTATGGAGAAGATCCAGAAAGTCTCCAGTTAACATCCTGTCCTTCCAACTTCCCTCTCCTGCAGTGACAGAGCAGGATCAGAACTGGTCCATCCGTTGGCCATCCCTCCAAACTTCTCTCTCTCTCTTTCTCCTTTTCTTAGTGTCATCATCCCAGAGAAGCTGGACTCCTTCATCAACAAGTATGCTGAGTACACTCATGAAAAGTGGGCCTTTGAGAAGGTAAGAGCCCTTCACACAACCTCTCTAGATCCCTGAGACCTGGGTCCTCAGCACTTCCTGCTCCCTGGTTGGGCATAGAAGAGCAGATATATCCCACCTTTATTATTTTTATAAACAACTCAAGGCAATGAACATACTTACTATGCTTTCCTCCTCTTCCCCCACCCCCCACAAAAACAACCCTTTGAGGTGGGTTGGGCTGAGAGAGAGAGTGACTGGCCCAAGATCACCCAGCTGGCTTTCATGCCTAAGGTGGGACTAGAACTCACAGTCCCTGGTCAATGATTGGGGCAAAGTCACCCAGCTGGCTTTCATGCCTAAAGCGGGACTAGAACTCCCAGTCTCCTGGTGATTGTCCCAAAGTCACCCAGCTGGCTTTCATGCCTAAGGCGGGATTAGAACTGAGAGTCTCCTGGTTTCTATCTACTATGTCTCACAGTCTCCTTTTTCCACAGATTCAGAATAACTGGTCCTTTGGGGAAGCGGTTGATGAGCAGGCCAAGACCAATCCTATGTTGCGTCCTTATAAAACATTCTCCGAAAAGGTAAGAGTTCCTTCACCCCATTCCTCCCACCAGAAATGGGCTCAAGGATCGCCTGATTTCCCCCGTGTCCAAGCAGGATCAGAAGGCGAATGTGACATTTGGAGACCTTCCAGAAAAAAAAAAAAGAACTTTCCTACTTAACCACCTGTCTCTTTTTTTCCTCCTACAGGATAAGGAAATTTACCGATGGCCCATCAAAGAGTCTCTGAAGGCCATGATTGCTTGGGAGTGGATGGTCGAGAAAGCCCGCGAGGGCGACGAGGAGAAAACGGAGAAGAAAAAAACCCGCAAAATCTCACAGACAGCCCAGGTTGGTTTCTAGAAAATTCCTTGCCGTCCATTTTTTCTGACTGCATTGTCTTCCTATCTTAGCTACTATCTGAGGATTTCCAAATATATGATGACTTTAGATCCATGTTTCTCAAACCTGATCACTTGAAGATGTGTGGACTTCAACTCCCAGAATTCCCCAACCACCATGGCTGGTTGGGGAATTCTGGGAGTTGAAGTCCACACATCTTTTTTTTTAAGAGTTTATTTATAAACGGTTCATTACATTTCATTACATACATAAACAAATGCTTAACGAACAGCGTATTGTCTGAATCAGTTTATTTTTATACAATCATATTCTTCCCACTCCTAATTTCTACCTCTACTATCCAACCATTTATAAAACAAAGTCCCACGTTCGAAAATACTCTGTGTCTTCTTTTTTCTTTTATTTTTAATGTCAATCTATCCATTTCTGCACAATCTAATTTTTTTCTAATGACATCGTCTTCTGTGGGTGTTTCCTCATTTTTTCCAATATTGTGCATACTTGCTGCTGTCAAAACATGTAATATTAAATACAGGTTCCTTTTATCGTACTTTTCAGGTATTATCCTAGCAAAAATATTTCTGGCTCATAAGCCAGAAGTCCACACATCTTAAAAGTTGCAGGTTTGGTGAACATTGTCCTTAGCGATTAGCTATTGTCCTTAACGTTGTCCTTAGGAACAGGGATGGTTCCTATAAAATCACTTTTTAGAAGAAAAGTCGTACCTCAAACAAAATTTTGCTTCAGGCCTTCCTGCATAATGCACAGCTCGTTCTTCAGATGTAAACCTCAAGGTTATCCTGAAAAGCAGCGCCACAACTGACAAAATAGCCTCCTCAGAATCTGAATCAAGATCTTGCTGTGTTGTATATAAACAGAAAGCGAACCCCACTCCCTTCGAGCACTGATGATGTTCCCTAGTTGGGTCATTAAACATCTACAAGAAAACCACCAAGCTCAAAGGGCATCAAGGACCCCACAGTCGTCGTCGTCCTCCTCCTCCTCCTCCTCCTCCTCGTCCTCCTCCTTCTCCTCCTCCTCCTCCTCCTCTCCACATGCCCCACTCCCTTCTTGCACTGATGATGTTCCCTAGTTGGGTCATTAAACGTCTACAAGAAAACTACCAAGCTCAGAGGGCATCAAGGACCCCACAGTCCTCCTCCTCCTCCTCCTCCTCCTCCTCTCCACATGCCCCACTCCCTTCTTGCACTGATGATGTTCCCTAGTTGGGTCACAAAACGTCTGCAAGAAAACAGCCAAACTCAGAGAGCACTCAGGATCCCACCAAAAAAATAAATAATATGACATTAAAATTTAAAAAATGAATAGGCAGTAGAACTGGGAATCTGGAGGATGGGATCAGGGAGATCTAGCTAGGGAAATGAACCCGGCAAGAGAAGAATGGGGACAATGGATGTCAAGTATGCCTGTTTCTCCGTTTTCCTTCAGGCCTACGACCCCAGCCATGGTTACAATCCTCAGCCAATGGATCTATCTGCAGTGACCCTCTCCAGGGAATTACAGGTGAGAACGTCTGACCTGACACGTGTCTATCACCTACCAACTGCATTCAGACAAATAGGGATGGAACAATCTGTAGGCCGAACAAATAAGCCAATCAATGGAATTCCGTCTTTTCTGCCCAGTTACTTTCACCACGGAAACATTTTCTAGGGCCATTCTCAGAAGGTAAGAGAGGCTTAGATCTCTGGTCTCTCTTCACAGGCCATGGCAGAACAGCTGGCAGAGAACTACCACAACACCTGGGGACGCAAGAAGAAATTGGAGCTGGAAAGCAAAGGTGAGATTCTGAACCTTGCATTGACTTTTGAAGGATGCTGATGTTCTCTTTTCTTATTGCCCCTGCAGGGGGAAAACTCACCTGCTTTCTCTTTGTCTACAAGGAGGTGGAACCCACCCCTTACTGGTGCCGTATGACACGCTGACGGCCAAGGAGAAGGCTCGGGACCGGGAAAAAGCTCAGGAGCTTCTTAAATTCCTACAGCTCAATGGCTACGCGGTGACTCGGTAAGTATAAAAGGAGCTTAAAAGCAGGAGAGGGCTGATTTAGGGTGTCTTCTTACAATTGCCCTGATGATGTTCCTTAGTTTGGTAATGAGACGTCTGCAAGAAAACAACCATGCCCACCAAGCCACACCAAGCCACGGCCACAGAACCAGTAGTAAATAAATTTGAATTCCACCACTGCCCTAATCATCATCATCATCATCATCATCATCACCTAAATATTTTTTAATATTTGTATTTCATGTTCTTAATTCTGGCTGTACACCACCCTGAGTCCTCAGGGAGAAGGGCGGTATATAAATTGGAAATAAAATAAAATAAAGAAAAATAAAGAAAAACCAAACCAACCACTTTTTGGATTAACGCAATGGCTCAGCCAAACCTTTAGCAATTTCCTGTCTTGCTGTGTGTGTTTTCTAGCATTGCCTCTTTTTAAAGCCTGAGCACAATCTTTTGCCATCCCCAATCTTTTTGCCATTTAAACTCCCGTCATTTCTCCCAGGGGTCTGAAGGACATGGAACTGGACACTTCATCCATCGAGAAACGCTTCGCCTTTGGATTCCTGCAGCAGCTGCTGAAATGGATGGACATCTCCCAAGAATTCATCGCCCACCTGGGTAAGAGCTGTCCTCCTTCCCCTCCTGGTTGCTGTCCTTAGCAAGTTGCTTGGGGACGTGGTGGCTCAGTGGCTAAGATGCTGAGCTTGTCAATCGAAAGTTCAGCGGTTCGAATCCCTAGTGCCGCGTAACGGGGTGAGCTCCCGTGACTTGTCCCAGTTTCTGCCAACCTACCAGTTCGAAAGCACGTAAAAAAATGCAAGTAGAAAAATAGGGACCACCTTTGGTGGGAAGGGAACAGGGTTCCGTGCACCTTGAGTCATGCCGGCCACATGACCACGGAGACGTCTTTGACAGCGCTGGCTCTTCGGCTTTGAAACGGAAATGAGCACCGCCCCCTAGAGTCGGGAACAACTAGCACATACGTGCGAGGGGACCCTTTCCCTTTCCCTTTCCCTTCTTATTTATACTGACAGGGAACAGGGTCTGGTCTAGAAGCATTTGAGATACAATCTCTGAGTTCATTTCTCCATTTTGATGGTGGGAAAAACAGATAAGAAGCCATTGCTGGGCTCCTTGAATCCCATAGTCAAATAGGATTGGATCTATATTTTGGATCTACCTTGGGTTCTCAAGATCACCTCTTCTGTGGTCAGAGGTCACACAGTGCCAGTTTTAGTCATCCAAGCAGAACAGCAGACAAAGTGGTAGAGCACTATGGTATTGACCAAGACAAGACCGTGTGAGAAAGAAACTCAAGATTGCCACACCTTGAGTCTCTTTGGTATAAGAGGGAAAGAAGTGAGATAAGCTGCCCAGATTTCAAAATTCTGTTATTATAGTTGAAGCCAGCTTAAGTAGACTTTTTATATTTCCTGAAGGGTCTATTTCCTGATCTTTTTTTGCCCCCACTCTAGAGGCTGTGGTGAGCAGCGGACGAGTAGAGAAGTCCCCCCATGAACAGGAGATCAAGTTCTTCGCCAAGGTAAATCTGCCTTTGCGGTTTTCTTTATTTTATGTTACTGTTGGGTCAAGAAGACAGATGGATAGATGGATGGATGGATGGATGGATGGATGGATGGATGGATGGATGGAGAGCGAGAGAGAGGAGGACAATAAATAATGGTTGGAAACTAATCAAAGAGAGAAGCAAGCTGGAATTATGGAGAAACTTCCTAAAAGTGAGGACAATTAACCAGTGGAACAGCTTGCCACCGGAAATCGTGGGCGCTCCATCACTGGAGGTTTTTAAGAAGAGACTGGACAGTCAGTTGTCTGAGGTTCTCCTGCTTGAGAAGAGGGCTGGACTAGAAGACCTCCAAGGTCTCTTCCAGCTCTGTTTAATTCATAAATATTCATAGATACATAGGTATTAGAGATAGAGATAGAGATAGATATCATGTTTACCTGAAAATAAGACCCTGTTTTATATTCTTTTGAATCCCAAAATAAGCGCTTGGTCTTATTTTCAGGGAGGTCTTATTCTTTTGGGGTGCATGGAGCAAGATGGGGCTTCTCTTGACAACCTACCTGATTTCCACCTCTCCAATATTCCAGCTCTCCAATATTTAAACAAATATTTTTGAGGAGGGCTTATTTTCGGGGGAGGTTTATTTTAGTGCATGCACCCAAAAGCCCGATTGGGCTTATTATCAGGGGATGTCTTATTTTCAGGGTACACACACACATACACATACACATACATGTACACATACACAGCCCCTCCAAGAGAAGGGGACCTACCCTCCAAGTTGCATCAGCTGCTATGTCTGAAAAAACGGGGCCTTCCTTCAAATTGCTCTCCTGCCCTCATCCAAACACTCAGGGGATCCCCCAGTCTTCCTCCCACAACTCATTTGCGTTCCCTCTCCAGATCCTGCTGCCCCTCATCAACCAGTACTTCACCAACCACTGCCTCTACTTCCTGTCCACCCCGGCCAAGGTCCTGGGCAGCGGAGGCCACGCCTCCAACAAGGAGAAAGAGATGATAACCAGGTGAGTTGCCAGACAACCCCAGCAGCGGCTGGGCATTATGCGTGAGTGAGCCTGCAGTGCAACCCTTAAAAGAGACATCTTGTCATCTTGTCCTGTGGTGTGTCCTCGGCTTGTGGAACCTCTTTCATTCTCTGTTCTGCTTTTCTTTTCCACTTTCCAGCCTTTTCTGCAAATTGGCAGCTCTGGTCAGGCACCGGGTCTCTCTCTTTGGTAAGCCTCCCTCTCTGCTCCTGCTTTCCGGGACTAGGGAGGGGCTCAGCCCACCCGTTTCATCCCCTTCTACCTGTCACTGGTTCAGGGGGGCTAAACCCAGGGTTGGGATTCAGCCGGTTCGGACCAGTTCGGGCGAACCTGATACTAATTTTACATCTGGTTCGCCGAGCCGATAGTTTCAAGTACTGGCTGGCCCCGCCCACCCCGCCCCTCCCAGAAGTCTCCACACGGCCCCTTTTGGATGCCAGGTAAGTGCACGGCCCGCATGGAGGCTCTGGGAGGGTAAAAAACAGGCCTCCCAGAGGTTCCGAAAATCTGGAAATGGGCCCGTTTCCGGCTCCAGAGGGCCTTGGGAGCCCAGGGTAGGCTGTTTTCACCCTCCCAGAGGCTTGAGGAAAGCCTCCGGAGCCTGGGGAGGGCAAAAAACGGGCCTCCCAGAAGTTCCGGAAGTCAGGAAACTGGCCATTTCCGGCCTCTTGAGGGCCTCCGGAGCCCGGGGGAGGCCGTTTTCACCCTCCTGGAGGCTCTAGGTAAAATGCTCCCCCCCCTGCCGTGGTGCAGGAGGCCGAGTAGGCCACGCCCACCATGGCCACTCCCACCCAGCAACTGGGTAGAGAACCGGTTGCTAAAAATTTTTGAATCCCACCTCTGGCTAAACCCCACCTGCCCTGCTCTCCCTTCTGCATCTTGACTTTCCTGACGCTACGTCAGCTCTATTTCCAAGGCAGCTTCCTGCTGGCCCTGTTTCTCCTGCCCGATCTCCGCATCCTTTTCACCCAAGGTTTCTAAACCCACCTTTGCATCCTCTTCCTCCAGGTACCGATGCTACTGCTGTGGTTAATTGCCTCCACATCTTGGCTCGCTCCTTGGATGCCAGGTGAGCCATCGTCCTCCGTCACTATATATAGTTATACAGGTAGTCCTCGACTTAGAACAGTTCATTATCCCCCCTCCCCCATCAAGCCACGCCCACAGAACCGGTAGTAACGAATTTTAGATTTCCCCCCTGGATTATGTGGTCATTAAAAGGAGATGAGCATCTGGTAAAAATATCGAGGCGCTGAGTATTATTTTTTTCCCCTCTACCTACAGGACCGTCATGAAATCAGGTCCCGAAATTGTCAAGGCGGGGCTGAGGTCTTTCTTCGAAAGTGCCTCCGATGACATTGAGAAGATGGTGGAGAACCTCAAGCTTGGCAAAGTCTCCCAATCCCGCACTCAGGTCAAGGGAGTGGGGCAGAACATCACCTACACTACAGTGGCCCTCTTGCCCGTCCTCACCTCCCTCTTTGAACATATCGCCCAGCACCAGTTTGGAGACGATGTCATGTGTGAGTAGGTCAGGAGAAGAAGGGAGGCTGGGCTTGGGCAGGCTCTGAAAAGCAAAGAGGGGGTGAAGAATGCTGCCCATCTGCTCCAGGGGTGGTAGAAATGGTCTGGAGGAGGCCTGGTCTAAAAGTCCAAAAGACTGTCCTTTGGGAGAAGGTTTTGGGAGGAGCGAGAAGAAGGGAGCATCTCCTGATGTCAAAGAGAGGGATGGAGAAGTTGCATGGCTCCCGTTGTTCAGTCTTTCTTCTCTTCTCTTCTCTTCTCTTCTCTTCTCTTCTCTTCTCTTCTCTTCTCTTCTCTTCTCTTCTCTTCTCTTTCTCTTCCCTTCCCTTCCCTTCCCTTCCCTTCCCTTCCCTTCCTTCCCTTCCTCCTCTCTCTCTCCTCTCCTCTCCTTTATCATCTATCTCTCTTTATCTCTCTCTCTATCTACTGTATCTATCTCTATCTATCATCTACCTCTCTTTATCTCTGTCTGTCTGTCTATCTATCTATCTATCTATCTATCTATCTATCTATCTATCTATCTATCTATCTATCTATCTCCTCTCTCTCCCCCTTCTCCTCTTTTCTCTCTCTTCTGTCTCTGTCTGTCTGTCTGTCTCTCTCTCTCTTTTGTGCCCCTTCAGTGGATGATGTCCAGGTCTCCTGCTACCGAACTCTGTGCAGTATCTACTCCCTGGGGACAACCAAAAATCCGTATGTGGAGAGGTGAGCATGAGGAGAAGGTTGGGTTCAGCTGGAAGGGTATAGACCCTTTGTGGTGAAGATGGAGCCAAGAGGTTGGGGAATGGCCAGCTAGGATGGAAGGAGGGATGAAGCGAGGGCCTAGCTTGGAGTCATTTGCATGTTATGACTTTGTCTCTTGTCCCTCTCTGCAGACAGAGGCCTCAACTTGGAGAATGCTTGGCACGACTGGCAGCAGCGATGCCCGTGGCTTTCTTGGAGCCGCATATCAACGAATACAATCCTTGTTCGGTTTATACTACCAAGTCCCCGAGAGAGAGAGCCAGTGAGTGTGACAGAAGGAAGCAGGAGGGACCACAATCCCCTTTCGCCTTGACGTTTCCTCCAATTCTCTCCCCTTCCTCATTGGGCAGGGGGGTTAATGCCCATCTAAACCTTCCCCTTTTTTCCTCCTGCTTTCCGTCATCTTTTTCCACCTTTTACTTTTTATTATTGGAAAAGATAGGGTTGTTTTTTTTTAACCATGTCTTCCTAGAGTAGGGGTGAGCCACTAGGGGCGCTTTAGGACCTGTGGACTTCAACTCCCAGAACCCCCTTCGCATGATCACATTTCAGCTGCTAGGCAACCAGCTCGCTGCCATGTAACTAGTTTCCAAACTCAGTACAAGGCAAAACTTGGCACAGAGTCTCTGAGAGTCACGGAACGAACGAATTGTTTCCTGCAAAAGCCTACTCCCTGTTTCCTCCTCTTTTGTTTCCTATGGGAGGGGCCAATCACCTCCAAGGTGTGGCTTTACTCCCAAGTCGACCCTGCTTTTTGAATTGTTCTTGTCTTCTGGCACACTGGGAACAGGTTCCAGCTGTTCCTCTGCCTCACTGCTGTCTAGCTCCCTCTCTGCCTCCAATGCAGAGCCCTCGTCCGAGGACTGGCCCATGTTCCTCCTCAACCTCCTCACTGTCTGACTCTGCTTTCAGCTCTGCTGGCCGCCAGCGGGCCACAACAGGAATGTCCTTGGTTCCCACAGGAAAACTATTTGTTTTGACCACAAAAAACCAGCTGGCTCTTTTTCCCCCCTCCCTGTCCCTTCTTCTCTCTTGTGGCAACCCTGAAGCCTACAAGATGGCCTCAGCCAGGTTTGCTTCAGGGTTGACATCCGGAGACATTCCGGAAGAGACGGTTGTCTCTGAATTTAGCTCTCTTTTTTTCCTTCCAGACCGCTAGAAATTTAAACATGCCTGTCTTCCACCCCAGTCTTAGGCCTACCGAACTGCGTGGAGGAGATGTGTCCAGATATTCCGGTCCTGGAGAAGCTGATGAAGGACATCAACGGGCTGGCGGAGTCGGGAGCTCGCTATACCGAAATGCCCCACGTAATCGAGGTCACCCTGCCGATGCTTTGCAACTACCTGCCCCGTTGGTGGGAGAGAGGCCCGGAGACCAATGCGCAGGGTCCTTGGTGCACGGAAGTGACCTCTGACCAGCTCAACACTTTGCTGGGAAACATCCTGAAGATCATCGTCAACAACCTGGGCATAGACGAAGCATCTTGGATGAAGCGGTTGGCAGGTACGAAGGGAGCCTGAGGTGGTGGGATTGAGGCGTTTCTTTCTTTACAAGTGGGATTAAATTTTGCTCCGGAGAGAAATCGCATAATAAGGTATAACACTAAGCAAAGGTTGTAGGGAACTGTTCTGCTCCAGCTACGGACCCCAAAGAATGCAGCACACACAAAGTCTGTACGAAACTTAATTTACTAAAATAACTCAGTCTTTTTCAAACAAAGGCTGTTAATAAACTTTCTTAACAGCCTACAAGAATCCTAAAATAAGGTAATCACAATCTTACTAGAGTTGGCAGAAAGCCCAGAAGCAATTTTGCAGAGAATCCAAACGCGAAGGAGAGTGAACTAAAGTTGTTCCCTACAGCTTGCTGCAATCGGCGTTCCTCCTTAAATAGGCTAAGGGAGTGGCCAATTAGCCCCAAGTCTTATTCTTGAGGAGACCTCCTCCTGAGGAGCTACTCCTGCCTTCTGGCAGCTCTTCATCCTCTTCACTTATGGGAGCTAAATGAGAAATTCGTTAAGTGAATGTTTTGCCCCATTTTACGACCTGTCCTGCCACAGTTAAGGGAATCACGGCAGATCTTAAATTAGTAACATGGTTGTTAAGTGGACTTTCCCCACTGACTTTGCCCGTCAGAAGGGACTTACCTGCGCCAATAAGCAGCTAGAGCTCCAGAGGTTCCCAAGCCCTCTGGAATTGTTGGGAGGGACTCTTAACTTAATTTAATTTGATTTTAAATAATTTAATTTGATTTTATCTGGTTTTTAAATTTTTTATGTCTATGTTATTTTATTGTTTGGCTGTTCACCGCCCTGAGTCCTTCGGGAGTAGGGCGGTATACAAATCGAATAAATAAAAAAAATAAATAAAAAAAATAAACTTAGACTTGGAGCAAGGTAGCTTGCTCGCGACTGAGGAGTCTCTTCCCTGCGCAGTCTTTGCACAGCCCATTGTCAGCAAGGCCAAGCCCGAACTGCTCCGTTCCCACTTCATCCCCACCATGGAGAAGCTGAAGAAGAGGTCTGGGAAAGTGGTGGCCGAGGAGGAACAGCTGCGGCTGGAGGCCAAATCCGAATCGGAGGACAATGAGCTTCTCATCCGGGATGAGTTTTCGGTGCTGTGTCGCGACCTCTACGCCCTGTACCCGTTGCTGATCCGCTACGTGGACAACAACAGGTAATCCACCGTTGGCGAACCAAATCTATGCGTGCGCACATAAGGTGCAGATTGCAACTTGCAAGGTCATTCGAACGCCTCAGGCGTTCGAGGCGGGTGTAGTTAAGAAAGACAGCATAGGGATTTCAGGAAAGCCAATTTGGTTTAGTGGCGTGATGGCGAACCTATGGCATGCGTGCCGGAAGTGGCACACAGAGCCATCTCCCCAGGCACTTGAGCCGTTGGCCGTTGGCCTTCCGGGTTCCGGGTTCCGGTGCGCCGGCCAGTGGTTTTCACGCGCACGGGAGCTGCTCTTCCGGTTTCCGATGTGCACATGCGCACCGGCCACCACCGGTCGGTGTGCATGCGCGCGCCGGAAACCAGAAGCCCCTGTTTCAGCACTCAGTGCCAAAAAAGTTCGCCAACACTGGTCTAGTGGTTAAGGCAACAGGCTAGAATGCAAGAGACTGTGAGTTCGAGTCCTGCCTTAGCCACAAAAGCCAGCTCAAGTGACGTCAGGCTAATCACCAGGAAACGGGGAATTCTAGTCCCGCTTTAGGCACAAAATCCGATCCGATGACTTTGGAGCCATCACTAGGAGACAGTGAGTTCTAGTCCCACCTTAGGAGTGAAAGCCAGTTGGGTGACTTTGGGCCAGTCACACTCTCTCTTTCTCTCTCAGCCCAGCCTACCTCACAGGGTTATTGTTGTGGAGAAAATAGAAAGAGGAAGAGGTCTTGTCTATGTTCGAGTTATTTGTAAAAATCGAAGAGGTGGGATCGAAATCAATAAATAAATCCTGCTTTATTGTTATCTTGAAAGCCTGTTTTGGATAGTACTCTGTCCCCGTTTATATTAAACGAAATCAAGGCAGGGTTGTTTTGAAGAGATGGAAAGCGAAAAAGAGGAGAGGGTCAAAAGAAGGTCGAATATCCCATTTTCCCATGGCATGTTACATGGCGGCTAGTGGGGGGGGTGTCTCCGAGCTTGGTAGCTTTCTTCCAGATGTTTTATTATCAAACTTAGTAACGTCATAAATGCCAGAAGGGAGGGGAGTTTGCTCACTCAAATAGAGAGCAATCCCCACTCCCTGCTAGCACTGATAATGTTACCTAGTTGGGTCGTGAAAGGTGTGCAAGAAAATTACCAAGCGCAGAGAGCGCCAAGAATTCCACAGTCCTCCACCCTTCTCCTTCACATACTCCACTCCCTTCTAGCACTGATGATGTTACCTAGTTGGGTAATGAAACGTTTGTAAGAAAACGGAGAGCACCAAGGACCCCACAGTTTATTTATTTATTGGTTCGATTTATATGCTGCCCTTCTCCGGAGACTCAGGGCGGCTTACAGTGCGTTAAGCAATAGCCTTCATACTTTTGTATATACCTGCTTAGTAGGGCTTTCTCCCCCCCCCAAGTGGTGTTCTTTTTTTATACAAAGTCAGCTTATTGCCCCCACAATCCGGGTCCTCATTTTACCTACCTCGGAAGGATGGAAGGCTGAGTCAACCTTGAGCCTGGGGAGATTCGAACTTGCAGTAATTGCAGACAGATGGTGCTACTTAACAGCACTTTAGTCTGCTGCGCCACCAAGGCTCTTATACTCAACCCTGAGCTACAAATATTCTCTTCTGTTGATAGGGTGGGTCTCAGTGCTGAGTTTCCCCAGACTAGATCACATGAAGCATTTAGCACTTAGACTTAGCACTTAGACTTATATACCGCTTCATAGTGCTTTTACAGCCCTCTCTAAGCGGTTTACAGAGTCAGCCTTTTGCCCCCAACGATCCGGGTCCTCATTTTGCCGACCTTGGAAGGACGGAAGGCTGAGTCAACCTTGAGCCGGTGAGATTTGAACTGCCGAACTGCAGCTAGCGGTCAGCTGAATTAGCCTGCAGTGCTGCACTCTAACCACTGCGCCACCACGGAACCGTGGAAGGAGGCGCTCTCCAACCATTCTTTTTGCATCTGCAGGGCCCACTGGTTGACCGAGCCCAACTTGGATGCTGAGGAGCTGTTCCGGATGATTGGGGAAATCTTTATTTATTGGTCCAAGTCCCACGTGAGTCAGCTTGGGGGGGGGGTAGCAGCAGGGGTGAAATCCAGCAGGTTCTGACAGGTTCTGGAGAACCGGTAGCGGAAATTTTGAGCAGTTCGGAGAACCGGTGGTGGCAATTTTTAGTAGTTTGGAGAACCGGCAAATACCACCTCCGGCTGGCCCCAGAGTGGGATGGGAATGGGGATTTTGCAGTATCCTTCCCCTAGAGTGGGGTGTGAATGGGGATTTTGCAGTATCCTTCCTCTGCCACACCCACCAAGCCACGCCCATAGAACTGGTAGTTAAAAAATTTAGATTTCACCACTGGGTAGCAGAGTAGCAAGTTTGCGGGTTCAAATTTCCAACTTGTCTTTCCTTTGAAAACGCTGGAGAAAAACAGGTGAAAAGCTGCTCGTTGTCTTTTGACTTCTAGGATCCATCCGTGTAGAAGTATTCTTAACGTAACTCCTTTTTGGAAGGCCAGGGGGGTGGGGGTGGGAGTCCTGCCTCACCTCCAGGGGGAGAATATTCCACAGAGCGGGGCCAACGGCAGAGTAGCGTTTCTTCCTGGACCCTGTCATTCAGGATTCATTAACTGACAGGGTCTGGAACAGACCTTCCCTGCCTGTCCAGGTGGGACGAACCGATACAATGCCACAAAGAAGGTTCTGTGGGTAACTTGGCCTGCATACAGGGGTGGGATTCTACCGGTTTAGACCGGTTCGGGCGAACCGGTATCTCCGATGATCAACTGCGTTTTTCTTACCTATATCTGATTAGCACAGCAGAGCGGATTGCCGCACTTCCATTGTTTTAATTCCTTAGCACTAACGCGGAAGGTGGTTTTTCGTTCAGTTGCACCCGTAGCAAGAACCGGTTGTTAACCCACCACTGCCCGCATACGTATTAGGTGGAACCCCCTGCCTAAGTCTTCCGTCTGATTCTTCTTCCGCCTGCAGAATTTTAAACGCGAAGAGCAGAACTTCGTCGTTCAGAACGAAATCAACAACATGTCCTTCCTGACAGCCGACAGCAAAAGCAAAATGTCCAAGGTGAGAAGGGGTCTCCTCCTTCAGCAGGGCAGAAGGTAGTGGGTACGTCCTCCTTAGCGGCTCTTGCCATCCTTGAAGCCACGCTACCATCTCAGGAGGGGGAAGGGTCTTTGACCCAACCGTTGCTGAGCTCCAGGTGGACAGGAAGTTTCCGAGGGCTGCAGGATTCCACATCTCAGGGCAGGAGTAAACTTACTAAGTGGCCTTGGTTTAGCTACTCATTTTCTAAACGATTTAACTTGCAGGTGTAACCCTACAGATCTTTTCTTATGTAGATTCCTCTCTTAAGGGTACACGAAGTGAAGGAACAGTACAAAAACCTCCTTTTAATGCCCCAAACGGTGGAAAAAATGTGTCTTGTTATTCAGGAATCTTTTACTCAAACTGGAGCGTATCACAAATGTGGGAATTTACATCATTTGTGCGACAGGGTTAACCGTGCAAGTCCACCAGTTACGTCCACCGACATGCATTGCCTAACGATATCGCTCGCTTACAATTTACAAAAGAAAAACAACGGTAAGGTATGCAAACGATGTTGGTGGACGCCAACGGTGGGATGCAGGTCATTTGCAACAACACGCAGATAGGGTAAATCCCAGTGGAAATCAGGTTTGGTGGTAGGAGCCGTGATGGCGCACGCAGTGGTTGGAATGCAGTATTGCGGGCTATTTATGCTGAACTGCCGACTGCCAGCCATTTGGCAGTTCGATCCTGACCGGCTCAAGGTTGACTCAGCCTTTCAGCCTTCCATCCTTCCGAGGTGAGTCAAATGAGGACCCAGATTGTTTGGGGGCAAAAGGCTGACTGTATAAACAGCTTAGAGAGGGCTGTGAAGCCCTGTGAGGCGGTGTATAAGTCTTAAGGGCTATTGCAATTGCTACAAGGTCAAATGTTCTCTTTCCCAATTTCCTTCTTATTTATTGCCCTTATATATTTATAAGAATTGCTGTGCTGTCCTCTCCTAAGCCTCTTAAGTGTGGCTCACAATTAAAGAAACGCCTAAACCTTTTCCTGATCAGCTGTTACTGGGCATATATTTTGTCCTGAGTCCACCTAGCTAGGAAGAATTCAGCCTGCTCTTTTTAACTCCATCAGACCTGCTCCTTTCTTCTCTGCCCCCGTGTCTCGCCACGTACATGTCCAGGTCCCTCTCGATCCGTTCACAGGATCCTAAACCTTGTCCTGAAAACCTGTCCAGGTGGAGGACAGAAGATTTGAAGGAGCAAAGGGCGGTGACGGCTGACTCCAAATCACAAACCGTCCATCTGCCTTCCTTAGTCAAGGATTTTCCCATCGACCTCATTTGCCTGTTCTCCGTCCTCTTGCAAGTAGAGAGTAAAGAGCCTTGATAGTACAGGGGTTTAGTGCATCCTGTAATTAACACAGCTGCCTGCAATTTCTGCTGGTTCGAATCTCTCCAAGGCTCAAGGTTGACTCAGCCTTCCATCCTTTCTAAGGTAGGTGAAATGAGGACCCAGTTTGTGGGAGCAATAAGCTGACTTTGTATAAAACATACAAAAGTATGAAGGCTATTGCTTAACGCATTGTAAGCCGCCCTGAGTCTCCGGAGAAGGGTGGCATATAAATCAAATTAAAAAAAAAAAAAAAGTAACAAGAACTAGAAATATGCTTTCCCCATCCCCTGCCCCCCATTTCTACCTTTGGGAAGGAAAAAAAAAATGGCAAGATACGGTGAGAAATGAATCCTCCTGTTTTGATCATTTCTGATGCTTTGGATCTGTTGTACGGGCCCTTGGTGCTCTCCGAGCTTGGTTCTTTTCTTGCAGACATTTTGAAGTAGGTAAATTATCGGTGCTAGAAGGAAGTAGGAGTTTGCTCTCTGCTTATAAACCCCCCTTCCTTCTAGCGCTGATGATGTTCCCTAGTTGGGCATCTAGATCATGCAAGAAAACAGCCAAGCTCAGAGAGCATTAACAATTCAACCCTGAGCTACAAATATTCTCTTTGGATCAATTGATTAGATATTGCTGGTGGGCGGGGCGGAAGAAACCAACATCTGGGTGATGGGAGATTTCATAGGATCTTAGAATCCACCAAGTTCTGGACAGATGATTCTTGCTTTGAGTCCTTGCTTCGTGTCCTTGAGGCCTCCTCTAACCTTCTCTTTCTCCTGTCTTGTCTCCCTTTCCTCACCATCTCCACGTGTGGGTTTTAGTCTGAAGAAAGCCAGGTTAGCCAAAAAGCACAGCTGTTCCACTGGCCCGAAGGGTCAAGAAGGCAGCATGGAGCAATGGGGTATCTCTGCCGCAACCCTTCGCTCCCTCCCTGTTTAGAAGTGGGGCGAGGGGTGTGTGGGGTGGGGGTGTCGTTGCAAAGTCAACCCGGGGGCCGGGAGGAAGGGAAGGGGATGCGGCTGCATGGACGGTGACAAAAGTGCAGTAGCTTTTTTGCAGGTCTGACCGCAACGCATCAGACATGCGATGGGTGGCGCCTTCTGCCTGTCAGTCACCCAGTTAGTGGGGCTCACTCACGCCATGTTGAAGCGGGCAGCCATGTTCTGGAGTAGTTCTGACATGCCACAGCATGTCCTCCCTCCTTCCTCCTCTTCCTTCTAACTAACCAATTGGTCTCGGAGTCTCCAAAATCCAGTACTAAAGACATCCCTTAACTCCCAGCATGCTTTGGGAGTCCTTCTCCTAATCTCAATCTACCTTCTTGGTCCTCTTCTTCCTCCTCCCCCACCCCCGTACACCCCAGAGCCCATCATCCTGCCCTGCCACTCTCCGAGTGGGGTGGGGAGAAAGAGGTTGCCTGTTCATGCCCCGTCATCTCCCCCTCCCCCCCCCCGGCTGCCGACCGTGCTTGCGTGCGGTTCTGCGTAGAGGTTGGCTAAGCTGTTTTTGCAAGGCTGCCTGTTAAGCGGCCAAAGATGCTGGAAGGGTGTCTTCTTGTCATCTTGGATCGAGCCAAATTAATTCATATCCCTTTGATCCCTGGGAAGGAGGGAGGGAGGGAGGGTGGGAGGAAGTGGGCCTCTCCGTGCCACACCAACTCAGTCCTGCCCGTTTTGAAAATTTGGTCCAGGGTGTCTCAGGAATTTGATAATTTTTCCTCCTGTTGTCTACAACAGGGGGTCCCCAACCAGGAGTGGGATTCAAAAATTTTAGCAACCAGTTCTCTGCCCGGTTGTTGGGTGGGCATGGCCATGGTGGGTGTGGCCTACTTGGCCTCCTGCACCACGGTGGGGGGGGGGAGGTGTGCGTTATCGCCTTCCCCAGGCTCCGGAGGCTTTTCCCTAGAGCAGGGGTCTGCAACCTTAAACACTCAAAGAGCCATTGGGAGCCGTTTCCCACAGAAAAGAAAACACCGGGAGCCACAAAACCCTTCCCGGGCCTGACTATTTCTTGAGAGGCCACAAAACTAGCCTATGTAGTTGAATGAAACGTTCTGTTTTCTTCTGAAACTTAAACTTTTCTTAGATTTATCCATGGTTGGCCTACCGGGGGTTGAGAAGCTCAATGAATCGTGTCGCACATTGGCGGTTGTGACACATATTTTGAGTGACAGGGAGCCACAGCAGAGGTGTGAAAGAGCCACATGTGGCTCCAGAGCCACAGGTTGCTGACCCCTGCCCTAGGGCCTCCGGAAAGACAAAAATGGCCTCCCCCGGACTCCAGAAGCCCTCCGGAGGCCGGAAATGGGCCCATTTCCAGACTTCTGGAACTTCTGGAAGGCCCATTTTTCACCCTCCCAGAATCTCCATGCCGGCCCTGCACTTACCTGGCATCCAAAACGGGCTGCCTGGAGACTCCTGGGAGGGAGGAGGCAGGGCGGGCAGGACCAGCCAGTCCTTGAAACTACCAGTTCGGCGAACCAGATGTAAAATTACCATTTGGTTTGCCCGAACCGGCTGAATCCCACTCCTTTCCCCAACCCCCAGGCCATGGCCGGGCTGCAGCCCATTCAGAACTGGACCGCAGAAACCCCTTGGGAAAATTAATTGCCCACCCCTGCTGTAGGAGGTGGTCAAAAAAGATCAAGGCGATGCCCATTATGATGTGATCCAACCTCTGCTTTAGATGCATCCCACAAAAAACAACAACAACAGGCAGAGCTTGGATCACATCATGGCAGCCGCCATCTTGATTTTTCTGACTGCAGATACCCCTGACCTCTTGACGTGAGCATTTCCACAGATCCTGCTAAAATGTCCCCTAATTCCCTTTCCTAGCAACTGCCTCTGTCTTACTCATTTTAATTCCACGTTCCTAGATCTGCAGCTCCGTATCTCTTCTCTGGTATTCCAAATGGGTCCTCTCTACACTGGCTAACACCCCCCACCCTTCTCATCCCCAGAAGACCCTCCTCTTATCCAGGCATAACCTCTGCATGTGCATCGTCACTTGAAGTCCAGTCAAAGTCCTCCTTTCTGTCTCTGGGTTGATGGATCAAAAAGCGAATGCATGGAATGAGATTTTGATCCACGCACTCCTGACAGACGGTCTTGGAAGCAACGGTGAACGATCCCAGATCCCTGAGCATTAGAGGCAACAAGTCTCTGGATTGTCACTTTTGACACACTGGATCAGGGGTCTCCAATCTTGGCAACTTTTAAGACCTGTGGACTTCAACTCCCAAAGTTGCCAAGGTTGGAGACCCCTGCACTGGATCATAGGTGTCCAACCTTGTTCCACTTGAAGAGCTGTGGACTTCAACGTCAACTTGCTGGCTGGGGAATTCTGGGAGTTGAAGTCCACTGATCTTCAAGTGGACAAGGTTGAACATCCCTGTCCTACATTTTACAGCTTCTTCTCTCTCATCTTCTCTTGAGAGAAGACCTGGTCCAGCTTTCCCACCAGGTCATGGAAACTCCATGTCTGAAGCAGCGCTTGGTCGCTAAAGCTTTTGCCCGGTCGAGCTGTTGGCATGCCAGGGGACAACCTGAGTTGGCACAACCTCCCTTTCCCGCCAAGCTGACTTTGGCTCTTCCTCTCCCAGTCAGGTGGCTCGGACCAGGAACGGCACAAGAAGAAACGCCGAGGGGACCGCTATTCCGTACACACGTCCCTCATCGTGGCCACGCTAAAGAAGATGCTTCCCATCGGCCTGAACATGTGTTCCCCAACTGACCAAGAGCTGATCAGCATGGCCAAGATACGCTACGCCTTGGTGAGGGTCCTGGGGGGGGGTTGCTAAGGAAACCAGGTTTCCATGTCAAAGTTTCCAGATCTCCAACTGTTGACCAGGTTGACGGTGGTTGACTAGACATGAAGCAATGTTGGAAGGTCCACTCAACTGTGGAGCTGGAGAGCATGGACCAGGCAGATTTTATGTACACTTTTATGTACACCGAGAGCGTATGCACCAACACAAATTCCTTGTGTGTCCAATCACCCTTGGCCAATAAAAAATTCTATTCTATTCTATTCTGTGATTGAGACGAGCGTGAAATGGGCCTTCACTTTCCTAGTTGAGGAAGGATAGAAAAGCTACAAAGGACAACTTTGTTACACTTACACACCAGGGGTGATATTCACTTACCTTTGCCAGCAGTTCACAAATGGGTTCGCTTCACTCACACGTGCCACCTCCGTGCATGCGCAGGGAGTCAAAAACAGGACGTGATGACGTCCGAGCGGGTGGGAGGAGCCTCCCGCAACCGCTGCTACTGGTTTGCCCGAACCGGATAGAACCGGCTGAATGCCACCACTGTTACACACACACACACAGAGAGAGAGAGAGAGAGAGAGAGAGAGGATCACAATGACCATGTTCCTCCTCGAGTTCTCGCTTTGATTTCAGTGATTTATATCCTGCCATCAAGGATACAAATTCTGACGTTCCTGTCAGTCAAGGGACACCAACGTTCAGAAATCTCAATGGATGGTTTGTTTAAGAAGGGATCGTAAACCTGGCAGGAAGAGGTTCTTTCTGGGATTGTTCCTTGGTTGCCTTGGTTCATGCGAACGCTCTCCTCCTCTGCAGAAAGACACCGATGAAGAGGTGCGTGAATATCTCCAAAACAACCTTCATCTTCAAGGCAAGGTGAGGACCTGGAACGGCTCCAGAAAGTGAAGTTTTGGGAATTCAGGCTTTGTGGGTTTTCCCATAAATAGACTTGCTCCCTTCCTGTCTGGATGAGTACATGAGTTACAGAATAGAATCTAACTCACTCTTTCTTTCTTTCTTTCTTTCTTTCTTTCTTTCTTTCTTTCTTTCCTTTCTTTCTCTCCCTCTCCCTCTCCCTCTCCCTCTCCCTCTCCCTCTCCCTCTTTCTTTCTTTCTTTTTTCTTTCTTTCTTCTCTCTCTCTTCCCTTCCTTCCTTCCTTCCCTCCCTCCCTCCCTCTTTCTTTCTTTCTTTCTTTCTTTCTTCTTTCTTTCTTCTTTCTTTCTCTCTCTCTCTCTCTCTTCCCTTCCTTCCTTCCCTCCCTCCCTCTTTCTTTCTTTTTTCTTTCTTTCTTTCTTTCTTTCTTTCTTTCTTTCTCTCTCTCTCCCTTCCCTCCCTCCCTCTTTCTTTCTTCCTTTCTCTCTCTCTCCCTCCTCCCTTCCCTCCCTCCCTCTTTCTTTCTTTCTTTCTTTCTTCTTTCTCTCTCTCTTCCCTTCCTCCCTTCCCTCCCTCCCTCTTTCTTTCTTTTTTCTTTCTCTCTCTCTCTCCCTTCCTTCCCTCCCTCCCTCCTCCTTCTTTGTTTCTTTCTTTTCTTTCTTTCTTTCTTCTCCCTTTCTTTCTCTCTCTCTCTCTCTCTTTCTTTCTCTCTCTCTCTCCCCCCTTCCTTCCTTCCCTCCCTCCTCTCCTTCTTTCCTTCCCTCATCTTACAAACTACTACATAACAATGACTATAATAAAACTCAGAATCTAGCACCAAGAAGTATCTGGAAAAAAACACTAACATCCCACAAGGGACCCATCTCTCATTCTACCAGGATTTTGGGGACAGAGACTAGTTTTAAGACCTCATTTAAATAGAGCTGGGGGGGGTAGGAACGGTGATGTTTCAGATGGCCTGCTACGCTCTGTGAATGTCCCCCTTTGCCTTGCAGTGTGAGACTTCCTCCTCCATGCGCTGGCAGATGGCCCTCTACAAGGAGATGGCTGGGAAAGCCGAGGACTCCAACAATCCGGAGAAGATTGTCAAACGCGTGCAGGAGGTCTCCGCCGTGCTCTACCACCTGGAACAGGTATGGACCCACAAAGGGATTTGGCAGGTTCATAGGATAGGATTTGCTATCTACAACTACTGATGGCTGCGGAGACCTTCCCAAATTTCACGGCCGCGATTCTCGATGGCTGCCAAATTTGAAAGTCAACTTAAAAAAACAAAAATCCACCAGCAGCAAAAAAGCACCAACAATAAATATAAGCAGAATGGCAGCCTGGGATTAACATCAACCCTGCAATTGCAGGTAAAAAACCAGGAAGTAATGACACCCGGGCGAGTGGGTGGAGCCTCACACCGCCATCGCTACCGGTTCTCCGAACCACCTGCCACAATTTCTACCGGATCACCCGAACCGGAAGCATTTCACCCCTGTTTGGGACCTAGTAACCCATCTCCTTGATGGATCATGGAGTTTTCAGAGGGAGGAACCTCAAAGGAGGAATACAAAGGAATGGGAAGGAAGCCACTGATCAGGAAAAGGGAGCGTGTTAGTTACTCTTATCTTCCAACCCCGATTCTCTTCTGCCTTCTTCTGCAGTTGGAGCACCCGTACAAATCCAAGAAAGCCGCGTGGCACAAATTGCTCTCCAAGCAACGGCGTCGTGCAGTGGTTGCGTGCTTCCGCATGACGCCCCTCTATAACCTGCCCAGGTGAGTTAATACAGCTCGGTTGGCTGGTGCGCTGATTGGAAGGAGGGTCATTCCATATACAGATTCACCACTTCCAGACGGAATGGAACAACTCACCTCCGCCAACTCCCCATGCTCAATTCACCACAGCCAACTCCCCATGGGACAAGTCGCTGCAGGACAATTCAACAATTCAATTTAATTACTTAAAGTAATTTTAAATAATACATTTTAATTTTTGTCATTCCCATTACATTTTGTCCCTCCTTTGGCATTCTTTCTTTCATAGCAATAGCTTAGACTTATAGACATCGCTTCACAGTGCTCTACAGCCCTCGCTAAACGGTTTACAGAGTCAGCATTTTGCCCCCCTCCCCCCCCCAACAATCTCGGTCCTCATTTTACTGACCTCGGAAGGACGGAAGGCTGAGTCCACCTTGAGCCGGTGAGAATCGAACTGCCAAATTGCAGGCAAGCCGGCAGTCAGCAGAAATAGCCTTTGGAATTGCATCCTAACCACTGTGCCACCACGGCTCATGATTAATGATTCTACTCGACTATTTCTTCGATATTAATGTAGCTCTTTTCCTGCGGTGAGTTGTTCTGCAGTGAGTTGGCCAACACAAGTTGGCCAAGGCAAGTTGGCCATGACAAGTTGATGTAGATCCTTCTAGCAGTTGGGGAGGTCTGTGTTTCCTTAACACTGCCAAACACTTCCCTAACACTGCCCACTGTGAGGGACTCGCAGGAGAAGATTCCTGCGAGTCCCTTGGACTGCAAGGGGATCAAACCAGTCAGTCCTAGAGGAGATCAACCCTGACTGCTCTTTAGAAAGCCAAATCCTGAAGATGAAACTCAAATCCTTTGGCCCCAGGGATGAAATGCTCCCAGTTTAGACCGGATTGCCCGATCTGGTAGCGATGGCAGCAGGTGGCTCGGAAAACCGGTAGCAAAAATCCATGCCCGCCCCCCCGCTGCCCAGCTGAGCCGCGCGATCATCAGAGGCTTTTTTTTTTTTTACTTTGCCTCTGATGATCGCGCGGCTCAGCTGGGATCGTCAGTGGCTTTTAAAAGCATTTTTTCTACAACCTCTTTGGCTGAAGAGATTGTAGAAAAAATGCTTTTAAAAGCCTCTGACGATCCCAGCTGAGTTGCCTGATCGTCAGAGGCTTTTAAAAGCTGAGTTGCCTGATCGTCAGAGGCTTTTAAAAGCATTTTTTTAATAACCTCTTCGGCCGAAGAGGTTGTAGAAAAAATGGTTTAAAAAGTTTTTTTTTTTAAAAGTTGGCCACGCCCACCCTGTCACATTACCCACCACCACCAAGCCCGCCCACAAAACCGGTAGTAAACAAATTTTACATTTCACCACTGATTGCCCCCTAAGAGAAGGAAGGACTCACTGGAGAAGAGCCTAGTGCTGGGAACGATGGAGGGCAAAAGAAGGAGGGGACGACAGAGAACGAGGTGCCTGGATGGAGTCACTGAAGCAGTCGGGCATGAACTTAAATGGTCTCCGGGGGATGGTAGAGGACAGGAAGGCCTGGAGGAACATTGTCCATGGGGGTCGCGATGGGTCGGACACAACTTCACAACTAACAACAATAACACTGGCAAAATGGGAATCGTCTGGCTGGGATGGAGGACACAATTGACCTGCCTTTCTGCTTCTCAGGCATCGTGCTTGCAACATGTTCCTGGAGAGCTACAAGTATTCCTGGATCTTCAGTGAAGAGCACCCCTTTGAAGACAGAATGATTGACGACCTGTCGGTGAGTCTTCCCCGGGTGGGGGTGGGGGAGATCCTGAGGTCAACTGGGGGGAATGGTTTGAATGCTCCACCCCCTGGTATTTGTTTAGCGGAAATGCTACATTTCACAGGTGCCTAGCCTGATTTCTAATTGGTCTTTTTCCTGTTGTGGGATGTGGGTTGTAGAAACCTGGGCCGCAGGAAGAGGAAGAGGAAGAGGAGGAGGAAAAGAAGCCAGACCCTTTGCATCAGCTCATTCTCCATTTTAGCAGGACAGCATTAACGGAAAAGAGGTTTGTAGTGTGGCAGTGATAGAATCCGAGCCCGGCGTGAATTTGGGCTGCCCTGGTGTAGGAGAATAATTTAATTTAATTTAATAATTTTATTTCTATACCGCCCTTCTCCCGAAGGACTCAGGGCGGTGTACAGCCTAATTAAAAAACAGAATAAACATCAATTTAAAATAATTTAAAAATATTAAATAAATTTGGCTTAATTTAAAACCCCAAAAATTTAAAACATCCAATTTAAAATTATATTGCTAACCCAGCCTGGCGAACAACAGGGTCTTGAGTGCGCAGTGAAATACCCGGAGGTCAGAAATCTTACGAATTTCCAGGGGAAATTCCGGGAGAAAGACAGGCGGAGGAATTGGGGAATTGGAATTTCAGTCTATTTGCAGGATGATACACTGGTGCTGATCCTGAACGTGTTTACTTTATTTCAGCAAACTGGATGAAGACTATCTGTACATGGCCTACGCCGACATCATGGCCAAGGTAAGCAAGAGATGGACCATTGCAGTCTGCTTCAAAAGCTGCTCTGGATGTCTTGCTATGTTTTCACCTCTTCTGTGGCTGCACCAAAACTTTTTGTGGCATGTTGGCTGTTCTCCAAAAAAAGGGCGGGGCAGGACCCTTTGGTGGGAGGGACTGGGAGAAGGGGTGTGCAACCCATTTTTGCATCTTATATGTACTCTGGAATGGATCGTGGCTGGAACAGTCTCAGACACAAGCAACCAAATCCACGTGTGAAGGTTTCAAGTTGACCACTGTACTTTATTGTGTGCTGCCTATACTACAAGAATCTCCTCAGTCTGCTTGCCTTCGCTTGGGAACAAACAGATCAGGTTCCACGGAACTTAGGAGGTGTCAGATCTTAAGTCTTTTGCAGCTGCGCAAGGACTCAAGGCTAACTCCCTGCTTGATCCCTCCTCCCTTGGCAGGCTGGGAGTTTTCCAGCAGACAGTTGTGGGAAGGATCTTCATATATCTGTGTTGCTGCTCAACCCTTTTTTCCTTTTTTTTTTTAATCCCTGGGACTTTAGAGCTGTCACATTAATGAAGGAGAAGAAGGCGATGGGGAAGAGGAAGAAGAAGTGCCGTTTGAGGTTAGTGACTTCTCTCTTCTCAACTTCCCAAATTGGTTTTGGACACTTCAACTTGCAGGTGGTCAAATCTCCCTTCTTGACCTGCGTGCTCCCAACTTGCCAAGAAGGTCAAAATGCTCCAGATGTGAAACCTAATCCTATATTTCAATAATAGGAAAATGACAGCCTAGCGCAGTCGGTAGGCGCACTTCTGCTTACAGAGGTGGGAGAAGGGGCATCAAACCTCGTACCATCTAGTGAACCTTCATAAAAGCAGAAGGAGAGACCTGGGTTGGGTCAAGCCCATCTAATCCATCATTCCATGTCCTCCTAATGGCCAAAACAGATGTAGATAGGGACTTCAACCATCCTTGTCATTTTCCAGTCGCTGATGTGTCAGGGCTACTGCCAAAAATGTAGGAGATGATGAACAGCCATCAAGATCAATAGCTTTTGAAGGCACCTCCATGGATTCGCCCATTCCCCTTCTAGAATCTTCTAAATGTCCATGAAGATTCAACTCTGCATTATATAAAGAAGTCACTCCTCTTGTTAATTTTCCATCTTCACGGAGAGTGCTAGTTTGGTCTGATTAAGGCACCAGGCTAGAAAGCGTGAGTTCTAGTCCTACTTTAGCCACGAAAGCCAACTAGGTGACCTTGGGCCAATCACTAGGAGATAGTGAGTTCTAGTCCCGCCTTAGGCATGAAAGCCAGCTGGGAAACTTTGGGCCAATCGCTTTGGAGATTGTGAATTCTAGTCTGGCGCTAGGCACGAAAGTTGGCTGGGTGACTTTGTGGGCCAGTCACCAGGAGACGGTGAGTTCTAGTCCCGCCTTAGGCATGAAAGTTGGCTGGGTGACCATTCAGTCTCTCTCAGCCCAACCCACCTCAAAGGATTGTGGTTGTGGGGAGATGTGTTGGAGATATTGTTGCCTTATTTGTAAAAATAATGGCGGTGGGATATAAGCAAACAAAAAGGGACGCGGTGGCTCAGTGGCTAAGACGCTGAGCTTGTCGATCAAAAGGTTGGCAGTTCAGCGGTTCAAATCAGAGCCTTGGTAGTACAGTGGTCTAAGGCACCCTGTTATTAAGCTGGTTTTTAAGACCAGATGCCTGCAATTACTGCAGGTTCAAATCTCGCGAGGCTCAAGGTTGACTCAGCCTTCCATCCTTTCTAAGGTAGGTAAATTGAGGACCCAGATTGTGGGGGCAATAAGCTGACTTTGTATAAATATACAAAAGTATGAAGGCTATTGCTTAGCGCATTGTAAGCCGCCCTGAGTCTCCGGAGAAGGACAGCATATAAATCAAATTAAAAAAAAAAAATCCCTAGTGCTGCGTAATGGGGTGACCTCCCGTGACTTGTCCCAGCTTCTGCCAACCTAGCAGTTCGAAAGCAGGTAAAAAATGCAAGTAGAAAAATTGGGACCACCTTTGGTGGGAAGGGAACAGCGTTCCGTGCGCCTTTGGCGTTGAGTCATGCCGGCCACATGACCACGGAGACGTCTTCGGACAGCGCTGGCTCTTCGGCTTTGCAACGGAGATGAGCCCCGCCCCCTAGAGTCGGGAACGACTAGCACGTATGTGTGAGAGGTACCTTTATCTTTACCTTATAAGCAAACAAACCAATACATTTGACTCGAATTCCAATGTTGTAAGAGACAGAGGAAGCTCTACCTTTTGGGAGCTTCTAAAAAGCAGCACCTTTGCACACCACTCAGGCAGGCCCCGGAATGTACCTGAAATGCTTTTATCTGAATTTTGGAGACCAACAGAATTTTGGAGACTCTCCATCTTCCTCCTGTAACCTCCTCCCTCCTGCTCCTTTGTCTTCTTGCAGGAAAAGGAGATGGAGAAGCAGAAGCTTTTGTACCAACAATCCCGACTTCACAATCGCGGAGCAGCTGAGATGGTCCTGCAAATGATTAGCGCCTGTAAAGGTTAGAAGTGATCCTACTTTTTCCTCCCTACTTATTTCCGGCAAAGAATAAGATCCTTGGACGGGTCAGGGTTACTTCATCTGAAGAGAGAAAACCTTGATTAAGTCAGAAAGAACTGGAGCTGGGAGATTTGGGAGATATAAGTGGTCCTCAACTTACAGCCATGTGTTTAGTGACCGTTCAAAGAAGTTGTTGTGATGGCCACCATGTACCAGAAGAGATATAGGAAGGACTGAATTGGGAGGAAGAGAAAAAAGAACAACTGGATGGAGAACAAACGAGCAATGGCCTTGAGGTCTTGATAGTAGGAAGAGGAAGGTATCACTAGTACCTTCTGGCATTAAACTTTAGTCTAACTACAATGAAGTCAAGACCCAAGAACCAAAAGAGAAGTTGCTTCTTAGTTTCCTTATTGTTTCTTTGCTTACAGACAGAATCTTGCCAGACTAAAGCAACTATCTGCATACCATGTTTCCCCGAAAATAAGACCCTGTCTTATATTTTTTTGAACCCTGAAATAAGTGCTTGGCCTTATTTTCGGAGAGGTCTTATTATTTTGGGGCGAATGGAGCAAGATGGGACTCCTCTTGCCATCTTACCTGGTTTTTAAGATGCATCTCCTGTAGAAGAAAGTCACTGTGTTCCAAGACAAGAAATGTCATGAAATGATTTGGTTTTCTGTCTTGACAGGGGAGCCTGGAGCCATGGTTTCCTCTACTCTGAAATTGGGCATCTCCATCCTAAATGGTGGCAATGAGGAGGTACAGCAGGTAAGAAGAAGGAGACCAGGATTCTGGGCAGGTTCTTCCTTTTGCTAATTCTTGGAGACTGAGAAATAGTTTTATCCCAAGATTAAAAGACTCGGATAACACTGGATGGAGTATAAAATTAAGACAGAGAGGGGGAAGTGGCGGTCGGAGTTGGAGAACAGTGGTTCAGCGGGAAGCATTCTGGAGAACAGCTGGGTGGTGGGAGACGTCTTTAAAAGAAGAGTGAGAGCAAGCTACAGATGACATCAAATGGATATTCATTTTGGAGGTCCACCATGGACCATACTCCCCAGCATAAATCAGAATTGTAGAACTAACTGAAAGAGGCAGACTTGGTCCTTTCTGTCTCACCACATGATAGTCCCCTTTGAAGCATCTATTTTCAAGGTTGGGAAAGGTACATCACTAGATTCTCTCACAAGGTGACTGGAAGGGACTGACTAGGTCCATGCAATGGAGGATGGTGTGGTTCTCCATCCATCTATAGTATGGTCCTTCTGTACCCTGTTTCCCTGAAAATAAGATCCAACCGGAAAATAAGTCCTAGCATGATTTTTCAGGATGCTCGTAATATAAGCCCTACCCGCAAAATAAGCCCCAGTTAAGATTGTCAGCCAGATGGGTGCATTTAGTACCGTATTTACCCCCAAAATAAGACCTAACCAGAAAATAAGCCCTAACGTCTTTTGGAGCAAAAATTAATATAAGACCTGGTCTTATTTTTGGGGAAACACGGTAGATTTGACCTTCAGATCTGTAGATGTGAAGAACGATGATCTATGAAGATAGGAACTTGCCGTGTTATGTTGTTTCGATTCACCAAAAGCTAAACATTAGGTTCTCTGGTCCTTTCCAAATGTTGACTTTCTCCCTTTCTTCAGAAAATGCTGGATTATCTGAAGGAGAAACGTGAGGTGGGATTCTTCCAGAGTGTCCAGGCACTAATGCAGACCTGCAGGTACTTAGCGGTGTCTTCTACTTTTTTCTTTGTTTTCAATACTTCTTATTATCTTGTTGTCCAGGGTTTGGAACTTAAGGTCCTCTAGATTCAGTAAGGTCTGCCGACTGGATAAGATCTATTTGTGAAATTAGAAAGTTGCAAACTTCGGTCCATTTTCTCTTTCACATACTTCTGGTTAAAAAGAAAGGCTGTGAAAGTCTTGAAGATCCTTCACTTCACGGATGGGTCCTCTCTGGGGACAGGGAAATGCCAAGAACGTTGAGGTCACCATGAGTATCTTCTGGGAAGAGATAGAAAGAAATGAGAGATGCGCTCCAAGAACATGTGGTGACCTAAAACTTGGAGCTCCATAAAAGCAATTTGGGAAGGACTATGGGAATCCCAGATTTGAGGAGGGCTTCCTATAAGCTCCCTTTTCCATCTGGGGGACTCCTGTGTATGTCTGATGTTTAATTTCCCACAAAGACTTAAAGCTAAGTTGGGGCATCACAGGAAATTAAGATGGTGACTCAGATCAAGAGCGTATGCACCAGTGGTGAAATGTAAAATTTGTTACTACCGGTTCTGTGGGCGTGGCTTGGGGGGGTAATTTGACTGGGTGGGCGTGGCCAACTTTTTTATTTTATTTTATTTTTGAAAGCATTTTTTTCTACAATCTTAAGAGGTTGCAGGAAAAAAATGCTTTTAGAAGCCTCTGACGATCAGGCAACTCAGCTGGGATCGCCAGAGGCTTTTAAAGGCATTTTTTTCCCTACAATCTCTTCGGCTGAGCGCTCGTGTCACCACAGGGGCCCCGACACAAGTGACGTCGAGCTGGCCACGTCCACCCTGGCCATGCCCACCGTGGCCCCCTGAGGTCAAACACAACCCTGATGCATCCCTCAATGAAATCAAGTTTGACACCCCTGAACTAGGTCAATGTTATAACCATCATCCTGGGAGCTGCTACTACCTTAGTGTTTTTTGGTCCCGCAACTGACTTTCTACGGTGTCCTCACCTCGTCTCTTGTTCCGTTCCTCCCCTTTGTTCACAGCGTGCTGGACCTCAATGCCTTTGAGAGGCAAAACAAGGCTGAAGGACTTGGGATGGTAACAGAAGAAGGAACAAGTAAGTCCTTCTGTCCCGGTTGAGGTGCTCCAGCAAATCCACCAAGAACGAAGCTCATTCCTGCTTGTCTCAGTTCTTCTGCCTCCCGAGGCAGGCGGGAGGCAGCACCCTACCCTACCCTCTCCTTCCGTCACCTCCCCCCCAAGGTTGAGTCTGGCCACTGGATTTTTTGGGGAGGGCCCCAATGGCCCAAAAAATTCAGCAGGGGAGGCCAGGATGCTTTGCATGTGGGACATCATCTCCCAGTTGTTGTTTGCTGGAAAATGTCTTCCCAGGCATTTCTCCAGGTGGGTTGTGGAGCAGGCTCAGCGTTGTTTTGAAGATGGGGGCAGAGTTTGCATCTCCGAGGAGGGATGCAAAAGAGGTGGGGGTTTTTTCCCCAAGATGGACACTGGCTTCTTTCCCGAGCCTGCCCAGTGTTTATCCTTTTCCTTCAAACCTGCCCCAGCCCTCTGCATATCCTTTTTGTGTTCACTGCTTCCTTCTCGTAAGACGCGAATTAATTGAGATTTCTAAAACCAATAATGGATTTCCCCTCCTCCATCCTCCCCATCCACCTTCCTCCTCCCCCCCCCCCAGGTTCTCTGGTCTCATCCGTTCTCTGTTCCACGTTAAATGGCATTTTAATCTTATTTTGATTTTATTTTTGCTCCCTCTCTCTGGTTTATAATGGTCTCCTTTTCCTTCCGGCACCCGCCTCCTCTCTCCTCCTCCCTCCTTCTTTCCCTTCCCCTCCCCTCTCCTGGTGTCACCGCTGCCCCTCCCTCAGTCATCAGTCGTGAAAATGGTAAATAATCTCTTTTGCTTTTATGTGAAATTTGCGTTTTTTTTTCAGTTTCTCGGCTTCTTTTCTTTTTTCTTTTAATTTTAATTGCCCTTTCTAACCTGAGAGATTGGATGCTAAAAAAAACACCCAACTGATCGGAATCCCCTCCTTCCATTTCCTCTCAACCCTGGTTTAGAATCTAGAATCTTAGAACCCCGGAGGAATTCATCATGGGTTTCTTAACATCCTGGGGGCTGCAAATGTAGGGACTTCAGGAGGTCCTGCATTTTGGACCTATTAGACCAGTGGTCCCCAACCCCCGGTCCGCGGACCGGTGCCGGGCCGTGGAGTACCTGGCACCGGGCCGCGCAGTGGCTGGGGGACATGAACGCTGCAGCGCAAAGGCTCCTGGGCCATGCGCAATGGGCCGTGCGCAAAAGCTCCTGGGCCGTGCCCCCACCCCTGCGCGCGCTCAGCGGGCCGCGGCGATAAAAAGGTTGGGGACCACTGTATTAGACGACGGGCAAGATGAATGTCGCAACAGGGATCCTTAGAAAGAACTTTGATGATGTTTGCTCAAGTGTATATTGGGAATGGTTGGGTCGCCTTGAGCTACATGTCCTTAGAGTCTGGAAGTTCTAGACCAGAGATCTCCAACCTTGGCAACTTTAAGCCTGGCGGACTGCAACTCCCAGTTTTGCTGGCTGGGGAATTCTGGGAGTTGAAGTCCGCCAGGCTTAAAGTTGCCAAGGATGGAGACCCCTGTTCTAGACAGCTCCACCTCTACAGTCTTCAGACCAGACTTGATATTGGTGATCAAATCCCCGAATTACCTCAACTGAGAATATGGCTTTTGCCTGGAATCTCAAGCGAAGCAGACAGGTGTTTATAATCTGTGATCCAGTTAAGGATGATGGTAGATAGATCAATCCATGGTGGAACCATCGGTGCTTATCAGTTGGAGGTGGGTTGACCAGCTAGGTTGATCTGTTCTTTAGAAACTGGGCCATATTTTATGGACAGGATGGCTAGTTGTCTTATTCAAGGCCCAAGAAATGAGCAGTTCTGGATAGTTAACTTGGAAGACCAGCGGCCAAGATAGGTTTCAAGTCTAGCTTGGAGAAACACCTGAAGTCTGGTGGTTTCCTGCAGTAGAGACTCCACTGAAGTCCAAAGTTCACAATGAGGTAGCTTCCCCTCCATGGAAGACGGTTGGGTTCTTCTCAACTTTGGGTGAAGGCATCATAATCAGCCAGAACCTGGCTGAATAAACACGCAACCCATTACACCTGTGTCAGCTTTGGAGAGGGTTCTGATCAGTCTTCAGAGGGGGCAGGAAAGTGTCCTGAACTCTATTTGGTGCATGTCCTTTAGTTGATGAATTTTTCCCCAGTGCCACATTCTACCTTTCTCCCCAAAATTCAGATTGGCTTTCTGCACAGTGTCTTCTTGTAAGTGATGCCCCTGACTTTTGGTGCAGACCTCAATTCTTCACCCACCCACCTCTCCTTTTCTTCTTCGTCCCGTTTTCAGAAGTCTTCGGTGTGTAGCACACTTTTTGTCACCTCCGTGCCTGCACCCTCCCGCCATTTTGTTCACAGCAGTGTTGTCCCAGCTTAGACTGCAGACCAAGGAGGGTGCAAGTTGCATAACTGTGCGGCTGTATTGGTGGCATAAGTGCTTTGTAACAGTGCAGCGTCATTGTAACAACTAGCTGTTTGAATGCTATGTCTTCCATATCCATGTAGATACCTTCTGATGTTTTGTGTTTTGAAAAGGTGTGTGTGTGTCTGTGTATTTGCGAGATAGGTACCGGTGGATTAAGCAGGTAGAAAAGTTGCAGAGTAAAAGTGTAGTATATTTACTACGCTTTCTTGGGCCTCCGTCTCATAGGTAAACTTTGCCCTTCTCTTAAGAAATGTTGTGTAAATACAGGTAGCCCTTGCCTTTCGTGACTGAATTTACAACAGCTTTGAAAAAAAAATGAATTATCAACAGTCCGTGATAACGGTCAACAACCGTCACAGAATCCTAGCAGTCATGTGATCAATATTTGGACACTTGGAGTAACCTTATAGTAAATCTGTAGAAATTGAGATAACGGACATTTTTGGCATCTGAAATTGCAACTGTGTTCTTATTAAATTCCTGGTTAATGCAGGAAAGTCACCACTATCCAGTATTATCCTTGCAAGTGGTCTTCTAATATTATATTACCCATGTTTCCCCGAAAATATGATCCTGTCATATATTTTTTTGAACCCCGAAATAAGCGCTTGGCCTTAGAGCATGGATTGGGTTCCTCTTGCCATCTTACCTGATTTCCAGCTTTTTCTCCCTAACCCTAATCGGAGGAAATGGCGGGAACTGGCTGCGCATGTGGTTAAATATTTTTGGGGAGGGCTCATTTTAGCACATGCGCTCAAAAGCCTGATTGGGCTTATTATCAGGGGATGTCTTATTTTTGGGGAAACAGGTAGCATATTTTTAAGAAGCCCTCATAATAGTGCTTGTTCTAGTATTTGATATAATCTTTCTCTCTCTCGCTCTCTCTACTAAATGTTCTTCTGCTATAGTAACCTTATAGCCACCACATTATGGTCTTCCTTGTAGTAACTCACCTTAGCACGAGAGCCGTATCCATACATCACGTTGACTCCTTGTCCTCGTAAACCTCCTGTGTTTTGTGCTTTTAGACAGGAATGTGCAGTGTTTTCAGGTAGGACCAAGAAAAATAATAATGAGGTCTGGATAAAAAGAATTTATTCCGTTCCAATTTAATTCAATTTAAATTAATGCAGTGCATTGATCGTTGCACACCGAGTATTTTAGGGTGTTCTCTTTTTGTTAAAAATTACAGTTAAGAGGCCAGTTTTGGAAGAGCCACATCCTGGGGTCTCCAGACTTGAGTATTTGTGTCCTTGAGGTTGCACCCCCCTGCTGTCCTGTCTTTGTAAAACGTTGCAACCGTATTGTCCTGCTTAGCTCCTCTACTTTCCCAGATTTTATTTGATTGGGTTTTTGAATGGCCTGGGGTTTTTTTTTCTGGTTCAAACTGCCTTCAGATAAAGTCATTCTTAACACAAATGTCCCTCTATCTTCCTCCCCTTGAGCCCAGCTTCCATCTACACCTGTACAGGTGGTCCTCGACTTACAACCATTCGTTTAGCGATCGATCACAGAACTGAAAAAAAGTGACTTGTGACCGTTTTCCACACTTAACGACCGTGACAATATCCCTCACGGTCCACGTGACCAAATTCAGACGCTTGGCAACCGGTTCGTACTGATGACGGTCACAGCGTCCCTGAGGTCACGTGACACCCCCCCCCCTTTGGCGACCTTCGGACAAGCCAAGTTCAATGGGGAAGCCAGAGTGAGTTCACAACTGCATTAGTGTTTAGCAACTGCAGTGGTTCAGCTGCGACAAGTGAAGTTGTAAAACCTCGCTTAACAAAACTGTCCGGCTTAAGGAGAGAAATTTTGGGCTCCGTCATGGTTGTACGTCGAGGACTATCGGTCCCCAGTTTTGAAGGGAAGATGGCGGTTCTTATGGGGGTGGGGGGAGGATGACCTGTGTTCATCCTGGAAGCAGAGAACGCAACTTCACCAACAGTGGAAAAAGGGGTCGGTCATTGATGCCAGTTGGGACATATGAATCCCGCAGAAGGAAGACAATCGCCTTCATGTGACTGGGGAGGGTGGGCAGGCTGCCAGTCCTTTCCCTCCTCACGCCAAAGTTGGATTCATATCTTCATTAATGACTAAGGCCACAGAACGGATGATGGACCACCTTCTACCACTAATTCTATTAACCGTCAAGGGACAGGGCTGGTTCCTGGATATCTTAATTCTTGCTTCCTTCCTGGTCCGTATTGGTCTCTCTATCCCCTTCCACCGCTGTCTTGTTGTGCTGGATTTTCATCGCTTGCGTTTTCTTCGTCCCACACCAACCCCTCCCTTCCCATGTTGTGCGTCACACTCCGATCCTGTTTCCCATTAGCCGCGAAATGGGCCGTTTCCCCAGAATGACGCGGCAAAGACCATCCTCGGCCAACAAACATAACGGCCAGCGAGCAGAAGCACGTCAACTGTGGTTAATCCAAACTCTACGTGGTTCTCCCACCTTCCTCTCTGCTCTCCCACCATAACGCCTCTCGTTCCTCCCCTCCCGAGGTTGAAATTCCATCAGGAGCAATGGAAACATTCAGCCAATCTGTTGACATCGAGCTGTGGCTGAGATGTCACAGATGTCGGTTTCTTTCAGTAGAATTTTGTGCACCTTCCTGCCTTCCTACATGATGGAGTCAAGCTACCCACTAACCAGCTGCATGAGAACCCCGATTCTACTACACGCCCCCCTCCCAAGTCAACCACTGCAGCTCTCACTTTGGCTCAGTTCCCCGAGACCCGGTCCTCTTTTCTGAATTAAGTCTTCTTTTGCTCTGCAAATAATCATTCGAGATTGATGGCTACCAAATCTGGGCTTAGAACCCCTCAGCTTCAGTGCCCGTTAGAGGCCGGTTGTTGTGACCCAGCTCCCCAAACACAACAAATCCTCTGAAGTTCAATCAATGATTCCTTTATTAGGACTGCCAGCAGCCGTGGCAAAAAGTTTCTCTCTCACCACAGGCTAACAAATCCGTCCGGCAGGGAGATGAATAGTTGTCTGCCACATCTATTCATCTCTGCCCGCTGCCTTTTATCCCCGGAGTAGGGTGGGGCTTCCCTAGCAGCAGTAGCTCTTCTGTCCCAAGGACCGGCCCATAGATTTCCACTGCTCTCCTCTCCTCTGCCTTCTGCGCATCAGGCACTGGACCCAGCTGTTCCTCCTCCTCCTCATCAGTCTAGGGGCTGTTGACTCTCCATCTGAGGGCTGATGGACGGCCCAGGCTCTGCCTCTGTCTCTATCGCTGAGAGCTTCATTCCCTCTTCCCCTCGAAGCTCTCAGGTCGCCTTGATGCTGACCCTGACTCCCACGCCTGCTCCTCATCTGATTCGGTTGTTGGAGGGGTTGATGGCCGACAGGCCATAACACTGTTGTGTGTATATTAAGATATCGAAACCCTCACAAATTGAAGAAGGAGCTTTTGAACTAATCCTTCATTGATTTGCTCTTCAACTGTTCTCTTCTGCAGCTTTTCTAAGACAGGGTCCTTGGTGCTCTCTGAGCTTGGTGGTTTTCTTACTGACGTTTCATGACCCAAATTAGGTAACATCATCACTGCTACTACTACTAGCACTGATGATGTTACCTAGTTTGGGTCATGAAACGTCTTCAAGAAAACCACCAAGCTCAGAGAACACCAAGGACCCCTCAGTTCAGCCCTGAGCTACAAATATTCTCCTTTATTGGTATTTTTCAAAGACTAGCACTGTCAGGGAATTTGCACAGCAGGTATCCAAATGGAGTCAGAGACGCTGACACGAACTTGTAGTTTTATACAAATAAATGTATTTTACAACTATGCATACAGCAAACTAGATAGCCAGGCAAAACGGGAGAATCGTGAGGTAAATCACAGAGCAAACAGGGACCACAGAAGAAAAAGGCGGGGAAAAAGGGAAACTCCCCTCCACACTCACAGCAACCAATCACAACGCAGATTGCCTCACGCAGCAGCCAGCACAACCAATCAGCTATAACTTTTGTTCTGGCTCACTACACAACCCCACTGCTCCAGCTGCTAAGTTTAAATACCTGCTGCTGCTACTACTACTACTACTACTAGCACTGATGATGTTCCCTAGTTGGGTCATGAAACGTCCGCAAAAAAACCACCAAGCTCAGAGGGCACCAAGGACCCCTCATTTCAACCCTGAGTTACAAATATTCTCTTTTATCAGTGCTTTACAAAGGGTAGCACAGACTTTGAATTGCAAATCAAGGACCCTCAACACCTTTCATCTTAGCATTGATTTGGCAAAGTCTTTAAGAGCATCTAAAATTCAGCTAGTTTTTATTGGTGGGGGGGGTTACTGTTTGCAACGGGCAACTGTGGTCTCCAAGGCCTTATTTTTTTTTAATTTTGCAGTCTCCCGTGGAATTTAGCCTCAATGAGTCCTGCAGAGTTGCATCTTCAGCCAGCGTGCAGCCGTGTTTTTGCCGTGTGGGTTGCCTTGCCCAGACTAGCTTGCGCCCGGCGTTGAAGAAATCCCAGTTTCTATTAACTGCATTGCTCCCTGCCCCCCCTTGGCTCATCCCCGTTCCTGCTCTCCGCTCCTCCTTGCTATGTTGCTCCTGCTAATGTTAGCCAGTTCTGTCTTTTCCCTCCACCCCTTTCCTGCTCTAGGAGAGAAGGTGATGTCCGATGACCTGTTCACCCAGGACCTCTTTCGGTTCCTGCAACTTCTTTGTGAAGGACACAACAATGGTAAGTGGAACTTGTCGAGCCCAAGAGAAGAAAGGGGTTTGCCCAAAAGAGAGAGCCGGAAAGAAGCGAGACAGAAATAGGAACCACTGAATAAACATATAAACAAACAGACAGTGTTCCCCTCATGTTCACACATTCCCAGTTCTGTTGAGCATCCTTAGGTGAGGTGATGCTGATCAGTGACATTATTTTTATATGATGCCTCATTGGCGATGCTGTCACTCCCAACACAAATGTGACTGTTATTTGTTAACAATGTAGACCCAGGTTATTTGTTTTGGTGAACCCAGGAAGGGGGCTGGGGTTGAATTCTCACCCACTGCTTTCCCTTGCAGATTTCCAGAATTATCTGCGGACCCAGACTGGCAACACTACTACCATCAACATCATCATCTGCACCGTTGACTACCTTCTACGACTTCAGGTGAGAGCCGAGACCTCCGGGCCAAGGGTGACCAAGGGAATAAGCATGGCTTCTGTTCATTTAATGAAAAGAAGGACTGTAGGAGTGACAGGATAGCAGTCTTCCAATATCTCAGGGGCTGCCCCAAAGAAGAGAGAGTCAAGCTATTCTCCAAAGCACCTGAGGGCAGGACAAGAAGCAACGGGGGGAAACTAATCAAGGAGAGCAGCAACCTAAAAATAAGGAGGAATTTCCTGACAGTGAGAACAATTAATCAGTGGAACAACTGGCCTCCAGAAGTTGTGGGTGCTGCATCACTGGAAGCTTTTAAAAAAAGATTGGACAGCCATTTGCCTGAAATGGTATAGGGTTTCCTGCTTGAGCAGGGGGTTGGACTAGAAGACCTCCAAGTTCTCTTCCTAACTCTGTTATTCTGTAAACTCAGGAATAACTCCGCTGCATCCACAACAATAATGAAGATAATACTTCACAGGATGTTCTCTTCCTTCTCTTATGTTCCCTTCTTCCTCTTCCAAATATCCAGGAGTCCATCAGTGATTTTTACTGGTATTATTCAGGCAAGGACGTGATCGACGATCAGGGCAAACGCAACTTCTCCAAAGCGATAGCCGTAGCCAAGCAGGTCTTCAACAGCCTCACCGAATACATCCAGGTACGTCTTTGGAGATGGGGAAGTTCCACAATGAGAGACCCTTCTCCTGGGGTTCTTTTAATATCCCCCCAGAAGACCTGAACCTACAATAACGAAACAATGAGTTAATGCTCAGTTTATGTGTCTCAACCTTGCGAGATCAGCTCAGGAGCAAACCTTCGTCATGTAGAGTTGGTCTCCGAATGCCCTTGGCAGACTTATCTTGGTCTTTCTGCATGAGGTTAATATGAAATGTGCCACACTATGGATTATTATCAACTTTTATTCATTAAACATGAAACTCAGTCAGCTGAACATTTAAAAATATATCACAAGTATTATTGACTGGCACTGATGGTTGATACGGGTTGCTGCCAGCATCCTAGGTATCGACCAAGTATCTTCTTAAAATGTATGATGTTCCGAGTAGCACAGGTTTTTTTGCAGTTCCGCTGGTGTTATTGCAGGAATTATTATTATTATTCTTTTATTCATTAAACATGAAACTCAGTCAAGTGAACATTTAAAAATGAATTACAAATATTATAATTATTATTATTTACTTTATTCATTAAACATGAAACTCAATCAGCTGGACATTCAAAAATGCATCACAAATACCATTGACTGGTGCTAATGGTTGATACGGGTTGCTGCCAGCGTCCTAGGTATCAACCAAGTATTTATTTTATTTTATTTATTTATTTATTTTATTCACATTTATATACCGCCCCTCTCCCGAAGGACTCAGGACGGCTCACAACAATGAAATGAAATAGAAAAATAATTCAATTAAAAACCCAACAATTAAAACTGAAGTACCTTCTTAAGATGTACAATGTTCCAAGTAGCGCAGTTTTTTTGCAGTTCCGCTGGTGTTATTGCTGGAAGCTGCAATTTCTTGATGTGTTTTGTAAAATTCTTGCCCCGATGACAATGGGGTATCACTGTTAAATGTTTCATCCATAACCGTGTAGTTTCGATGGCCAGGTCGCGATATTTCGTGATTTTTTTCCCAGTTCTTTTTCTTCGACTCTGGCGTCTCCTGGTACAGCGATGTCAGTAAATTGTACGCTTCGGCCCTTGACAACTGTGATATCTGGCGTGTTATGTTCCAAATGACGATCCGTCTGTATTCAAAAGTCCCACAAGATCAATTATTATTATTATTATTATTATTATTATTATTATTATTATTAATCATCATCATCGCACAGTCAGCCAGATATTCAGACTGGGTTTGACATTTTTGTCTACCTATCGAGTCCTTACCTGGGATAGGCAAATCTGGATGTTTGACAGTGTTACAGATTGTTGTTGTTGTTGTTTTTATTATTATTATTATTATGTCTTCTCAGGGGCCTTGCACTGGGAACCAGCAGAGTTTAGCACACAGCAGACTGTGGGACGCAGTCATCGGTTTCCTCCATGTCTTTGCTCACATGATGATGAAACTGGCTCAGGTAAAGAGAAAATTAATAGAGGGAGAAAATAGAAGGGTTGCTTGGTTTGAGCTCTAGAAGAGACCACCCTGCCTAAGGAAGGAATACCGAGAAATCAAATCCTTTAAATCCAAAAGCAGATTTTCCCACTTGCAACCAATGTAGCTTTTCACTCCAAACCTGTAGCTCTGATCTCCGGTTGTTGACTCATTATCTAGCAAGAAAAGAAAGAAAACATTGATATTTGTCCGGTCATTCGGGATAGCAGTCAACTCCCAGGTTTTAGAGCTGAAGTCCAACCATTGTTAACAGCCCCTGCCCTTCTGCAGCCTGAAACTAGTGTCCAGGGGTCCCTGGTGCTCTCTGAGTTTGGTGATTTTCTTGCAGACGTTTCATTACCCAAGTAGGTAACATCATCAGTGCTGGTAAGGAATGGGATTTGCAGTTTGTAGCCTAATGTCTTGCCCTGTCAGTGTTGATTGGAATGGTCTCGGGGGCTTTTTGGTTGACCAAAACCCTCCCCACCCAGCAATCAGCACCCAGAGGAGCATCGCTGAACTCCAGGATTAACATCAGACCAATATTCAAGACGTAAACAAGACCCCAATGAAGGAACTGACAAACAACCTAACTGTTCTGCCCCAGCTACGGACCCCAAAGAACGCAGCACACACAAAGTCTGTACAACCTTAGTTTACTAAATTAAATCAGTCTTTTTTTCAAACAAAGGCTGTTAATTAACTTTCTTAACAGCCTACAAGAATCCAAAGAATAAATAATCGTAATCTTACTATGGTTGGCAGAAAGCCCAGAAGCAATTTGCAGAGAACTAAGATCAGGACACGAAGGAGAGTGAACGAAGTTGTTCCCTGCAAATTGCTTCTGTCGGCGTTCTTCCTTAAATAGGCTAAGGGAGTGGCCAATTAGCCCCAAGCCTTACTCTCGAGGAGACCTCCTCCTGAGGAGCCACTCCTGCCTTTTGGCAGCTCTGCGCGCCCGTGCATTGATAAGAGGCTCCTCCTCTTCATCCTCTTCACTTAAGAGAGCTTCTGGAGGTTCTGAAGGCCCTGGCTGAATCCCCGCCTCTGGCACCACATCTTCTCCAGCCTCCTCACTGTCTGACTCGAGTGGCAGCTGCACAGGCTGCTGGCACAGCACCACACCAGCCTCCTCGCTGTTGGAATCAGCTACCAGCTGCGCAGGCTGCGCATGGGCCACAACGCTAACAGGAAACAGCCAACCAAAGAGCCTCCAAGGCTATTATTCCCACCCAACACTGACAGAGCAAGCCACTAGTATATAAAAATAAGAGCAAACCCACGCCTTTCCGGCACTGATGACGTTCCCTAGTTGGGTAATGAAACGTCTGCAAGAAAACAACTAAGCTCAGAGAACTCCAAGGACCCCTCATTTTAATCCTGAGCTACAAATATCCTCCTTGATTGGTACTGTAGTGGTGTGCAAAACGTTTCAAATTAAAGTCTTTTGAGCTTGAAATGAGACGTTTAGAGGACAGGCTGACCATACTACTAGGTGCCAAAATCTAGCATAATACAAAAAAAACAAAACAAAAAATCTCTTAGAAACCCTTCTGAATAATATTTTTTTTCCAATGTGTAACAGACGATCCAACCCCCAGCACTCCGAAATGGCGTAAGAACCTTCTCTGTAGTCTGCGTCCCTCCATCCTTACCCCTTTGGCTGATCCTCCCAGTTCCCATGCTTCCCTTCCATCCCCCCCTCCCCCCCCGCTTCCCTTTGCTCTCTCTTTCCTTTCACCGGGCCAGACCAATAAATCGATTGATGAAGCTTATATGGTGTCCTTCTAGGCGCCTTAATAATCATTTGATAAAAATGGCAGGTGTAAAACCTATCAATAGAGATATTCCGTTTAACATTCAGTTTAAATTACTTTTTTTTTTTTTAATTTGATTTATATGCCGCCCTTCTCCGGAGACTCAGGGCGGCTTACAATGCGTTAAGCAATAGCCTTCATCCTTTTGTATATTTTTACAAAGTCAGCTTATTGCCCCCACAATCTGGGTCCTCATTTTACCTACCTTTGAAAGGATGGAAGGCTGAGTCAACCTTGAGCCTGGTGGGATTCAAACTTACAGTAATTGCAGACAGCTGGAGTTAAATTACAATGCATTAGTCTGCTGAGCTATCCAGGCTCCTCCTCCTCCAACATTGACTAAGTTGGAGAGGAAGGGAGCCCAGTGCCTATGGGGTGGAAGTGGGGTGTTATCTTATCCATTAGCCACTTCCAGAATGACACTTCCCCCCCACCCCATAGGGACCCCAGGCCAGCTGGCAGAGCTTACTGCCCCCCTCCCCAAAAGGCCATTCTGCCCTCGTGGCCAATCCTGTTGACCAGGTCTAGATTTTAAATTGTCCTAAATCACCATAGAAAGAGAAAAGAAGGACTATGGGTGATGGCAGCAGTCTTTCAGTATTTGAGGGGCTGCCCCAAAGAAGAGGGGGTCAATTTATTTTCCAAAGCACCAGAAGGCAGGATAAGAAACAATGGATGGAAACGAATCAAGGAGAGAAGCAACCTGGAATTAAAGAGAAACTTCCTAACAGTGAGGACAATTAACCAGTGGAACAGCTTGCCACTAGAAGTTGTAGGTGCTTCATCACTGGAGGTTTTTAAGTAGAGACTGGACAGCCACGTGTCTGAAATGGTATAGGGCAGGGGTGGGCAAATGTGGCTCTTTTACAACCTGTGGACTTCAACTCCCAGAATTCCTGAGACAGCTTGGCTGTCTGTCTGATTGAAACTTTGCATGAACAGACGGTGGCAGCCAGATTGTAGTTTATGGGAAACTAAATTAATCCTTTAGCCCAGGAGCTCCAAAGCTGAATTTTGCAGCCTGTAGAATCTGATGAGCTTCTGCATCATTTTCATCTTCGGTAGGTATTTGGTTTTCCTAGTTCAAGGTTTCGTAGTTACCGGCTAGGTTGGGCCTCCGCAGTCAGCCCAAAGCATAGCTCAACCCATTTTGGTGGCCGCCTATTTGTGGCTCTTCCTTTTCTGCTTTTGTCGATCAATGCGAAGGTTGCCAAGTCTTGAAAAACGCTGATGTGTATGAATAAAGCGTGGGCTGATTTCCCCAGAACGTAAACGTGATTGATACTAAGCTGGTAAACTTGTTAGTAAATCCCAGATCTGTCAGCTGAATTGTTATATTGAAGAGGAGATGTCCTATAGCTGTGTCTGTATGGTTACTCGGAGTCAAGGTCAGCCAAGGCAGCCTTGACTTCTCATCCCACCCCTCTTAAAATCTTAACAGTGGGGTCCTTTTTGCTCTCTGAGCTTGATTGTTTCCTTCCAGACATTTCATGACCCGACTAGGTAACGTCATCCGTGCTAGAAGGGAGTGGAGTTTGCTCTCTTGGTAGTTCCTTGATAGGATTAAAGGAACTTGGTAGGGGAAACTACCAACTTAGACAAGCAAACAGTGAACAACATCCTAATCAGGGAGCCACCAGGCACACACACACACACACACACACACACACACACAACATTGATAGGGCAAGCCACTTCTAGCCCTGATGATGTTCCCTCCTTGGGCCGTGAAACGTCTGCAAGAAAACCTACCAAGCTCAGAGAGCAACAAGGACCTCCCAGTTCAATCCTGACCTACAAATGTTGTCTTCCATCGAACCGCCAGATGCCTCCTACTCCGTTACTTGAACGTGGAGGAATAGCATGTTTGATCTGGTCCATTTTGCAGTGGCTGCTTCTTGTTTCTCATCCAGCTTACCCTTTCTGCTGTGTCCTTTCCGCTTTTATCGTCTCCTCCATCTATCAGGAGGTGGTTGAAGGCTCCATGCTTGACCGTTGCTTGGGCTTGCTGGCTCATTTTCCCATCCAAGCTCATTTTTGGTAATCTTGCAGGCACTGGTGGGTGGAGCGGGAGGGATAGAGGGGGAGGCCTTGGGTGGAAGGACGGAGGAGAAGAGGACAACCAACAGCAAGGTGGATGGATGGGCCTTGATTGCAGCGTTGATGGAGGGGCACAGTTGGGGAGCCTGAGGAGGCCAGTTGAGGTCAAGTCAGACTGGAGAAGGTTTCTCTAAGTCAACATCAGAGCAAGATGGAGAAGGTGGCCTGGAGAACCTCATGCCAGCTAGCTTCCTCAGAGCACAAGGGTGGGGGAATAGGCATTGGGACAACTTCAGCGAGGAGAAATTTCTCCAGAATGATCTCCTTTCCTCACCAAACTATCTCTTTGTTGCGCTGCCCACGAGGAGCATTTTCGGAGTGAATCTTACCCTGAGGTAAGGAAGTCGCCACCCCATTCCGAGGAAGAAATGCACTCTGCATATGTATTTGGGGTTAGTTCCGGGTTGACATCTTCCGAAAAGAACAGGGAGGCTACGGGAAAGATACATCAGAAGGTCATCTGGTGGTTGTTTTTTCTACGTGTAGCGCATGGGGACCATAACTGGTCGGGTTGGATATATCTAAACCAATGTTTTTCAACTTCAGTAACTTTTAACATTCAGTGGACTTCATCTCCCAGAATTCCCCAGCCATGGAATTCTGGGAGATGTAGTCCACGCATCTTAAAATTGCCGCGGTTGTGAAGTGCTCTGAACTGACTTCTGATCCCAAACTTCCCTCTAGACCAGGGGTGTCAAACTCAAGGCCTGGGGGCCAGATCCGGCCTGGGGGGTGCTTAGATCTGGCCCGGGGGGCCACCCTGGAAACAGCGAAGGACTGGTCCGTAGTGCCTTTGTGAGTGAAAACGGAGCTTGGAAGGACTGCACGCGGCCCTCCCGAACTCTGTTTCACTGGCAGGGGGTTGCAGGAGGGTGTCCCAGCTGAAAACGGAGCTCGTGAGGACTGCTTGAAGCCTCCCAAGTGCCATTTTTGCTGGCAAAGGGTTGCAGGAGGCTGTGGCAGCTGAAAACGGAGCTCATGAGCTGGTCTTTGCTGGCAGAGTGCTCGGGCCACCACAGGCTCCCCCTAACACGAGTGATGTCAAGCCAGCCATGGCCCCCCTGAGATCAAACACAACCCTGATGTGGCCCTCAATGAAATAAAGTTTGACACCCCCTGCTCTAGACTTAGTGTCCACGTCTTATGGGACCCCAGAGGGATTTTAGAGCACAGGTTGTATGAACCCACCTTTGCCCATAGATTCACACAACCTTCTCCTTTACACCTATCAATGATTGCGTTTTGATGGTCTGGCTGGCCGGAAGCCAACTGGTGTGTGGGTGAAGATTAGACTATCAATGGGTGAAGGATTGTAAGCGAAGAAGGCCTGTGGGGATCCTTGAGGAGGTGTGTCTCAAAGAGGCCTTAGGGCCCACCGGAGAAATATGTCTCATTTCATTGCATTCTGTATCTTACATTTGCTTGTTTTTCCAGGATTCCAGCCAAATTGGGCTTCTGAAGGAGCTGTTGGACCTTCAAAAGGACATGGTGGTGATGCTGCTTTCTCTGCTGGAAGGTGATCAACCTGGCAACCTTCTGGAGGAATCTCTGGCCTCCATGTTGGCTTCTTAAAGGGCAGAACCTCCTGCCTTATAAGATCTTAGGCTCTGTTTTTAGCATCTCCAGTTGGACTCTGACTGGGTTTCTGGGCAAAAATCTGAAGGCTAATGCTAGAGATATCTGGTCCTTGACTTACGACTATGAACTTGTCCAACACATACCTTTCTCCTCTTTTTTTCCCCCACGACACAACCGTGTGAGGTGGGCTGGGCTGAGAGAGAATGATTGGCCCATTAAGTCACCCAGCTGGCTTTCATGGTTATGGTAGGACTAGAACTCCCAGTCTCCTGGGGATTGGCCAAAAGTCACCCAAAGTCAGCCAGCAAGTCTTAAAAGTCGCCAAGTTTGGAGACTTTTGTCTTAGGCAAGGGCCAAAGTAGGACTTGAACTCATGATTTCTTGCTTTCTAGCCTGATAACTACTAGATTAAACGACACAGTTGTCTATGGAGATTCCCAATTACTCAGGTCATGGTTGTCCCAAAAGTGCTTTTTCAAAAGATAACCGGACTTCTTTGCTTTTCCTAGAAGACATTTCACTTCTCATTCAAGAAGCTTCTTCAGTTCAGATGAGATGAGAAGAAGCTTCTTGGATGAGAAGCGAAACGTCTTCTAGGAAAAGCAAAAAAGTCCGGTTGTCTTTTGACAAAGCACTTTTGGAGCAGTTATGACGTTGTGTAATTGTGTCGTCTACCAAAGATACAAAGCCATCTGGATACGACTTACATATCCTATCTCTTGAGGGAGGAACAAAATATCCCTGCCACCATAACTTTCTTGTCTGTCTTCCGCATTCCGTCCGTGTTGTCAAAATATAATTTGTATCCTTGGTGTATCTACTCAGGAAATGTGGTGCACGGCACCATCGCTCGGCAGATGGTAGACATGTTGGTGGAGTCCTCCAGCAACGTGGAGATGATCCTCAAATTCTTCGACATGTTCTTGAAACTGAAGGACATTGTGGCATCCGACGCCTTCCGCGATTACATCACAGATCCACGCGGCCTCATCTCCAAGAAGGATTTCCAGAAGGCCATGGACAGTCAGAAGCAGTACACGCCATCGGAGATCCAGTTCCTTCTCTCCTGCTCGGAGGCTGATGAGAATGAGATGATAGACTATGAAGAGTTTGCTAGCCGTTTCCAGGAGCCCGCCAAAGACATTGGCTTCAACATTGCCGTGCTGCTGACAAACCTCTCGGAGCACATGCCTCACGACGCCCGCTTGAAGACCTTCCTGGAGCTGGCCGAATGCATCCTCAACTACTTTAATCCCTACCTGGGCCGCATTGAGATCATGGGTGCCAGCAAACGCATTGAACGCATCTACTTTGAGATCAGCGAGGCCAATAAGACCCAGTGGGAGATGCCCCAGGTCAAGGAATCCAAGAGACAATTCATCTTCGATGTGGTCAACGAAGGGGGCGAGTCGGAGAAGATGGAGCTCTTCATCAACTTCTGTGAGGACACGATCTTTGAGATGCAGATCGCCTCCCAGATTTCAGAGGAGGAAGGAGAGGCACAGGAAGAGGAGGAAGAAGAAGCAGAAAGCACCGAAAGTGGGGAAGCGGAGAATGCGTCAGCACCTTCAGAGGCATCTTCGGCCTTTGGGGAGTTCCTGGAGAGCATCCTGAATTTCTTCCGCATGTTCACCTATCGCAACGTCCGTCGTCAGTTCCGCAAAGTCAAGAAGATGACGGTCAAAGAGATGGCCGTGGGAGTGGCCACCTTCCTTTACACCATCTTAATGGGCATCCTCGTCTTCTTCTATAGCGTCCTCAAGGGCTTCTTCCTGCTCATCTGGAACACCCTCTTTGGTGGCAGCTTGGTGGAGGAGGCCAAGAAGCTCACCATGACCGAACTGTTGGCCAGCATGCCCGATCCTACTCAGGATGAGGTTCATGGAGACGTGGCTCCTTCTGATGAAGATGAGCAGGTGATGGAAGAAGGAGAAGAAATTGATATTGTGGAGCCCGGCAAGGAGGAAGCATCTGCTGAAGGTGGAGAAGGTTTTGGAGCGGATCCAAAGAAAGAGCATTTCCGTTCAATGGCCCCCGATGCACCTGGTGGGCTTGGAGATATGGGGGACACCACCCCAGTGGAACCTCCCACACCTGAAGGGACACCCATCCTCAAGAGGAAATTGGTATGATTGGGGCTTGAGGGGGTGGGAATTGCTGGGAAGGTCCAAGGTGGACAAAGAGGAAAAGGAAAGGAGGAGAGAAACCACGTTTAGGGAACGTGAGCCTAAGAGAAGCCCATAACCTCATCCCAAAACCCAGTTTTGAAGGAAAGCAAAGGGGATCAGTGGTGAAATCCACATTTTTTTACTACCGGTTCTGTGGTGGCTTGGTGGGTGTGGTGTGACTTGGTGGGCGGGGCAGGGGAAAGGATACTGCAAAATCTCCATTCCCTCTCCACTACGGGGGAAGGATAGTGCTGGTCCTCCAAACTACTCAAAATTTCCGCTACGGTTTCTACAGAACCTGCTGGATTTCACCCCTGGGCTGGATATGCGCTCAGCTCTAGAGGCAAGGGAAAGCCACTCAGACCCCTCATATCACAAAAGTAGGGCTGGAGTTTGTCCTTTCGGGCTCCATGGATATTGAGGAATAACAGAATAACAGAGTTGGAGGGGACTTTGAAGGTCTTCTAATCCAACCCCCTGCTCAAGCAGGAGACCCTATCCCACTTCAGACAAATGGCCGCCCAATCTCTTCTTTAAAACCTCCAGTGATGGAGCACCCATAACTTCTGGTGGCAAGGAGTTCCACTGATTAATTGTTGTCACTGTCAGGAAATCTCTCCTTAGTTCTAGGTTGGAAATCTCCTTGATGAGTTTCCATCCGTCCTGACTTCAGGTGCTTTGGAAGATAGGTTGACCCTCTGTTCTTTGTGGCAGCCCCTGAAAATATTGGAACACTGCCATCCTAATCTCATTAAATTAGACATACCCAATTCCTGCAAGTCTTCTTCATGTATTTTGAGCCTCCAATCCCCTAATCGTCCATACTTTACTTCTTCAAGATCCATAGTTTCCTTCTCCAAGGTACAGACTACCATTCTAGTGATGTCCTTGTAATATGTTCTTTTCTGAGTCATGCCCCTCCCTCTTGTTTCTTCTCTTGGATCCAATTCATTGACGGATGTTCTTGTGATTCTCAAGGTGGATCTCCAAGGAGTGGCAGAAGAGCAGGAGCCATATCCGGAGCTGGAGAAGATTGAGGAACCCCCAGCAGAACCAGAGAAAGCTGAGTTGAGTAGCTTGCTGAGTTCATCAGAACCATCTACAACAGTGTTTCTCAACCTTGGAAGCTTGAAGATGGGTGGACTTCAACTCCCAGAATCCCCCAGCCAGCAGCGCTGGCTGGGGGATTCTGGGAGTTGAAGTCCACCCATCTTCAAGCTTCCAAGGTTGAGAAACACTGGCTTAGCAGGTCACAGTAGACCAAACAAAGATGGGTTCCAAAGATGGAAATATTTTCTTCTAAAGATGCTTGATCCCAAAAGCCAGGGATGTCATAAATCATCAACACATCAACAGGGGCCTGGTGGCTCAGCAGACTAAAAGCATGGTGATTAACACCAGCTATCTTCAATTACTGTAAGTTCGAATCTCACCAGGCTCAAGGTTGACTCAGCCTTCCATCCTTTCTAAAGTAGGTAAATTGAGGACCCAATTTGTGGGGGCAATAAGCTGACTTTGTATAAATATACAAAAGGATGAAGGCTATTGCTTAACGCATTGTAAGCCGCCCTGAGTCTGAAGTCCACCCATCTTCAAGCTACCAAGGTTGAGAAACACTGGCCTACAACCATCGGTGGTTGCTGAGTTCATCAGAACCGCCTAAAAAAATAATAAGTTTTCATTGCCCAAGGCAGAGGTCTCCAAACCTGGCAGCTTTAAGACTTGTGGACTTCAACTCCCAGAATTCCTCAGCCAGCCATGTGGCCATTTTGGCCGCTACTGTAATGATCCTTGGCTCCATTTGTGGAGAAAGGCAGCTGACCATCTTGGTTTTCTGAAGCCGAAATCCTGGATTCTCTCGGGATTGGGCTCAGTTGCCTGGAAAAGGTGGGTGTGATAATCTGCAACACGGTTTCTGTGTCCTCCCCACCACCATTTGCAGTGCGGAAAACGGGGAGAAGGCTGCGAAGGAAGAAGAGGAGAAGAAAGAGGAGGAGAAAGAACCCAAGGAGAAAGAGCCGCCATCACCGCCACCGGCCCAGGAGGAGAAGAAGAAGAAGGTGGTCCAACGGTCAGAAAAGAAAGAAGAGGAACAGGGATGCTCAGAGTTTTGGAACGAGTTGGAGATCCAGAGGGTCAAATTCCTGGTAAGGAGTTTCTCTTGGGTTGACAATCGTGTGGGCTGTAGAACAATGTTTCTCAACCTGGGCAAGTTTTAAGATGGGTGGACTTCAGCTGGGGAATTCTGGGAGTTGAAGTCCACCCATCTTAAACTTGCCAAGGATCGAGAAACACTACTCCATAAGATAAGGAAACTTAAGTCCTCCCAATTTTGAGCAGGAACATCTCGGTGACCTTCCTGGGACACCTGGCAGCAGTGGGTTTCACATATTCTTACCACTGGTTCATCGCGTGCGTGCGCCTTCCGTACATGCACCGGACCTCAAAAACATGGCTAAATAGAACAGCGTTACGTCCGGGCAGGTGGGCAGCAGTCGCCGCTACCAGTTCGCCTGAACCAGTTCGAACCGGCTGAATACCACCTCTGGCACTTGGGTACCATAATACTTGGACATGGAAAGAGTTTGATCGTGACACGTTCCCTTTTCTGAAGCGGAGTGACCGTCGCGTTACGCTTACCCTTATCTTCTCATCCTTTCAGAATTACCTGTCCAGGAATTTCTACAACCTGCGCTTCCTTGCCCTCTTCCTGGCCTTTGCCATCAACTTCATCTTGCTTTTCTATAAGGTACAAGATTTGCGGATTGTTGGGAGTTGTTGTCCCTTGGGAGTAGAAGAGACGCAGGAACCCCGTTATCGGGGCTTCCCGAGTAGTTTAGGAAGAAGGTGAGATGGTCCAAAGTAAGCTAAGAGTTTAATCCATGTCCAACCACGGCAGCTTCTAAGACTTGTGGACTTCAACTCCCAGAATTCCTCATCCAGCATAGCTGGCTGAGGAATTCTGGGAATTGAGGTCCACAGGTCTTAAAGTGGCCATGATTGGATGCCCCTGGTCTAGTCATTTCTAGCAGAGCATCTGGGAGCCAGAAGAACTTGGTAGTGGAATCTATTAAGATAGAGGTATCAAACTGGATTTCTTCAAGGGCCGGATCAGCATTATAGTTCTCCTCCACGGATCAGCATGGGGGGAGATATGGGACAGACACCTCCTGCAGCACCCTGCCGGCCAAAACAGGGCATGGAACCCCACCCCCCGCACCCCTTTTTCAGCCTGGGAGGCCTCCTGCAATATCCTGCTGGCCAAAACGGGGCACAGGTTGAGGACGGATGCCTCCTCCAGCACCCTGCCAGCCAAAATGGGGCATGGGGGGCCATGTGAGGCCCCCTCAAGGCCCCCTCTGCACCCCATTTTCAGCCTGGACGGCCTCTTGCAACACCCTACTAGCCAAAACGGGGCACCGGGAGTGGGGTGCGTCACACGGCTGGTCCTTTGCTATTTCCAGGCTGGCCCCTCGGGCCAGATTTAACCATCCCGCAAGATGGATCCTGCCCACAGGCCTTGAGTTTGACACCCTTGTATTAAGAGGTTGGGATAGAGAAAGGAATAGACATCAGCCTGGGATATAGGTGGTCATAATACCTTAAAGCAGAAGACCAAAGTTAGAGAAGAGCCAGGATTGTAGGCCTGGACCTTAGCTTTTCCTCCTTTAGACTCTCATTTTTGTTTCATTTATCTTGAATCTCTTCACCCTGTTACAATTTCAATTTCCGAAGGTGTCGGACACGCCACCTGGTGAGGAAGAGTTTGAGGGCTCTGGTCTTGAAGGCGATCTGGATGCAGGATCTGGGGCAGGCTCCGGCTTCGGTGGAGATGACAACGGCGGCAATGGGGACGGCAACGGGGACGAGGACGAGGAAGACAGCGTGGTCTACTTCTTTCTAGAGGAGAGCACGGGCTACATGCAGCCAGCCTTACAATTCCTGTCCATCGTTCACACCCTGGTGGCGTTCCTCTGCATCATCGGCTACAACTGCCTCAAGGTGCCCTTGGTCATCTTCAAGCGCGAGAAGGAGCTGGCCCGTACGTTGGAGTTTAGCGGGCTGTATATCACGGAGCAACCGGAGGATGACGACATCAAAGGCCAGTGGGATCGCTTGGTGCTCAACGCTCCGTGAGTGAAGGAAGGGGGACCGGGTTATGGGGGGCCTCAGAACTGTCCCTACCTCTCCAAGCTATGGCAGCCCCAGTCAGTTCTGAGCCCATGATGTAATCGAGCTAAAATTGCAAATGGCGGAAGTATGTCAGGCACAAAGAATCAGGAGCGCACGTTAAGCTCCGGTGAAGCTGATTTATTACTCATACCTATACACAAGAGTCTAGACTACTAACAGTCAGCACTAAATTGGCACTAGCTAAGAGTTAACGCAGAGGTGAAATGCTCCCGGTTTGGGCCGGTTCGCCTGAACCGGTAGTTAAAAAATGCTTTCAAAAGTAAAACAAAGGTTCCAACAATCAGCTGTGCCATGCGATTGTTGGAACTTTTTTTTTACTTTTTTAAAACATTTTTTACTGTCTATTTGCCCGAACTGGTAGTAAAAAAAATGCCCACCCATGACCCCCACTAAGCCACACCCACCAAACCATGCCCACAGAAGCAGTAGGAAAAAATGTTGCATTTCACCACTGAGTTAACGGAAATCGAGAGGAGTTGGGCAGACCATTTATGGGAACGTAATGACTCCAAGCTAATTGCTCTCTTGACTCTGCCTCCACGCTCTGTATGTCCTCCTACTAAGAGTTCTTTACTGGCCAATTTGGTCTTAGTTGCGTATGGCCGGATGGTGTGCTTTTTCTGGGTCTACAGCCGAGGGCAGGCATCTATGGCCCTTTTACGATCTTTGGACTTCAACTCCCAGAATTCCTGAGCCAGCCTGGCTTTTGTGGCTAAGGCGGGATCTGAACTCATGGCAAAATAAGTTTGCAAAAGGAGGGAGAGGCTGGAATGGACTTTGCAGGGGGATTAAAAGGGAATGGAAGGTCTTTATGGATGTGGGACGGGGGGGAATTATATTCCTGACGGCTTTTTAAAAATTGCTTCCCATTTTTTTCTGTCTCTGGCAGGTCATTCCCGAGCAATTACTGGGATAAGTTCATCAAAAGAAAGGTAAGATTGCCTACGGGCCCTTGGGTGGAGAAACGAGTCTGAGGTAGTGATGGAATTCAATTTTTTAAAAAAAGTTTTTTGTTTTTTTTTCCAAACATACAAATTTTCAGAACAGAGCTTTGATCCGGTCATCTATTTGTTCAATTTTTTGTCATCTTTAACAAAACTTTATCTATTCTATTTTGCCATTACAGTTATTTTCTTAATCTTAAATCACATATTCAACTAATACCATCTTAAAAAAAAAATTACGACATATTTACTTAATCAAAAAGTTACCCTTCTATTAACCCACTTTAAATCTTAATTCAATTAATAACTCATAATACATTTCCATACAGTTCAAACATATTTATATTTCATAATGCTCATTAAACCTTTATTCCATAATTACTTTATCAAATTTAAATCTTATCTTTAATCTTAAAAATATAGCAATTTAACATTTAAACATAGTTCTTAATTCAAATAATGCTATTTAATGCAGTTTCCCAATTATCCCAAATTCTATCTATTAAACTATACCAATTAAGTAATTTTTTTAAAAAAATCATAATCATATATTGTTCCAATTTTCTTTTCTTTTTTTACTTAAGAATTCAATTTTTTTTTTTTACTACTGGTTCTGTGGGTGTGGCTTGGTCAGCGTAGCAGGTGAAGGATACTGCAAAATCCCCATTCCCTTCCCACTCCAGAGGAAGGATACTGCAAAATCCCCATTCCCACCCCACTCTGGGGCCAGCCAGAGGTGGTTATTTGTCAGTTCTCCAAACTGCTCAAAATTTCCACTCCCGGTTTTTCAGAACCTGTCAGAACCTGCTGGATCTCACCCCTGGTCTGGGGTCATCCGGAGGAGGTAGGGTGGGCAGAGATAATCTGATTGGTGCTAAAAGAATTTATCCCTACAGGTAGTCCTCAACTTACGGCTATTTTTTTAATGACCAGTTATGCTGGTACTGAAAGAGTGTCTCATGACTGGTCCTCGCATTTATGTCCATTGCAGCATCCCTGTGGTCACATGATCAAAATTTGAGCGATTGGCAACTGGCGTGTATTTATGATCTTCATAGGGTCCTAGGGTCACATGATCACAATTTTTGATGTTCCCAGGGGCTCCTGGCAGGCAAAGTTAATTGGGGAAGCCAGATTCGCTTAACAACCGTGTGATTTGTTTATCGACCAGAGGTCATGCGCTTGGGAATGACTCAGTTCATGATCGCTTCACTTTGCTAGGACGGTTCCGATCCCAGTTATGGTCCTAAGTTGAGGACTAGCTGCATGGCTGCCATTTTAAAATATGCGTAATTGTTGCTTCTTCCTTTCTTTTCCAGGTTCTGGATAAATACGGCGACATCTACGGTCGAGAAAGGATCGCAGAACTTTTGGGCATCGATTTGGCCAGCCTGGAAATCTCAGCCCAAAATGAAAAGAAATCCGAGCCGGACACGTCGTTCTTGAGTTGGTGAGAAAGAAAACAGGAGGGCAAAGATAGATATGGGGCAGCAGTGCGGTGGCCTAGAGGTGGAGCTCTTGCCTGACAATCAGGAGGTTGTGAGTTCGATCCTAGGTAGAGCCAGATGTAGAGTCTCCTGCTTGGGCAGGGGGTTGGACTAGATGACCAGCAAGGTCCCTTCCGACTCTATTAATCTGTTATCTCTTAGGTAATGCTTAAATTGGCATCGTCACCCTTGACAGGTAGATGACAAAGGGAGCATTTTAAGTTGTAATTCAAGGGAATTCATATTTCCTTAGTATCTATAACACATTTTCTCACATTACCTTAGTGTACAGGTAGTCTTTAACTTACGACCACAATTGAACCCCAAATTTCTGTTGTTAAGTAAGACATTTGCTTAAGTGAGTTTTGCCTCATTTTGCAACCTTTCGTGGCACAGTTGTTAAGGGAATCACTGCCATTGCTAAGTTAGTAACCCGATCGTAAACCGCTTAGAGTGGGCTGTAAAACACTGTGAAGCGGTATATAAGTCTAAGTGCTATTGCGATTTCTCCCTCTCTCTCTCTCTCTCTCAGGGTTAGTTCCATTGACATTAAGTACAAGATTTGGAAACTTGGCGTCGTCTTCACAGATAACGTAAGTAAGAAGATGTAGCCCCAGGGCAGAGAAATTCATTATTAAAATATCTACAGTTAGTGGCCAAAATGGTGGAAACCTTTTGGGAAAAGTGTATTTTTGAGGTTTGATGGCTAATAACACCACTTCTTTTTTTTTTGAGTTTCAAGATAATCCTATTCCACTGCTGGAATGGCCTGGGAATAGCCCAGACCTTCTTAACCCAATTGCAAATCTATGGAGCCGACTAAAGAAATTGGTTAGTCAGAAGCGACCCAGCAATAAAACCCAGTTAATAGAAGCCATCATCCAATCAACCTTGGTTTCACATTATAACAGCTGCAGAACCAAAAGACTTGGTTCACTCCATGGGAAGACGTTATAAGGCCATCATTCATGCTAAAGGTTACCCAACGAAGTATGAACTGACATGGGGATCATTTTTGTATACCTTGTTTTTTTTCTATGGGGATAATTTTTGTATATCTCATTTTTTCAACGTGTTTCACTTTTCTTCTTTATACTGTAACTGCTATTCTAATAGCAAATCCTTCATAAAAGTTGTTGCATTATATTCTTGATTAAATTATCTTTCCATTGATAATATAATTTTATGGTGCTACTCCAAAAAAAAAAAAGTGGTGTTATTAGCTAGTTTTAGAAAATATAATTTTCCCAAAAGGTTTCCACAATTTTGGCCACTCCTGTATACTGACACTCCTTTCACCCTGGAGAAATTCTGTCCCGTGGCTCCTAAGGGTCAACACCAACTCAACAACACATGACCCCAGGACAACGCAACTATCATAAATATCCTTTATTTATATTTATAATAAATATTCAGTTGCCAAGCATCTGAATTTTTAACCCGTGACCATAAGGATGCTGGAATGGTCGTAAGGATGCTGAAAAACAGCCATAACAGCCTTATTTCAGGGCTGTTGTAACTTGGAACAGTCACTAAACGAACTGTCGTATGTTGAGGACAACCTGTAGTCTGGAGGGGCTTTTTCCCAGAGGGCAAAGAGGCAGCGGAGTTTGGCATGCCTGGGAGGGAGGAAGAGTGCTAAAACAGTCCCTCCTTAGCAGCTCACAGAATACATCTCAAGTTATGCAGACAGTTGCTTTAGTCTGGCAAGATTCCGTCTGTAAGCGAAGAAACAAGGAAACTAAGAAGCAACTTCTCTTTTGGTTCTTGACTTCATTGTTGTTAGTCTAAAGTTTAATGCCGGAAGATATTAGTGATACTTTCCTCTTCCTACTATCAAGACCCCAAGGCCATTGTTCATTTGCTCTCCATCCAGTTGTTCTTCTTTCTCTCCCTCTCACTTCAGTCCTTCCTGTATCTCTTCTGGTACATGGTGATGTCCGTGCTTGGCCATTACAACAACTTCTTCTTTGCTTGCCATCTTCTGGACATTGCCATGGGCGTCAAGACTTTACGGACCATCCTGTCCTCTGTCACTCACAATGGCAAACAGGTCAGTTGGGATGAGGGAGAGGAATCCTCTGCTCCATAGGCACCAAGAGAAAGCTCTTCTTTCCTGCTACTCAACTGACCATCTCCTGCACCTGTGTCCTCTTTCCCCAGCTGATGATGACCGTGGGGTTGCTGGCAGTGGTTGTCTACCTTTACACCGTGGTGGCCTTCAACTTCTTCCGCAAGTTCTACAACAAGAGCGAAGACGAGGACGAGCCGGATATGAAATGTGATGATATGATGACGGTGAGGGGCAATGAGACTTCCTAGACTTGATGTTCTCCTGGACATCTGGAGGCTCCGGGGTTGGAAAGGATGAGTTGTGGCCTGAGTGTGGATGCTTTGTACTCTCCTCCCAACAGTGTTACCTCTTCCACATGTATGTTGGAGTGAGAGCCGGAGGCGGCATCGGGGATGAGATTGAAGATCCAGCCGGAGATGAATATGAGCTCTACCGCGTGATCTTTGATATCACCTTCTTTTTCTTTGTCATTGTCATCTTGTTGGCTATCATCCAAGGTGAGATGGGTGGGCCTGCACCCCTTCATGAGTCTCTGCTGTATCACTGTGTCTCTCGTCTACTTCCTTAATTCTAACCTGTTGTTGTGGCCTGTCGGCCCCCAGCCCCTCCAGCAGCCGACTCAGAGTCAGGTTTTTCTCTTTTCTCTTCGACTTCTGGACTTCTTTCTCCATTTCTCCAGGTTTGATTATTGATGCCTTTGGGGAGTTGAGAGACCAGCAGGAGCAAGTGAAGGAGGACATGGAGGTATGCTGAATCACCCCTCTGTCATTTTTAGTGGAATAACAGGATAAGAGAGTTGGAAGGGACCTTGAAGGTCTTCTGGTCCAACCCAGTGATGGGATTCAGCCGGTTTGGGCCAGTTCAGGTGAACCGATAGTTCAATTGCTGGTTGGCACTGCCCTGCCCCACCCCGCCCCTTCCCGCGCACCCCATTTTGGCTCCCAGGTAAGCGCAGGGAGGCCTCATAGGCCCAAAACGGTGCGTGGCAGGGTGCGGCGCAGCCCCCGCGCAGCCTGTTTTTGCTCCCAGGGGGGTGCAGGAGGCCGAGTGCTGCCTGTCACACCCCCTGGCCACGCCCACCATGGCCACACCCACCCATCCAGTCATCCACTTCGTGTATTTCACTGTGCCCTCAAAACCTTGTTGTTCCGCCAGGCTGGGCTATCAAGGTAAAGATTTTAATTGAGTTTTTAAAAATGGGATTTTAAATTCGGGGTTTTAAATTGAGCCTATCATTTAATAATTTTAATTATTTTTAAATTTTGTCTGTCTTTGTGCTTTTAATCAGGCTGTACACCACCCTGAGTCCTTCGGGAGAAAGGCGGTATAGAAATAAAATAAATAAATAAATAAATAAATAAATTAGGGCAGAGAACCGGTTGTTAAATTATTTTGAATCCCACCACTCGTCCAACCCCCTGATCTTCAAGCAGAAAACCCTACAACATTCCAGACAAATGGGTTGTCCGACCTCTTCTTAAAAACCTCTCCTTCAAAGCCTCCAGAAGATGTGGAAGCACCCACATCTTCTGGAGGCTTTTCTTCCAGGCTTTGTTCCAAGAGAAATGTGGTTTGCCTCTTTGTTTTGGGCGTGATGATATCTTTCATTGGTGGCATAATGGAATCGCCAATGGATTCATCGGTAGTAAGTCAGTCTATGAACAGGAAAATAAATGCTGTACAGGCAATTTTTTTTTTTAATTTATTTTTATATACCGCCCTTCTCCGGAGACTCAGGGCGGCTTACAATGCGCTAAGCAATAGCCTTCATACTTTTGTATATTTTATACAAAGTCAGCTTACTGCCCCCACAATCCGGGTCCTCATTTTACCCACCTTAGAAAGGATGGAAGGCTGAGTCGACCTTGAGCCTGGGGAGAATTGAACTCGCAGTAATTGCAGGCAGCTGGATGTTAAATGCTGCCTTAGTAGGAGGCATTAGCCTCCTACGCCACTCAGGCTCAACTGACCCCACAGTTGGGACCAGAATTTCCATTTCTAAGGAAAGTGGGTGTTAACCAGGGGTGGGCTGCTGGGGGATTCGCAGGGGTTCGGGAGAACCTCTAGTTAAGATTCTGTGCAGTTCAGAGAACCCCCAAATCCCACTCCTGGCTGGCCTACCCCTCCCCTCCCAGGAGTCCCTACACGGTCCGTTTTGGATGCAGGTAAGTGCAGGGCGCGCACGGAGGCTCTAGGAGGGTGAAAAACGGGCCTACCGGAAGTTTGGGAAGGCCAGAAATAGGCCCATTTCCAGTCTCCAGAGGGCCTCCGGAGCCTGGGGAGGCCGTTTTCGCCCTCCTGGAGGCTCGAGGAAAGCCTCCAGAGCCCGGGGAGGGAAAAAACATCCCCTGCCCGCTGTGGTTCAGGAGGCCAATTAGGCCACGCCCACCATGGCCACGCCCACCCAGCAACCGGGCAGAGAACCCCTTGCTAAAACTTTTGAAGCCCATCCCAGGTGTTAACAATCGCATCTGATTTTATGACCGTTTGACCCTTTTTCTTCACTCTCCTTTGTTGTCCTCAAACAGACCAAATGTTTCATCTGCGGGCTTGGCAGTGACTATTTTGACACGACGCCCCATGGCTTTGAGACCCACACGTTAGAGGAGCACAACCTGGCAAATTACATGTAAGCAAAGGACACGGGGGGCAGGGGAAGGAGAAGGCGACAGCCAGGATTTTCCTGGTCTTTATTCTGTAGCTCTGAAGATTTCTGAAAGCAGAAAACCATTCAAAGACACCGAGAAGCAGATCCTTACTAAGCAAGTAGGGCCCAAAGTCAGCCTTTAGAAGTAGTCCAGACCCGAAAACCAATGTTATTAATGCTAATATGACTTTTATTATAAGGTTATGTAGCCAAATCTTGCAAGTCTGTTCTGAGACACTTTCTCAAATTACATGTCTGCTTTGGACTCAGATTTCTCTTATCTGACCCTTGTCTTGTTTGCTGGGTTTTCTTCCTCTGCCTCACAGGTTATTCTCACAGTAGAGAGAGCTGCAAGTTAAATTGCAGGAAGGGTGATAAGAGGAGAGACTTACTTTTCCCCATCCCTTTTAATTTCTCCACTTCCCAAGAGGCAGTATTTCCCATCGCCTCGAAAGTGTTCCTCTGGGCACAACCCACGTTTCTCTAAATCCGAAGATAACGCTGCAAATGCTTGGCAAGATTCCTTTTCTCGCAAAGGTTTCCACATCTTTCCTTTCCACCTTTCTTCCCCCTTGTAGGTTCTTCCTGATGTATCTCATCAATAAGGATGAAACGGAGCACACTGGCCAGGTGAGAGGGGGCTTGAGGACGGGAGGGGAGGGAAGTTAAAACTCAATATTTTGTATTCATTTTTCTTCTTCTCAAATTATTTCTTTTAATAATATTTTTCCTTTCCCCCCCTCTTTTTTTCCTTTTCCTTTTCTTCGTATTATTTGAGGAACAATAATAAATAACAGTGATGCTAATAGTAACAATATTTAGAGGTTTATAGAGCTTTTCTTGAAATATGATGTCACAAACCATACATTTCATTCAATCGTTCCTTCATTAAATAAGGAATTTTGAATGTTAGGACCATTGGAAATCCTTTGTTTGTTTATGAATATGTTATTCTGCATCCCTTATTGCCTTTTTCCACTTTTTTTCTCTATTTATTCTGTGAATGTTTTTTAAAAATGACATTATTACGGGTAGTCCTCTACTTACGACGACAACTGAGACAGAATTTCCATTGCTAAGCAAAACGGTGGTGAAGGGAATCCCACCTTTTTCTTTACGACCTTGTTTGCCAAGGCTGTTACACAAATCACTGCAGTCGTTAAGCAAATCATGCCATCGTTAAACAAATCCAGCTTCCCCCATTGACTTGGCTTGTGGGGAAGCCAGCTAGGAAGGTTGCAAAGGCGATTACGCGACCCCACGACGCTGCAGCCATTGTACATATCAGTTTCCCAGCACCCGAATTTTGATCACGTGACCCCAGAGGAAAGCTGTGATGGTCGTAAGTGCGAGGACCTGATCTTAAGTCCCTTGTCAACTCACAAAGCGTCTCTGGCCTGCTCTCGAGTTGCCATTGGCAAGGGGGATGGGAAAACAGCGAAGTAGCATGGCAGCCAAAAACAAAAGCACATTTCAGACATATCTCTCTCAAGGCTGTCTCCCAGGGTTACCCACAACAGCCGGAGGGGAGTGATCTCTACAACCCGCAAATCCCAGTGATTTGCTAGCTCTAGCAAATTTTTTCAGCGCTGTTGTAGCTTTGAAAGGCCGCTCAACAAAACGGTTGTAAACCGAGGACTCCCTGAAGTTGATTTTTTTTAAAAAGGGACGCTGCTTTCCTTTATTAATGGAGCTCCTGTGTTCTCTCTTTTGCAGGAATCCTATGTCTGGAAAATGTACCAAGAGCGCTGTTGGGATTTTTTCCCGGCTGGAGACTGCTTCCGGAAACAGTATGAAGACCTGCTCGGCTAGAGCGCCCCCTGGGCTAAGCAGGGGGCAAGGCAGCTGCCCTGGGTCCACCTCCCTTGCCCCCTTCCTTCGGCCCTAGAGAAAGGGGGGGGTTCAGCAGCAAAGCAGAGTGGGACAGCTTGGCTGAGTGTCTTTTGTTTCAAGCTTGGGGAGAGCTGCCTCGTTCCCTCCCTCCACCCTCAAGTCATCCCCACTATGTCTTCTGCCTCTTGCTGCCAAGCCCCCTCCCCTCGGTGGAAGGGGTGGGTATTTCTGTCCCCACCCACCCCCGAGAAATGCCCCACTTGCTTGGGCTAAGCCAGCCCCCCACTCGGCCAGTAACACTTCCCAACTCTTTCTGGTCCCTTGGTGGCGGTGGGGTCCGTGCAATAGGCTTCCTTTTCAGGTTAAAGCCCCCTCCCCAGTTTCAAGTGCCTTTTATTGGCCCTCACCCCCCCAAGAGAGGGGAGGGTCCTCCATACAGGGAAAAACTACTCTTCAGGACCCATTGGGGGAACGGAATGGGACAATTCGCCTTGGCCGACTCGCCCCGAGACAACTCACGGCGGGACAATTTAACCATTCAGTTTTCATTATTTAAAATGATTTTTTTTAAAAAAAAATACTTTAATGTTTGTCCTTCCCACTTCATTCTGTCCCTCCTTTTGTAGCCTTTCTTTAACGATCCTGCCCCACCGTTTCTTTGATATTCGTGGAACTCTTGTCCCGCGGCGAGTTGTCCCCGCAGCCAAATTGGCGGTGGCGAGTTGGTACGGGGAAAAGTTGGGGCAAATGTGCTCCTGATTTCCGTTGGCCAGCGTAGCTGAGTGCCAAAGAAATGTTGAGGGTCCCCAAGAAAAGGAATGCAGCCCCCTCCGTCCCTCTGTTCCTCCCCTCCGTGACTTGAATAACCTTCACACCTAGTCCTCCCTCCCTCTTATTTGTGAAGCTTATACTTAGGGTGGTGAGGGGATCTTCTCTTGCCCCATCTGTACTTAAGAAGGTGCCAGAAATCCCACCCAGTAGAGCCAGATATGTGTGTGTGTGTATTGGGGCTCGGGGAGGCAAGGGGCCCTCCGGAGATCCACAGCCCCTTGAGCTCCCGTACAGAATAGACCCCTTTGCCATCCCCGATTTAATGGTCGTCCCCACTGGATGTTTGAAGCCAGCTCTGTTGAGAGGATGCCCGCCCCTCAAGTCCAGCTTGGATCTCTGCCAATAAAACCATAGACTGCTGCAGCCCTCTGAGTCGACATCCTCCTTCTGCAGAACCAACAAATTCCAACGCTGTTTTTCTTTTCTTTTCTTTTCTTTTTTCCATGTTGCTGTTCATGCTGCATTTTCTTACGAGTCCGTTTTCGGCTCGCCGTGCGTTTTATTGGTTATCCGTCCGCTTGGCATATCACATGACATCCAAGCCATCCTGGCTTGGATGAATGGAGGCACCCCCCATGTGTAAGGGGTGTGTGAGCAGAGAACCTTGACCGAGAAGAGATTTAACAGAATAAGAGAGTTGGTAGGGACCTTGGAGGTCTTCTAGTCCAACCCTCTGTTTAAGCAGGAGATCCAATGCCATTTCAGACAAGTGGTTGTTCAATCTCTTCTTCTTGAATATCAGAGTTGGAAGGGACCTTGGAGGTCTTCTAGTCCAAACCCCTGCTCAAGCAGAAGAGCCCTATACCACTTCAGACAAATGGCCGTCCAATCTCTTCTTGAAAGCCTCCAATGATGGGGTGACCACAACTTCCTGGAGGTAACCCCTATTCAGGCAGGATCTGGCCATACACAACTTAGCCTCATCCTGGACACTGCTCTTGGGTGCGTTAACATATACATACGTGCGCACTGAGACACATCTTTCAGAGGAGAAGGTACATATGGGAAACGAAAAACTGAACATACTGTTTACTGAGGTTGAATGGTATGTAAGGAGAAGGTATGTAAAATCAGGGCATGTAAAATCTTTGGTGCTTCGGGGTGAAGCTACTGTAAGAGTTGGGCTGGACAATTTCTCACTGCCAGCCCTGTCTTGCCAGCTTCCTGGATGGTCCCGAAGCATCTGATAGCTGGAGTCCCCTTCCCCATCACTCGTTCTTCTTCGAGGAATCAGTTCTAGAGGGTGGGAGCTGATCAGTCTGAGCAACCTGCGGGTTGAGGTTGAACCATCGTCATTCTGGCACGTAGAGATTGCTGGTGGAATTCGGGTTATTCACTGGTCGCGTCTCTAACACGATGGTGCTGGCAAGGAAGGAGAAAAGACAGGAATTAAGTGGGCACCCTGGAGGAGGATGTTCTGTGGTTGCGGGGTGGCCATGCTAGCTGAGAAGGTTGGGGACAATGGAGACCACAGGATGAAGAAGGTTGTCTCAAAGAGCCAAAGAAAAGGAGTTCCTCTTATTCAGTACAGGACCCACACAAGGAAATTGGGAGAAGTTCTGAAGGCCACAAAGGGGTGGAGCAAGTTGCATGGGTGGGAGAAGCACAGAGATGAGGTTGAAGGTCTTCAAACCTGGAGGGTCCCAGTAGGCGGAAGGTCCACCGTTGATCCTGCAGCTTCTGTGCTACCTGAGAAGAAACATCAGATTAGGATGAAGGGTTATGTTTGCCTCTTAAGTGAACCTCTTGCTAAGAATCATTGGACTTCTACCCACAGGAACGAGATAAATGAGATGCTCTCATTGTTGGAGAATACTGTAGAATACCATGAAGTTCTTGGTATCTTGGGTTCTTCTCCCACCACTCATCTTTGCCATAAAATCTCAAGAGGAGTGACCACACCATGTTGAAAACACAACTGCTCCTTTACCTGCCCTGATCCAAGCGGCCGTGTCTGCACACCATGGCGCCAAAATGCATGCACGCAGTTCTGCACCAGTGCTGGAGACAGAAGAAGTGAAGAAGTTCAGGTCCTGCCACCGTGACTTACTCTCCATTTCATAAAAGATGTTCAGGCATTGGACATGCCTCCCCGCGAAGCGGAATGGGAAGTGAATCCTTCAAAAGTGGTCTAGCATCCCTCAAAATACAGGGTGACTCAACCTCAACGTAAAGCAAGACCATCTTTGAGAAGCACCCAGCCTGGCAGGGAGGAGGAATCAAGCATAGAGATAGCCTGGAGTCATTGTGCAACCACAAAATTGCTAACTGACCCTCCCGAAGTTCCTTGGAGCCTTATCTATTTGTTCCCAAGAGGAAGGAGACTGCCAGCATGGGGAGATTCCTGTATTATAGGCAGAACATAATAAAAGTAATTAAGTTGAGCTCTGCATATCTAGGTCTGGTTGTTGGAACCTGACACATCTCTCAATACTACTGACAGACAAGCCAGCAAACTCACCACAAGCACCATCACAACAACCAGAGAATCACAGGCAGCATTTGGTAGAGAAGACAAACAGATTAGATCTCTTTCTCCATCAAGATCAGAGCTGCTCTGGAGATGTCAACCTGTCCTTCCTCTAAGACCGGAAAGGAGCATCAGATGATGGAGAGGAGGCAACTGGAAGAGGAGGAAGTACTGAACAGGATGGAGAAAAGGAACTCACCGACTGACTCCACTGCTACGTCGAAGGTGAGTTTCGGTGGGGATCCAAGCAGTGTCCCTCGGTGGCTGACAAACTGGATGCACCCTGGGAAACAAACCAAAAACGCATTGGCCCCAACAGGAACGCTCCCTTCTCGCAGTCCTGACCGACCAAGGGCCACCTGGCTTCTACTTACCATCCATCAGAACCATCACCATCTTGTTGTCCAACTGAGTCACCTGGACGAAGCCACAGCAGGAAGGTTCTGTGGACAAACAAATGCATTGTTCAGAACTACGGCTAAGTATTCATTTAAAGCCTGCTTTTGATCCTTAAAAGAGTTCCTTCCGGAAGATCTTCAACATAGTGGAGAAGGTGGCCTTTTGGTCTAGACCAATGATGGCAAACCTTTTCGGCACCAAGTGCCCAAACTGGAACCTGTACGTGCGCATCAGAGCCCTGGAAACTTGGAGATCAGCTGGTTGGTGCGCCGCACCTGGTCTTTTGGTTTGCTGATCAGCGAGTCAGCTGATCTTCGCACATGCCAGAGCGCCGGAAACCTGAAGACCAGGTGGCCAGGGCGCGCGCCCACAGAGAGGGCACACATGCCATAGGTTCACCATCACGGATCTTCTAGACAAGGAATGTGGTGGTATGATCTTTCTACTGAAGTTCTACCTTATTATTGTCCACCATAAAGACTGTGCCACAGCAGACATGCAGATGCAGCCCTCAAATGTCAAATGAACCACCGAATGACTTAGAACCCATCCTGGGATTCAGCTAGTACTTGAGGGGGGAAAAATTAATCAGAATCTGCTTCCAGGATACTCACCGCTTTTGTCGCTGATAAACCATGAGGTTAAAGAGTTGAGGTTAATGACTTGGAATTGCACAGCCTGTCCTGGGGGGCCCTTGCTTACACCAATGCAGACCACCGGATATTCCTCATCGGGGTTTATCAGCATCTCGAAGATGGGCAGCGAGGAAGGCAGGGGGAAATCAAAGTACTATCCAAGGAGAAGAAGAGAAGGGTTTCCTGAATTGGGGTTGATGCCCTCAAAAGTGCCATCTCTGCCATGGGGAGTACCCCGTACTAATAGCCACCTGTCAACTTTTCAAAGTAGACCAGACTCAGAAACCAAAGTCAGGCCGATTAATACAGAGAAGTCCTCAACAGAAGAACTTATACAATTCTGGACGAATGGCTGTCCAGTCTCTTCTTAAAAACCTCCAGTGATGGAGCGCCCACAACTTCTGGACGCAAGTCGTTCCACTGGTTAATTGTTCTCACTGTTAGCAAATTTCTCCTTTGTTCTCAGTTGGAACTCTCCTTCTGTTCTGTCCCCATCCCACACATGCACCCCCACAAACGGCCCGGAGTTAATAAGCCACACGACAAAATCTTTGAAGATAAAGCTGGCAGCAACCCAGTGGCTAGCTGCCAGTTCAGACTTTACTCACACAAAACAAAGATTAGACTGCAAGCATTCCGATAAAGCAGGCAAAGTTTCAACAATACAAGGATTAGTCCAAATGCAGTCCGACAAGGCAGGCAGAAGTCCAGTAACGCAGAGATCATGGATTATTTCTAGTTTTTGCTCGTCACAAATTGAACCGGCCACCACACCCACATTTATACCCTGTGGGGTGTGGTCCAGTGACTCAGCTAATCTCTGGCATGCCTTCCCCTCTGCTGCGCATGCTTCTCCCTGCACCTCTGCCGAGGGTCCAGCCAGCACTTATCTACTTCGTCGCTGTCCACCTGTGGCTGCGGGGACGTGCTTGGCTCTGGGCCTATCTCTTGGTCTTCGGTGTCCTCCGGAGGCATTGCCAGAGAGGAGGGTCCTGGAGAGGGAGGCCTTGCCACCTCCTCTCCCTCACTCTCAGAGTCTGCATCTGTCGATAGTCCAGGCTCAGGCAACGGAGCCACAACACCTTCATCAGTTTCCACCTGTTGCTTCTCGTCCTGCCCTCAAGTGCTTTGGAGAATTGGTTGACCCTCTCATCTCTGTGACAGCCCCTCAAATATTGGAAGAAGCCATCACATCACCCCTAGTCCTCTTCTCTTCCTTAAACCAGACATGCCCAGTTCCTGCAACCGTTCTTCGTATGTTTTAGCCTCCAGTCCCCTGATCGTCATTACTGCTCTTCTTTGCACTCTTTCTACAATCTCAACATGTGTTTTTTTGGTACTATGGTCACCAAAACTGGACATGGTATTCCAAATGTGGTCTCACCAGTGCAAAAGAGAGCATGCTTTCAATTATTGCCCAGAACAGTGTTGGCGATCCTTTTTAGCCCTGAGTGCCGAAATGGGAGTGCGCGCGCATGCAGAGCAGCCCTAGAAACTGAAAGAGCAGCTCCCCAGCGCGCACACGTGGGAGCACTGGAAACCGGAAACACAGCTTCCCGGCACACATGCACCTGCTGGAAAGATGAGCTTCCAGTTTCCGGCGTGCGCAAGAGCGTCAGTCACCTGGTCTTCCGGTTTCTGGCAGGCATGCGTACACAAAGACCAGCTAGACGGAAGCTCAGCTTCCCGGCACGCACATGTGTGCCAGGGAGCTGCTCTTCCGATTTCTGGCACTCCCGTGTGTGCGTAAACCAGCTGGCTGACATGCATGTGTGCACCGGAACCCGTAAGGGCCATGGGTGATGGCTGGTGTGCCCGAAGATACGGCTCTGTGTGCCACTTCTGGCCTGCATGCCATCGGTTCGCCATCATGGGCCTAGAAGGAATAAATGGCCTGAAGAAAATGGAAAAACCCTGGCATCCCAAAATAGTTTCAATAATAAATCAACGCGAGACCTTCAGAGAGAAGGCACAGGGTGGGACAGAGGTGCTTGGCGCCAACCTGGGTCTCCCTTGGCAATTGCACCCGAGGCACTAAATTGCACACAATGCCACCTAGCCAACTAAGCTATCAAACACACAACCTGGCTGTCTCTTCCTTGGGATGCCCAATCTTGACCCTGGCAAGGAGATGCTTCCTCTGGCAGCAGGACTCAGCTCTTACCTTGACCAGCATGAATTTCTGCATGGGCTCGTACCATTGGAGGAGAACCACTCCGGCCTCCAATGCCCCACAGAGAAAGTGGCAACTGTTCTGGGTGTTCCTGGCTGCAAGAAAAGGAGGTGGGGGAGAAGGTGATGTATTGGATACTAGGCAGGACACCCGAGGGGAGGAGAGGAAGGGTCAGCCGTGGGGACAGTGACCATCCCTAGGACTGGCGTTCAAAGCACCTGTGCAACATTTCTGGCATCCCTTCGTGTCGGGGATCTTGGTGGTGATGACGTTTTTTCTAGAGGGAAGGAAGGAAAGGACAGATGAGTTGATTATGGAAGGAAAAAAGCAGTGATGGGATTCAGCCGGTTCGGGCTGGTTCGGGAGAACCAGTAGTTAAATTGCTGGGTGGCCCCTCCCCTCCCCTTCTTGGAGTCCCCATGCACCCCATTTTGTCTCCCAGGTAAGTGCAGGGAGGCCTCCTAGGCCCAAAACGGGGCAGGGAGTGTGCACTGCAGGCCTCCGCGGCCCATTTTTGCTCCCAGGAGGCTGCAGAGAGGCCTACTAGGCCCAAAATGGGGCGCGGGGGGGTAAATCCCTTCCCCGTGGCCCGCTTTTCCTCCCAGGGGGGTGCACGAGGCCGAGTGCTGCCTGTCACACTCCCTGGCGACGCCCACCCAGCCGGGCATTAGGGCCGAGAACCGGTTGTTAAATTATTTGAATCCTACCACTGGAAACGAGATTGCTTTTTAGAACTGTCTTATACAGTGTTTTTCAACCTTGGCAACTTTAAGGAGTCTTAAAGACTTCTCCCACCCACAGAACAAGCCACTTCTATATGAACAGAGAGCAAACCCCCCCTCCCTTCTAGCACTGATGATGTTACCTAGCTGGGTCATGAAAAGTCTGCAAGAAAACAACCAAGCTCAGGGAGCACCAAGGACCCCACCGAAAATAACCTGTTGACCCTCCAGCCAGCCAGGCTGCGAAAGACCTCCGCCAGATAAAGAGATTGGCCATTCCCACATCTAAATGAATCCTGAAGAATTAAGGAAGTAGGTAAGAAAAAGTGATGGGTTTTCCAGTGATGGGTTTACCTGGGTAATAGTCGGTGTGCAGAAAGGGACACGCCCAGGCGCTGGTCTCTCTTGCTCTGCTCGTGCAGACTGAGTAAATTGTGGGAGAAGAGCTGGGGAACCTTGCCTGAACAGAAGGGAAAAGAAAACCTATTGTCTATTCAGGAAGTCCTCGATTTACGACCATTCATTTAGTGACCACTCGAAATTAACAATGGTGCTGAAGAAAGAGACTGACAACAATTCTCGCACTTATGTCATTGCAATAGCCCCATAACGACATGATCCAAATTCAGACGCTTGGCAACTGGTGTGTATTTATGACGGTTGCAGTGACCACGCGATCACCATTTGCAATGTTCCTAGCCAGTTCTGGGGGGGAGATTCGATTAACAATCATGTGATTCTCTTAACGACTCCAGGAGGGAAAAAAAAATAAACATAGCAAAATTGGGTGCACCTCATTTAACAACCGCCTTACTTAACAAGTGCTGGTGCCTCCCTGAATTCTGGGAGTTGAAGCTCACACATGCTTGCTCAGGAATTCTGGGAGTTGAAGTCCACACATTTTCAAGTGGTCACAGGTGAGAAGCACAGATATATAGAGAAAAATGGTCGTCGGAACTCAAGCTTTCCTAGCTTCTAAAACCAAATTTTCATTGCTTGAGGGGATTTTCCTACTTCCTCTCGTTTTCAACAAAGGGTTAGAGAAATATTGTCTGAATTCTTTGATACCCAGGAGCAGGTCGGAGAAGACATCTGCCACCCTGGCTGGGAACTGCTGGTCGTGATGGCTGGGGCTTATGGGAATTGTAATCAGTATGTCTATGTGGCATTGGGTTGGGGACAGCGGGGGTGGTGGTTCATTTCTTCCAGCCTTGAATTCAAAAATGCCAGCGTGGGCAAAAGGTTTGAGACCAACGGGTGATATTTGCTCTAAGGACCTATGCACCAGCATTCTGATCTATGCAGAATTTGCTTGTTATCGCTTCCTCACCTCCGCAAAATCGTCTTTTTCCCTCCTGCATCACACCTTACACATGCCAGACTATGCTGGCTGGAGAATTCTGGGAGTTGAAGTCCACAAGTCTTAAAGCTGCCAAGTTTGAGGACCTCTGGCTTAGGTTATGCTTCGATACATTGCAAACCCAGCAGATGAGCAGCTTCCCCTAACCAGGTTAAATGCGTCTATCTATCTCCCAAGGCCCTTTACACATAGCATTACAGAACCCTAAGGCAGGCTGAAATGATGCCAGGTTTTGACACAAATAACCAATGTGGTGGAATAGTCTTGAATTCTTGGGGGGGCGGGCAGGGGCTGCTCGCTTCCCATAGGTCTCCAGAGCCTCTAATTTTGAAAAGGAGAAGAAACAGACCTTGGGATGCTGGCAGGGAAGCCATGAGTCAGTCAATCAATCAGAATAGAGCTGGAAGGGAAACAGCTTGACCCCCTTCTCTCTGTGACAGCCACTCAAATATTGGAACACTGCTATCATGTCACCCCTGGTCCCTAGACTAAATATACCCAATTCCAGCAACCGTTCTTCCTATCTTTTCGCCTCCAGGCCCCTAATCCTCTGTTGCTCTTCTCTGCACTTTTTCCAACTTACCTGAAAGAGACATGAGAACATTCCCCATGCAATAGACCCACTTCGTTCGGCTGTGATAAAGCTTGAGAAACGGAGAGGGATAAAAAAAAAGAAGACGACAAAATGACGTTCTTCAAAGCAAGCCAGAAACTGAATTCTCTGCCTTCTCCCTTCTGTCGTTCAGACTCGTTCCTGCCACCCCGTCAGTCTCACCAGTTCTAGAGCAGGTTCTGCCTCACTCCTGTTCAAAGCGAAGATGCCTTCTTCAGCCCCCAGAATTAAGTGCAGCTCTGGAAAATAGGGAGGAAATTCAAAATTAAGGTGGGACACCATCAGGGGTGGGATTCAGCCGGTTCGGACCAGTTTGGGCGAACCGGATGCTAATTTTACATTGGTTTGCCGAATTGGTAGTTGCAACGACTGGCTGGCCCCGCCCACCCCACTCTGCCCATCTCAGGAGTCTCCATGCGGCCCATTTTGGATGTGAGGTAAGTGCAGGGCCTATCTGAGGAGTGTGAAAAAAGGCTCATAAGTCACTTTTTTCAGTGCTGTTGTAACTTGGAAAAGTCACTAAACGAACTGTTGTAAGTCAAGGACCACCTGTAGTCGCCTCCCCCAAGATGTTCAGAAGCACTACCCTGTTTCTCTGAAAATAAGACATCCCCTGATAATAAGCCCAATCGGGCTTTTGAGCGCATGCGCTAAAATAAGTCGACACTGAAAATAAGCCCTCCCTGAAAATATTTAAACACAGAGCTGGAAATCAGGGAAGACGGCAAGAGGAGCCCCATCTTGCTCCACGTGCCCCAAAATAATAAGACCGCCCCGAAAATAAAGCCAAGATTTCGGGGTTCAAAAAAATATACGACAGGGTCTTATTTTCGGGGAAACATGGTAGTCCTAGGTGAAGGAGCCATCCTGGAGCTCAGTTGCAAACCAAGTAATTATTTCTAGATCATTTTATGACGAGGAGCCTTGGACAAAAGAACAGCACTAGGACTACCATGTTTCCCCCAAAATAAGACCACCTCTTATTGTCAACTTGCAAAGCTTTCAAGTTGCCATGAGCAGGAGGGAGGGAGAACTGATAGAGCTGATTGATTTCCCTAACTGAAGTGCATTCCATACATTCTTCCTTACCGCAATCAGAAGGAGGGTGTTGGATTTCACAGCCAGCCAAAGTTGGAAAATGTGATTTATGACATGGCCAGAGAGGAAGGGAGAGACAGGGTCATAGGGGAACGTAAATCTACGTGAGATTAGTTCTAACTGCATCCGAATATTGCCGAAATGGTGCTCCTAATAAATGACTGTATTTCTTTTGAAGTTCGGCTCATGGCTCATGAATTAATTAGGGCACTTCACATTTATATTATAATTTTTGCTCCAAAAGACGCATTATGACTTATTTTCCGACTAGGTCTTATTTTTGGGGGAAATACAGTGCTAAACACCTCCGTCAGCTGACGATCTTAACGGGTTTATTTTGGGGGTAGGGATTATATTATGAGCATCCTGAAAAATCATGCTAGGACTTATTTTCCAGTTGGGTCTTGTTTTCGGGTAAACAGGGTAGATACTGCTCAGGTCTGCAGAAAGAACCAATGCATTCTCGCCCCGCCCACCCGTCCCTCCTCAGGTCTCCTCCAGGTGTACCGTTGGTGTGTGGATGGGTCCAGGCGGTGGCCGAGGTGAGGTGCAAGGGGCACTCGTTGAAGACTTTCTTGAAGAGGGTCCTGTCCTGAGAAGGAGAAGCAGGCCAGAGCCATCCATGAACATGCACCTGGGAGAAGCAGGTATGCATCCTGGCCCTCAGGCGATTTTCTCTCACTTACTGATGGTACCTCTTCCTCTTTTAATTTCACCCTCGTGATTTCCAAACTGGTTTGAAATATTTTGGAGGGGAAGAGGAGGAGAAGGGAGGAGATAAAGGAGAAGATGGAGAAGATGATGGGGAAGAAGGAGAAGGAGAAAGAGAAAAAAGGAAAGCGGAGGAGAGGAGAGGAGAAAGAAAAAATGGAGAAGGTGGAGAAGGAGAAGGAAAGGGGAAGAGGGAAAGGAGGAGAGGAGAAGGAGAGAAGGAGAACATGGAGAAGTAAAGGGGAAAGGGAAAAAAGGAAAGTTAAGGAGAAAGGGGAGGAGAGGAGAAAGAAAATGGAGAAGGTGGAGAAGAAGGAAAGGGAGAGGAAGAGGAGAGAACATGGAGAAGGAGAAATAAAGGGGGAAAGGAGAAAAGGAAAGGGGAGGAGAAAGGGGAGGAGAGGAGAAAGAAAATAGAGAAGACAATGGAGAAGGAGAAGGAAAGGGGGAAAGGGAAAGAGAAGGAGAAAGGGGGGAAGAGGTGGAAGAGGAGGAGGAGAAAGATTCCTTGCCCTTCTGCATTTTGGCCCCAAGAAAAATCCAAGTTATTCTCTCTTCCAAGCAGGCTCAGTTTTTTTTTAAAAAAGTTTAATTTGAGCAATAGTGGAATGATTTGGACCGGAGCCGATTGGCCCAATGTGGAGGCTGAACACGCTTACCGGTTTCTGTCTCCTCTCCAGCTTAGGAGGAAGGCTGGGCGGCCTCTCATCCAAGGGATCTGAACGCAGTTCTGGGACTGCAGGGGAGTAAAATAAGAGTCAGCACCCCACACCACCAAATCTAAATCTGGGAATATTGACCCCCAGATCTCAACCTGGCAACAAAACTAAGTCTTTATTATTTTACTCTGGACTCTCCAAATTCAGGTTGGGTCCTATGGATTCATCATCTTCATTTAATGACCCCATAACCCTTGCAGGATTATGTATTTGAATGGCCGGATGCCCTTCCTGTCACCAATGAGGAGTTTTGTTCAGCAGATATATTCTCAGTGTGGGAACTCAAGAGAGAGAAATATCTGCCTCTACCTAGGATCGAACTCACAGCCTCCTGATTGTGAGGCGAGAGCTCTACCTCTAGGCCAGCGCACCATTCCATTGGGTCCTATGGATTAGTCCTAGAAAACCTTTTATTAGGAATATAACCCCTATAAGGCTTGTTCCAGGAATGAAAAGGGTCCCTGCCCCGGGCTATTTTTCCTCTACAGGCAGTTCTCGACTTACAACCAACAATGGAGCCCAATATTTATGTTGTTCAGTGAGACATTTGTTCAGTGAGTTTTGCCCCCGTTTTACCACCGTTGTTAAGTGAATCACTGCAGCTGATAAAGGAATAACCCGGTTGTTAAGTGAATCCAACTTCCTCGTTCGCTCTGGTTTGTCAGAGGGGATCATGTGACCCTGGGACACCACAAAGTTTGGGAGCATCTCCTCCTCCCGTCGTTTCACTCCTATTTTCTGGGAGAAAGAAAGTTGTACCCGATTTAGCGGTGAGGTGGGAAGCTTCGGCTCTCCCAGAATGACTTTGCGGCGAGGGCCAACTCAGGATGGGACCGCTGGAGCACCGTCCCCGGATTAGGCATTTGGCAGGAACGTGGTCGCGGGATCGATCCGCCGCCGTTTCATCCGAGGAGAGCCAAACTCTGGGCTATTCGAGAGAGAAATGTCAGCATGCATAAAATGCATTTGTCAGCAGGAAAAACGAACCTGCGCTAAGGGCGGCCGAGTTGTGTGTGTGTGGGGAGGGTGTCCGTGGACTAAATCTGCACCACCCACGGAAGACCCTGGACCACGGCTGCCCACTGGAGTAACGGGACTCACCTTGGTGTAATCTCCACCTGCAAGGACAGAGAGGAGGGTTGCAAACTTACTTTGCTCCCACAGAGGGTTTACCTTGGGAGGTAGCGGGGGCGGAAGATTCGCAGGCTGAGCATCCCTGGGAGGAAAGATAAATGACCAGGTTCAAAAACAGAGAGATGGGGGGAGGTTGCTGCCTGTTTCCCACCCCCACATACACACACACATACACACACACACACATGAATTGTTCTAGCAAGATATTACTAATAGAGAAGAATATTTGTAGCTTGGGGTTGGACCTCTGATGGCATTCAGTTGGTTCTATCCGGTTTGTGCGAACTGGTAGCGGCGGCTGTGGGAGGCTCCACCCACCGACCCACCCGGAAGTCATCATGTCCCGTTTTTGATGCTCTGCGCATGTGTGGAAGGCCCCACGCTCACATTTGCGAACCGGTAGCGAAGGTAAGTGACCGTCCCTGGGTTAAACTGGTGCTCTCTGAGCTTGGTTGCAGACATTTTATGACCCTACTAGGAAACATTATCAGTTCTAGAAAGGTGTGGGGTTTTCTCTCTGTTTTTAAACCTCGCTCCCTTCTAGCGCTGATGATGTTACCTAGCTGGGTCATGAAACGTCTGCAAGGAAACAACCAGTCTCAAAGGGCACCAAGGACCCCCTAGCAAGACATCATAATTCACTGTGAAAAGTCACCGCAGGTCTCACAGAGCTACTCCCGGCAAGCTAAATCCCTTCAAGTCAGCAAAGAAAACGTTTATTTTCCAGGACTGTAATTTCCAAATCCCAAGCAGGAATCTCTTCGTCTTAGGGACTAGCTCCTTGCTGGATCCCGAGATCCGTCTCTCTTCCCAACGTTTGGCTAAATGACCGTGCGTTCTATAATTTGATATTTTAAGAATTCTAGGAGAAAGGGTTACCTGATTAGGTCTGGTCCGCTGGGGCTGGAAGACAGAGGAGAAAAGAGGGAAGGGGAATTTAGGAGAGAAAGAATGACCGAGTGGGATTATGCTCAGGGAGTTTAGTGGCACCCATGGCCACTTTGACTTTGTTTTACGAGTCCTTGGTTGACGTTTGGCCATGGTCAAAACCTCCTGTTTCTCAACCTTGATGGACTTCAACTCCCAGAATTCCCCAGCCAGCTTTAACTGTAAGCAGTTAAGACGGAACTCACATATCCACATCGTCGTAGTCGTCTGAGTCGGCTACGCTCTTCCTGCAAAGGTCAGGAAAACAAAGCTGAAATAGATTTTATTTCCCATCTAGGCAGCAGCTACGGGAGTTGGTACCCAAGGCCCCTTCTGGGGTCCCTCACCTGCTGTTGAATTCAGATTCAGGTTGGTCCATCGTGCTGTAGCCTGGGTCTAGCACGATCTCCTGCAGGAGAAGAGAGAGGATTGGAAATTTCATCCTAGGCAAGTCTCCAGCAGAATTAGGAGCCAAATTCCCCAACAAGCCAGCCCAGTGGTATCTGGGGATGATGGGCATGATAATCCAGCTCATCTGGAGACCCCAAGTTGGCAAAGGTTGCCCTAGAGCAGTGATGGCCTTTCCCACCCCTGGAGGCCGGAAATGGCCCATTTGCCAACTTCCGATGGGACTGGAAGGCCCGTTTTTTGCTCTCCCCAGGCTCTAGAGCCTTTCTAGGAGCCTGGGGAGGGCGAAAATGGCCTTCCCCAACCCCCCTACCCCCGAGGCCCTCCAGAGGCAGGAAACAGCCTGTTTCCCTACTTCCAGTATTTCTCAACCTTGGCGACTTTCAGATGGGTGGACTATCAACTCCCAGAATTCCCTAGCCAGCCATGCTCACTGGGGAGTTCTGGGAGCTGAAGCCCACAGTTCTTAAAGTTGCACGATGGCTTGGGAATTCTGGGAATGGAAGTCCACCCATCTTAAAGTCAAGGTTGAGGAACGCTCATCTAGAGAAAGAGCTGAAGAAGGAGAAAAGAAGAATCGGCTGTGAGATCTTTGGTCCATTGAGTTTGTCGGTGCCAAAAGTGGCAGACTTCAGGGTAGGACCCAGATCTTGAAGAAGGCCAAGAGAGGAGGACTTTTCTCAAGGGGAAGAGCAGAAGAGCCAACGAAGAGTTACCATAGAGCTTGAAGACCTCAGACTTTGCCTTCTTTGGAAGATAGGGCTGAAGTTATGCTCTGCAATGAGATGGGAAACGGGATTTAGAGCAGTGAGGAAGGAAATGGAGGGTGCAGAGACCAAGCAACCATGTTATTTTCCCCCTAGTGGGGTGATTCCACTTAGATGAACTGGACAGGTGAGCCTTGAACCAACGAGAGTGGACAACCATACCCTGGACACCAGCATATCCTGGAGAAGTCACACCCTGCCGTTGACTAGAGTGAATCCTTCGGGGCACCGGGGGTGGAGGCAACTGAGGAAGAGAAGATAAGAGGCATGTTGGAGGGGTGTGTGATGGCTACCCCAAAACAGAGGGCTTCTGTGGCTGTGTGTGCCCCTAAGAGGAGCCCCTATTTTGCCAGCCCCTCCAAAACACCCTTGAGTTTGACTTGAGCAAGACAAGAGGGTCCTAGATTTATCGGTGTAGTGTGTGTGTGGGGGAATTAGTAGCCTGGACAATTTCCCCCGTTTTCGTATGGTGATGTCGATATTCTGGATTAGGACAGGAGTAACCTTCGCGAGAAAATCTGGGACAGTAGAACAACCAAGGCCCAAGTCCTGAATGTGTCTTAAAGATCAGTTGCTTCACTGTAGGACTTATGACGGCTATGGGAAGAGAAGAAACAAAGTTCTAATCACAGGTGGTCACTGGAAGATGGAGGAGATTCATGGAAACTTGAAGGTTCCAGACTGGGCACCTCCAGATTGCTGGTTTAATGTGTTTCTCTCCAGGTGGGCAGGTGGTCCAAAGATGTCCCCTTATCAGGGGTGAAATCCTACCGGTTTGGACTGGTTCGGGCCAACCGCTAGGGATAATGGGCATCAGTTCACCGAACCGGTAATAATTACCCCTCCTTGGCCCTAGCTATGGCACATAGCTTCTGCTGTAGACTGGAGATGAGACGAAGATTGCATTGTGAGGACACCTTCTTAAGAGAAGAACCTCTAAGAACCTCTAAACCTGGCATCTCCAAGAAGCAATTTCAAGTAGGTGTGGATGACTCCTAAGACGAGGAGATGACTCCTCCTTCTCTCTCCCACTTTCCCAGCCAATCTCTTGGCTCTCACCTCTTGGTCCTCTTCTTCTGCCTCACTTCTGGGGAGCTGGTCAGGATTGTGCACTTTCTCCAAGAGATCAAGGGTCAGCCTCTGCGTGAGCCCTGCCTGGGTTACAAACTGGTGCTGAGAAAAGAAAAGTGACGATAGTTGGGTTCCAACCCGGGGACCGGAACCAAAACGGAAGACGAAGGGGATAATGTCCTAAAGGTGCTTTTTTCAAGAGGTAACTGGACTTTCTGGTTTTTCTTTGAAAACGTTTCGCTTGTCATCCAAGAAGCTTCTTCAGCTCTGACTGGCTCATGGGGGAAGGGAAGGGAAAGATCAGGGGTGAAATCCAGCAGGTTCTGACAGGTTCTGGAGAACCAGTAGCGGAAATTTTAAGTAGTTCGGAGAACTGGCAAATACCACCTCTGGCTGGCCCCAGAGTGGGGTGGGAATGGAGATTTTGCAGTATCCTTCCCCCAGGAGTAGGGAGGGAATGGGGATTTTGCAGTATCCTTCCCCTGGAGTGGGATGGGAATGGAAATTTTGCAATATCCTTCCCCTGCCACATCCACCAAGCCACGCCCACGGAACCGGTAGTAAAAAAATGTGGATTTCATCACTGGGAAGAATTGATACTCCTTGCAGACAACCTGGCTGTTTGTATCCTTTTAGAGGATCGTTGAGGCCACTTGGGGGTTTGTCTGTGTCCTCAGGATCACCTGAGTGGTGCAAATGGGTGTGGGGTCTTCTTGGAACTGCAGAAAGGATTGCATTGTAGACTGGAGGTAGATGATGTCGTTTCCCCCCCCTCTCCTCTGCTCAGAATGGAACAGCACTCTCTCAACAAAGCACGGTCCTTTCAGTCTTTCAGTTCTTTCAGACTTACGACCATTTTTCACAGGATCGTCGTCGTAGCATGCCATGGTCACATGATTAAAAGTCGCAGGCTTGGCAACAGGTTCATATTTATGATGGTTACATCAGGGGTGGGTTTCACTTACCTTTGCTACCGGTTCGCGCGCGTGCTCACTTCACGTGCGTGCACACCACTTCTACGCAGGCGCAGATCGTATTTGATGACATCTAGGGGGGGTGGGCGGAGCCTCCCGCCACTGCTGCTACCGGTTCGCCCAAACCGGGGCGAACCGGTAGCAACCCACCACAGGGTTGCATGCATGTCCCGGAACAAGTGATTGCTTTTTTGCGACCTTCGGATCAGCAGAGTCAAAGTGGGGGAAACCAGATTCACTTAACAGACGTAGAAATTGAATTTGTATCCGGAATGATTGTAGAATCTCTCTCTCTCTCTCTCTCTCACACACACACACACACACTGGACAGCTGGCCCTGGGGGGCTTTGCTCCCAACTCTGCAGCGCGCACATCCTGCGTAGAGGTGGAAAGAGAGGTGGGCGTCCTCACCGTGAGCATCTTGGAGGCGCTGGGCCGTTTCTTGGGGCTTTTGGTTAGGGTCACCTTGACAAAATTGTGGAAGGCGGGGGACCTGTGGAGACAGCAGCAGCAGCAGCAGCCATGAGGAGAAATGTTTGGAAGCGTTGTAACGCAGCTGATGCTTGACAACTGCCTTGCTTCGCAGTGGAAACTCTGGTTCCGATTGTGGTCACAAGTCAAGGGCTATCTCACCTGTATTCCAAACCTCCGGCATTCTGCCCCAAAGGGTAACGCTAAGATTAACATCAGACCAACAATCAAGAAGTAAACGATGCTCCAATAAAAACACCGCCAAACAAGCAAACAGTAAATAGCCCAACCAAAGAGCTTCCAAGACTACTCTCACCAACACTGGCCAGGCAAGCCACTAGAATATAAAGGGAGAGCAAAACCCATCCCTTACTACAACTGATGAAGTTACCTAGCTGGGTAATGAAACATCTGCAAGAAAACAAGCAAGCTCAGAGAACACCAAGGACCTCACAGTCCTCCTCCTCCTCCTCTCTGCAAACCTACTCCCTTATAGACTGATGATGTTACTTAGTTGGGTCACGAAACATCTGCAAGAAAACCATGAAGCTCAGAGAACACCAAGGACCCCACAATCCTCTTCCTCTTCCTCCTCCTTCATTCTGCAAACCCACTCCCTTATAGACTAGTGATGTTACTTAGTTGGATCACGAAACGTCTGCAAGAAAACCACCAAACTCAAGAGAGTGTCAGGGCGCTGATTAATCCCATTCTGCCTTTGGGATAATCGCACCTTGATTAAGAGGGGTGGATCGAGACTTTTCCTTGCCAGCATACTTTAAGAAAACAAACCCGAAGATATATCTTCTAAGAAAACTCATTTATTTGTTATAAAGAAAATAAAACATCTTACTAATCTAATAGTTACATTTCTATAACGTTCGTGCCGGCCACCTCCCTGTGGTCGGACTTCTTGGCAAGAGAAGAAAGAAAAAGAGGATGTGGAGTGAGAAGGAATGTGGGTGGAGAGACATGCGCAGTTTAGCTTACTGATAAGGATTCTTGGCAAGCTATGGAAAGTCTGATAGTCCAGAAATGAGAGCTCAGCTGGTAAATAAAAGAACGCAGTGACAGAGAGCACCAAGGGATCCCCTCGGTTCAACCCTGCACTACAAATACTCTCCTTTGTTGAGACTAAGTAAGGCTCTGTCACCACTTCTGAAGGACCCCTTGACACTACTCACCAGCGGGCCTTCTCCTTCAGCTTTGGAGGCTGGTAGCCACTCTTGGTCATCAACACCAGCACCCTGCAAGGTGGCACAGGGAGACAAGCCACAGATTAGCCAGGGAGCAGTCTCTTCCTTAAACCGCTTCATGGAAAAGATTTTTGTTCAATCCTCAGGGATCAGAGAACGCAAACAGGACCCGCCGGCCGGGTCACCTTACCGCAAAGGATGCGTGTCAAACATGGGTGGCTGCAGCTCAGCCAACTCGATTGCCGTGATGCCCACTGACCACACGTCACACAGTTCGTTGTAGCCGCCTTTCAGTTCCACTGCGGCCACTTCCGGGGCCATCCTGGAACAGAGAGGTAATGTTAATTTTAACCGGATGTTAATTTTAATCTGGTTTGCCGAACCGGTTGTTCCAAGAACTGGCTGACCCCGCCCACCCTGCCCCTTCTAGGAGTCTCCACATGTCCCGTTTTGGATGCCAGGTAAGTGCAGGGTGCGTGTGGAGACTCTGGGAGGGCAAAAAACGGGCCTACCGGAAGTCCGGAAACAGGCCTGGTTCCAGCCTTCAGAGGGCCTTCGGAGCCCGGGGGACGCCATTTTCTCCCTCCTGGAGGCTCAAGAAAAGCCTCTGGAGCCTGGGGAGGGCGAAAAATGGGCCTACCGGAAGTCCAGAAAAGGGCCCATTTCTGGCCTCCGGGCAGCGAACTGGTTGCTGAATTTTTTCAATCCCACCCCTGGGCTGTATATGACATTCAGGCTCACCACCCCTTCAAGGGCCTCTTGGGTCCCATTAGGAGCACCCCGGTCTTTTCCAACCTGCTAACCAGGTTTATCAGCACAAAAGCCTACAAACCAGGATTTCTCCCTTGTTTCCTGGCTCACCAATGCCCCTTGCAGAAAGGATAATGCTATTGCATTAATTTGTCCCTGAAAAAGGAACAGGAATGTATGGAAAAATGCACACAACTGGGGGCCTTGGTTAGCATTATATATTGAGGAACAGATTCTGAAACTGGATAGGAGAGGGGAGCCCTTCCAATCTGCCACTCTTCTCCTTGGCATCTCACGGCTCAGATACCCATCGGGACAGCGGGTGGCTTCTCTTTACCAGTAAGGAGTTCCAATGAAGGACATTCGGCGGGCAAAGGTGGCACTCAGTTGAGCTGAGATTCCAAAATCAGCTGGCGGAAAGAAAGAAGAAGAGAAAAGAAAAAAGGGAGAAGTTGAAAAAAAAAATCTCTTGTCGTTGATCTGCATCGTGCTCTAGTTTGGGAAGATAAAAGAGTGTGGACTTCAAGGAAATCCATCCAACACAATCAGCAACCCGCAAAGCCTTGGGATGGAATCTGTTACTAGGAAAAATTCCAGATTCCTGAAATTTTGCCTTTATACATTGGCTCTCCTAAGGGAGACTCCACAATGAAATTTACAACTCTTCTAACCTTTTCTGAAATCTTTCTCTCTCCCACACACATACACAAACACACATACATGGCTTACAACAGGGGTGGGCAAACTGTGGCCCTTTTACAACCTGTGGACTTCAACTCCCAGAATTCCTCCCAGGGACTTCAACTCCCAGAATTCCAAGCTGGCTCAGGAATTCTGGGAGTTGAAGTCCACAGGTTGCAAAAGGGCCACAGTTTGCCCACCCCTGGTTTACAACCATTCGTTTAGTGACCGTTCGAAGTTACAACGGCACTGAAGAAAGGGACTTATGACCGTCTTTCACACTTACGACCGCTGCAGCATTCCCCAGTCACACGATCAAAATTCAAATGCTTGGCATCCGGTTCGTATTTATGACAATTGCAGCGTCGGAGGGGTGGGGGGGGGTGTCGTGTGATTCCCCTTTTGCAACCTTCTGGCCAGCAAAGCCAAGGGGGAAGCCAGACACACTTAACAACTGTGTTACTCACTTAACAACTGCAGTGAATCACGTAACCCAGCCTGGCAAGAAAGGTCACAAAATGGGACAGACTTCACTGAAGAACTGTCTTGCTAATTAGCAAGGGAAATTTTGGGATCAATTGCAAAATATACACACAGAATTACAGTAGTGGCCAAAATTGTGGAAACCTTTTGGGAAAAGTGTATTTTTGAGGTTTGATGGCTAATAACACCACTTTTTTTTGGCGCTTCAAGATAATCCTATTCCACTGCTGGGATGGGCCTGTGAATAGCCGAGATCTTCACCTAATTGAAAATCTGTGGAGCCGACTTGTTAGCCAGAAGCGACCCAGCAATAAAACCCAGTCAATAGAAGCCATCATTCAATCTTGGTTTCACATGATAACAGTTGCAGAACGAAAAGACTTGGTTCACTCCATGGGTAAGACGTTGTAAGGCCATAATTTATGCTAAAGGTTACCTAACTAAGGATTAACTGACAAGGTGATCATTTTTGCATATCTCGTTTTTTCTACGTGTTTCACTTTTCTTTATACTGTCACTGCTATTCTAATAGCAAATCCTTCCTAAACGTTATTGCATTACATTCTTGATTAAATTATCTTTCCATTGATCTATAATTTTAGGGTACGACTCCAAAAAAAAGTGGTGTTATTAGCTAGTTTTAGAAAATACACGTTTCCCAAACAGTTTCCACAATTTTGGCCACTACTGTAAATTCACACAATGTTAAACCAGAATTTTTAAGTGCTGCCCACAGAGCCGAGCCCTAGTGGATAGGATTGAGGGGCTACATGGTGGCCACGGACCCTCCAGATAGGGTGACTAAGGGTAACTAGCCCGAAGAAACAATGTCCAGAGAATGAACCTACCCAATTTTACTTCCCCCTGGTCGTTGAGAAGAATGTTAGCTCCCTGAAAGGTGAAGAACAGAAAAAGGAAGTGAAACTTACTCAGAGTGAAATGGACTGGCGTCCAGTGGGTAACAACCTCCCTCACCCAACAAGACAATATCCCCCATTCCCAGGCTCCGGGCTCTCTTTTTATTTGGAGTTCCAATTTTTACAAATTGCTCTGCAAAAAGTTTTTCAACTTTTCTACCTCATTTTGTGACTGCGGGCTGACAAAATATATGACAGCTACCAACTTTGCTTTCTGTTATCTATCTTCCTCTTTCTTCTTTCTTTCTTTCTTTCTTTTCTTTCTTTCTTTCTTTCTTTCCTTCCTTCCTTCCTTCCTTCCTTCCTTCCTTCCTTCCTTTCCTTCCTTCCTTCCTTCCCTTTTTTATTTTTGAGTACAGTAAAGGTCAAAGAGAAAAGGGAAAAAAGAAGGGAAAGTAAAATAAAAATAACACTTTTTTAAAATAGGAAAAGAAACATTGGTGCTGGCACTGTCCTGTTGTGGGTCTCCACCGATCCAACTCTCCTTGGGCTTTGAAGATTCTTCATCCTGCTCACATCACCTGACCTGAACCATCAAGGTAAGTTTTTTTTTTTTAAAAATCTTGCCTAAAATTGGCTAATTCCCAAAGATTCTAGTTGTCTGTATACTGTGTTGCATCCAGAAGGTAACGACAATATTCCCAATTCCCAGGCTCTATTTGGAGTTCCAATTTTTACAAACTGCTCTGCAAAAAGATTTTCAACTTTTCTACCTCATTTTGTGACTGCGGGCCGGCAAAATATATGACCGCTACCAACTTTGCTTTCTGTTATCTATCTACTCTCTGCGTAGACATCCGTCTGCTCACCTCTGCCAGTGACCTGCACCCCAGTCAGACAAGGGGGTCCCCAGAATGTTCTTGATATTAAGGATATTAGTAACACTTATTTACAAATGCAGAAGAAAGGTTCGGCCCAGCACCTGGGTTGGGATGCCAGCTGAACTCCGCATCCTAACTAAATCTGTGGTTTACAGACCCACACTACGAAATGAGGCAAGGTGCCATCTGTTAAAAATAGCAGAAACAGCAAAATGATGGCTTCCTTTTTCCGTGTCAGGTGTGAACTATCAGGGACCACACTTCCAGTTAAGCTGATTTATTGCTTTAGCTCAGGGGTGTCACACTCAATTTCATTGAGGGCCGCATCAGGGTTGAGTTTGACCTTGGGGAGTGGAGGGGGGCTGGGGGGGGCGTAGCCAGCTCGATGTCATTCATCAAGGCTCGGTTTCCTGGGCTCTGTTTTCGGCCATGACGGCCTCCTGCAGCCCTCTGCCAGCAAAAATGGAGCTCTGGGAGGCCACGCACAGCTTGCCTAAGCTCCATTTTCGGCCATGACGGCCTCCTGCAGCCCTCTGCCAGCGAAAATGGAGCTCTGGGAGGCCACACACAGCCTGCCTGGGCTCCATTTTCGGCCGTGATGGGCTCCTGCAGCCCTCTGCCAGTGAAAATGGAGCTCTGGGACGCCACACACAGCCTGCCTGGGCTCCATTTTCGGCCGTGACGGTCTCCTGCAGCCCTCTGCCAGTGAAAATGGAGCTCTGGAACGCCACACACAGCCTGCCTGGGCTCCATTTTTGGCCGTGATGGGCTCCTGCAGCCCTCTGCCAGCAAAAATGGAGCTCTGGGAGGCCACACACAGCCTGCCTGGGCTCCATTTTCGGCCATGACGGCCTCCTGCAGCCCTCTGCCAGTGAAAATGGAGCTCCAGAGGGCCGTGTGTGGCATTCCTAAGCTCCGTTTTCACTGGCAGAGGGTTGCAGGAGGCCGTTGCGGCCCAAAAGAAACTCGGGAGGGCTGAACATGGCCCTCCCGCGCTCCCTTTTCGCTGGCAAGAGGCACCATGGGCCAGTCGTTTGCTGTTCCCAGGGCAGGCCTGCGGGCCAGATCTAAGCACCCTGCGGACCGAATCCGGCCCCCGAGCCTTGAGTTTGACACCTCTGCTCTAGCTTATGCACAAGAATCTAGTCAACTAACGGTCAGCACTAAATTGCCACTAGATAAAGAGTTAATAGTGGAATTCAAGAAGGGTTGGCCCTACACCTCTTGTGAGAACATAAAAATTCCAAGCTAATACCTCTCTTGACTCCACCAGCTCTTCTCTTACACTCTATCCTGAATTAATTTTCTCAAGGAAACTGGAGATGGACAATAACATAAGAGATGAATAAGCTTCGTAATTCTTACCTTTATATCTCGATGGATCTTGCCTTGTTTGTGAAGATAAGACAAACCCTGGAAGGATGAAAGAATAAAGCTTAGATCCTGTTATCTTTGAAATATGCATAATATAACAACCTAATATACGGTTGCTAAAAAAGGTGATTGTTAAGTTAGCCACACCCTATTTTATGACCTTTCGTGCCATGGTTATTAAGCAGATTGCTGCCGTCATTAAGCAAATCACATGGTCGTTAAATGAGTCCAGCTTTCTATTTTTTTAATTCTTTCACGAAAAGAGAGTTATAAAAAAGCAGCTGCTTTGCACGTGGGATATTCCAGGTTCAGGCCAAAGCTAACACACTTCTGCCCTCGGGGAAAATAGCGTGGAAAAAAGGGGTGTCAACAGATTTCTACTCACTTGTAAGGTTTCCCGGCAGATATAGGCAATCTGTAGCTCCGACAAGGGCCCTGTGACTGAAAAACAAGAAGGAGACAGATACCACTTTGCATCCTGCAAGAATTTCGCTGCTCCTCCAGCGCGCGTGGGAAAATTTAGTTGCCGGAGAAATGGAGGAATGTCAATTCCAAAACAGGCTGGCTCAGATGAGTTTGCGGGTAGAGAAGAGGCGCTGTCTAACCCTAACCCTGGAGCTCTGAAATGAATTTTCGTGGTGCGTTTAAATAGTTTTGGTTTTTATTTGTAGAGGTTTAGATGGCCATTGTGTTGCCTGGGTGACTTTTAGTAAAACCATATCTCTAATTATAGAAATATAAATCTTCGACGTGGCTGCCCCTTGAAATGTACTTGCCCTCTTCTTGCCTATTTTTTTTCCTTCCTTCCTTCCTTCCTTCCTTCCTTCCTTCCTTCCTTCCTTCCTTCCTTCCTTCCTTCCCCTCTCCTTCCTTCCCTTTTCTTCCTTCCTTGCTTCCTACTTCTCCCTCTCTTTTCTTCCTTCTCATTCTTTTCTATCTTCCTTCCTTCTCCCTCTTCTTCCTCCCTCCCTCTCTTCCTTCCTTCCCTCTCTCCCCTCTTGAAGTGTACTTGCCATTTTCTTGTCATTTTTCTTCTTTCCTTTCCTCCCTCCCCTCCCTTTCTCTCTCTCCTTTCTCTCTCTCCTTTCTTTCTTTCTTTCTTTCTTTCTTCTTTCTTTCTTTCTTTCTTTCTTTTTCTTTTTTCTTTCTTTCTTTTTCCTTTCTTTCCTTCCTTCCTTCCTTCCTCTCTCTCTTTTATTTTTGAGTACAGTAAAGGCCAAAGGGAAAAAGAAAGGAAAGTAAAATAAAAATAACACTTTTTTAAAATAGGAAAAAAAACATTGGTGCTGGCACTGTCCTGTTGTGGGTCTCCATCAATCCAACTCTCCTTGTGCTTTGAAGACACTTCATCCTGCTTACATCACCGTAACCATCAAAGCAAGTTTTTTTTTAAAAAAAAGAAACTTGCCTAAATTAGTTATTTCCCTAAGATTCCACCTGTCTGTATTCTGTATAACAAGCAAACCTCGCGCCGCCCCCCCCCATCTCTGCCCTATGCTGGGATGCTGTGTTCCAGCTGACTTTTGATCTCCACCATCCGCCCCCCCCCCCTCCCAAGAGATGCAACTACAGAAGGGAGGAAGTGAAGAAGCGGCAAGAAAGCATTAAAAATGAAAACGAGAACGCAGTGTTGTGGTCAGCCTGTTATCATTCAGGTTGTTCTTGTGATGCTTCTCTGTCCCCACTCCGAAACCAGAAGGCGGGGAGACCGAGGCTTCCGTGCCCCACAACAAGGACGCTCCGGTTAGCCTTTGTTGAAATGCCCTCCTTGCTTGTTCCAACTGCAGCCCACCGCTCGCCTGGTCTCTTCACCCTTCTGTGAACGGAGCTTCCTGAAAACAGACGTTCTCCTGCTTCCTTCTGCCCTGAAGGATAGAATCAGGATGGTCAAAAGGATTTTATTTTTTTTTTCTAAACCAAACGCATATCAAACTTTGGAATTTGCTGCCTTGAGATGCCGTGCCGGTGATCCACTTGTCTCGCTTAAAAAGAGTTGGACCAATTCATGGAAGTCTTGGAGGTCAATGGCTCTTGGCCTTTGATGGTGGTGGAGCTGCTTCTGAAGACCACCTGGTGGGAGACGAGTAGGTTGGTTGGCTACTTCGCCAACAGGCTGCTCGACGAGATGGGCCAGTAGATCCTATCCAGCAGATCCCATGCTTACGTTCTTTCACGCTTTAACAGAGAGTTTGATGTTGGAGCTGGGATGACTTTGGCGGTAGATGGGATGGGTCTCTTGATGGTTCAGAGAACGTTTATGAAATCTCGAAAGCTCACAAGCGGATCACATTGGTGGCAACATCTCCAGGGTGTCTTTGGAGGGTTCTTCGGTGAAGAAGAGGACAAACACAGCTAGCCAGAAGACCTCTTAGACCAGTGTTTCTCAACCTTGGTAGCTTGAAGATGGGTGGACTTCAACTCCCAGAATCCCCCAGCCAGCAGCGCTGGCTGGGGGATTCTGGGAGTTGAAGTCCACCCATCTTCAAGCTACCAAGGTTGAGAAACACTGTCTTAGACTGACAGAAGATAACATTTGTAGCTCAAGGGTTGAACTGTGGAGTCCTTGGTGCTCTCTGAGTTTGGTGGCTTTCTCGCAGACGTTTCATTACCAAACTAGGTAACCTCATCAGTGCTGCTTCTTTAGAAGATCTGAAGATTGGGGAATTGTTTTGGAATGCTCTCCTACGCTAAGCGCACTCTTTAACTTGCAATTATATCGAATAAAAAGCAGACCAGGGAACCTCTCCTCGATACCATCCAGTGGCGGGATTCAGCCAGTTCGCACCCTTCGGGAAAACCGGTTGTTAACTTTCTGAGCAGTTTGGTGAACTGGTTGTTGGAAGAAATCATTAGGGCAGAGAACCGGTTGTTAAATTACTTGAATCCCACCACCGATCCCATCCCATTCAATTTCTTTCTTGCAGGTTTTTTCCTTCTGATTAGACTTAAGAGTATACGCTTGGGAACCTACCGCGCACGCAGTCATTCCTCCCGGCCAGTTAACAATTCTTCTTTCAAGCTGGCCGAAAAGCCAACGAAGCTTTGTGTTGGTCCAAGAAATAGGAGTGCCTAGCTTTGTGACTCCCTTGTGTCCTTTATGGTTTTCAGCTGTCTTGCTGTAAGCAGCAGAAGACGACTCTGAAGTGCGAAACAACGTAAGCAGACTGGAAAGGGGGAAGTTTGCAAGCTAACCTAAGCCAGCTGAACAATGCGGGGTCTCTTCCTTTGAAGCAGGTGCAACTGACATGCTAGAGAAAGCCGACGACCGCAGTTGGTTTCACTTCTGTTGCAAAAAAGGACTGCCTGATTATTCGGCTGCACTCCTTCCCCAAGGAGCTTGTGAACCTGGCGCCCAAAGTGACATACTTGATGTACTTAAATTTAGAATAAAACACTTTGGGAGATAAGAACAAAGGAAAGTTCTCTACACTGCAGGGGTGAAATCCAGTGACAGGTTCTGGAGAACCGGTAGCACAAATTTTGAGCAGTTCAGAGAACCGGTAGTGGAAAAATTGAGTAGTTTGGAGAACCTGAGTGGCGTAGGAGGCTAATGCCTCCTACTAAGGCAGCATTTAACATCCAGCTGCCTGCAATTACCGCGAGTTCAATTCTCCCCAGGCTCAAGGTCGGCTCAGCCTTCCATCCTTTCTAAGGTGGGTAAATTGAGGACCCGTTTGTGGGGGCAATAAGCTGACTTTGTATAAAATATACAAAAGTATGAAGGCTATTGCTTAACGCATTGTAAGCCGCCCTGAGTCTCCGGAGAAGGGCAGCATATAAATCAAATTAAAAAAAAAAACAAAAACCTGCAAATACCACCTTCTGGCTGGCCCCAGAGTGGGGTGGGAATGGAGATTTTGCAGTATCCTTCCCCTGCAGTGGGGAGGGAATGGGGATTTTGCAGTATCCTTCCTCTGCAGTGGGGAGGGAATGGGGATTTTGCAGTATCCTTCCCCTGGAGTGGGGTGGGAATGGGGATTTTACAGTATCCTTCCCCTGGAGTGGGGTGGGAATGGGGATTTTGCAGTATCCTTCCCCTGCAGTGGGGAGGGAATGGGGATTTTGCAGTATCCTTCCCCTGCAGTGGGGAGGGAATGGGGATTTTGCAGTATCCTTCCCCTGCAGTGGGGAGGGAATGGGGATTTGCAGTATCCTTCCCCTGCAGTGGGGAGGGAATGGGGATTTTGCAATATCCTTCCCCTGCCACGCCCACCAAGCCACACCATGCCGATGCAGCCATGCCCACAGAACCAGTAGTAAAAAAATGTGAATTCCACACTGTGGCAGCTCCTCAAATATTGGGTGACTGCTGTCATGTCACTCCTAGTTCTTCTCTTCATTAGATCAGACGTACCCAATTCTAGCAAGTGTTCTTCATATATTTTACTCTCCAGTCCCCTAATCATCTTTGCTGCTCTTCTCTGCACTCTTTCCAGGGTCTCGACATCTTTTTCGAGAACCAATCTAGAATTAAAGAGACAATTCCTGACAGGGAGAACAATTAATCAGTGGAACAGCTTGCCACCAGTTGTGAGTGCTCCAACACTGGAAGATTTTAAGAAGAGATTGGACAATCATTTGTCCAGAATGGTATAGGGTCTCCTGCCTTGAATAGGATGTTGGACTAGAACAGGGGTCTCCAACCTTGGCAACTTTACGACTTGTGGACTTCAACTCCCAGAATTCCTCAGCCAGAAATGCTGGCTGAGGAATTCTGGGAGTTGAAGTCCACAAGTCGTAAAGCTTTGCTGGCTGAGGAATTCTGGGAGTTGAAGTCCACAAGTCGTCGTCAGGTTGTCAAGGTTGGAGACCCCTGGAGTAGAAGACCTCCGAAGTCCCTTCCAGCCCTAGGATTCTATGATTCTCTTATAAACTCATCTTAGGAAGTGCAAATGAGATTTATCCTGTTTTTGTAGCAGCTACCTTGATAGATGTCCTGAAGGGAGCCTCCTGTGCAGAATTCCATGCAAATCCACAGCTTCTTAAACCTGAAGGAAGGAGAGAAAAGAGGGTTCGTGTGGAAGGAAGCCGACGAGAACGGGAGGAAGGAGGAAGAAGAATCGGGACCAGCTATCCAGATTTCCCTTGAGCACTTTCTAATCGTAGCAATAGCACTCTTAGACTTATATACCGCTTCACGGTGCTTCGCAGCCTTCTCCGAGCGGTTTACAGAATCAGCCTATTTGCCCCCAACAATCCGGGTCCTCGTTTTACCGACCTCAGAAAGACGGAAGACTGAGTCCAACCTTCAGCCCGGTGAGAATCGAACTGCTGGCGGTCGGCAGAATTAGCCTGCAATACTGCATTCTAGCCACTGCACCAGCACGCCTTTGTCGTACACCAGTTTTTGCATCTCACCCACCCAGCCTCTTTCTCAAGGCCGGGAAACGTTTACAAGAGGATCGGCCCATCTCCAGAAAAAGGATCGCTCACCGGATGTAACTCCCGTAGTAGGCCACGATGTTCGGATGTTTGCAGGTTTTCACCATCACGATCTCTTGTTGGATAGCAACGCAATCATCATCTGGGCAAAAAAAAGAAGAAGGAAAACAGGCATTTTAGGATTTAGGGTTTTAGGATAGAATGGAAACAGGCTTACCCTTCTAGCACTGATGATGTTATCTAGTTGGGTCATGAAATGTCTGCAGTGAAACAAGCAAGCTCAGAGAGCACAGGGACCCCTCATGTCGATCCCGAGCTACAAATATTCTCCTTTATTGAAACAACTGGATCTGAGCTTTCCAGATGCTGCAGGATTTCAACGGCCAACATCTCCACCACGTTGTTGTGTTACCGATAGTCCTCGACTTGCGATCCCAATCGAGCCCCAAATGCCCGTTGTCCAGCAAGGCAGTTGTTAAGTGAGCTTTGACCCATTTTACGACCTCTTTTTGCCCCAGTTGTTAAGGCAAATCACTGCAGCGGTGAAGCCAATAATGCAGGCGTTAAGCGAATCTGGCTTCCCACATTATCTTCGCTTGCCGGAAGCCAGCTGGGAAGGTTCCCCGTGGTTAGCTGGGGAATATAGGAGTTGAAGCCGCCAAGGTTGGGAAGCCCTGGCCTAATTGTTTTCCTCGCTCACCTGCTTCCATCTTTACAATTTTGATGGCAGACAGCTTCCCCGACTCCCTGTTCTTTGCCTGAGAGGAAGACAGCGACCCAAAAGTTAATAAAAAGTTGATTTATTTATTTTTATTTTTGAAGGCAGGGGCAGGAGGCAGATATTCTATTGAAACCGAGCCAATGGAACGACAAAAAGGTAAAAAGACCCACCTTGGCTCAGGAGCCGAGTTCTAATTCCGCATCTTACTCCATCTCGGCTGGTTTTGTCAGAACTCTGTTTCTACCATCAATTTTTTCCCCCCCTCTTCATCTTGGCTTTCTCAGACATTTCCCAGTTTGGAAGGGAAAGTGAGAAAGAGGAAGCCCTAGCTGAAAACGTTTTGTGTATTGCTGGCAGAGGATACAGCTGCTTGCCCTCAGCCAGCTAGTTTTTTTTGTTTTGTTTTTTTTGGGTTTTTTTTTTTGATATTATTATTATCTTCATCCACATTTTGTGTTGTTCAAGCAACATTTTTATGGTTTGTAGACAGCATTGGGAGTAATCGTAGCAATGCCAGCCTGAGAGATTGCTCAATCGCTCCTTCCTTGGAAAACAGAGCCGTGTGAAACCGGCTGAGGACAAAACAATATATATATTTTTTTTGCAAAAATAGAGCGGAGCAAATAAAGGATTTTAGCCCCTTGCTGGGCTAAACGGTTGAAGGAGGGGATCTTCAAGCATGGGCATTAATTCAGTTGTGAGGGGTGTGATTAATGGGGAGAAAACTTCCTTTTCTTGCAGAGATTATTTAAGAAGAAGGGGAAAAAAATACTGTGTAATTACGTACATCTGGCCAAACTGCGAAGCTTTGTTCGATTACAGGGGTATAAAAAACAACAAGTAAATAATAAAAAAAAGAAAGTTATAGTAGTAAACAGGAAACTTTATACTGGGCTGCCTGCCTCCCACAGCTTTGAGGAATCTTTACAGAGAAGCCTAAAATTGCAGCAATTAAACTGAACTTAATGGAGGATTGCACAATGCAAGGCTTCTTCCTTTGGCAGGCACAGGGATCAAAATAGTCTCTCTTTTGAATCAAGGACGATGCTATCCAGCCATGGGTCTCAAGCTTGGCATTTTTAAGATTGTGGACTTCAGTTCCCAGAATTCCCCCAGACTGCTGGGGAATTCTGGGAGTTGAAATCCACGCATCTTACAAGTTGCTAAGGTTGAGAGAAACACTGTTAAAACAGAAAGTCAAACTGATTCAGTTCCAAACGTCCCTCGGGGTATGGTAAATTAACATGCTTTTTACATAGCAACAGCTCACTTTTAAACGGATTCTGCTCTCTCCCAGCTTAATCGGTCGGATGATTGGAACTGGCTTAATGAACCCATCAGTATGAGCATTCAAATTAAATTAAATCAAATCTGATCAGAACTTGGGACATATTCTTACATTCCCTAAGGAGAGCCATACAGAGCCAAAATCCAGGGACTGCTTGCCCTTATGGCTATTTCCAATATATTTTTAGGAGGGAGGAAGGAAGGAAGGAAGGAAGGAAGGAAGGAAGGAAGGAAAAAGAGAAAGAAAGAGCAAAACAATCAGGAATAATGTAAGAGTGTTTGTTTCGACTACCAAATTTTATTCATTTTGCAGGCTTGTGCCTTTTGCTTAAATTAATTATTAGCCTTTAATAAAAAATAATTTAATGCAATTTGTGAGGGGGGCTACCAAACTCTTCTGCCTTTTAAACAAATTAGTTGCAGGGGAAAAAATTGCAAACAATTAGTCCCGGCTGGGATTTAGTCACTCCATCCCACATAAAGCCGATTAAATGATAGAATTCTCAGCCACAGATAGAGTCAGGGACCACTGATGGGACTCAAAAAAGGCCCACTCTTCTGTACTTTTATGCCTGCTTCTCCTTGAGGACTCCACCCAAAACAACTATAGTACATTTATTACTAAACCATCAGATTATCCTTCCGTTATGAGTTTTAACTAAGATACAACCAGGATTTTAATGCATTGCAAACAGCTGGAGATGCGTCTTTATTTATTAGACTAATAAGATGAGTTTCCCCCATATCATGTGGCCCAAAGTTCCACAGACTAACTTTTTTTTTTAAAAAAAAAATCCTTTGCACCATGCTTTTTCTTTGAAGCTTGATCTATATTTGTTGCGTCTGGAACGTGTCTGGAATGTCTGGAACAGAATCGTTTAAGCACCCCACAGCTGAAAAAAAGGTGCCCAAGCAGCACTCGAACCCAAACCTTGTGCAGGACAACTGAGGTTACCTTATAGACTTCCCCATAGGTCCCTCCGCCAACCCGCTGGAGAAGTTCAAAGTCCTCTTGAGGGTTTCTGGTGGAAATCTCTAGTCGAGCCGCTCTTTCTCGAACATCCATCGTTCAGGGTTTCCCCACTCCGTGTGCAGGCAGAGAGTATAAACTCTGCACGCGTGTAGGCGTCGTCCTCTGTGCTGTGGTCAGGATACGGGTGAACTTTTTCAGTCGGGTTCTGCTTCCTGATTTGCAGCATGATTAATGTGGGCGAGCAGATTTCGGGGGCCGAAGGATGAAAGGCCCTCTTCAGCTGATCCAGAACTGATCCAAGACCCTTCTTGACACTTTGGGTGCAGGTGGGGGTCTTTCCAACCTGCAGGTTGCCCCAAATCCCTCTCAAAATCCTTTTTTTTTTAAAAAAAACAGAAATACTGATTGGTGATCATTTGAGTTTCCTGCCACACCGAGGAGGAAATGAATAGGCAATGGGTGCTTAGAATGCTGTTGCCTCGAGATTTGATTCATTGGTTCCAACTTTGTGAACGTGTTGGGAAGGGTCCTCCAGGCCACAATAACAGAATCGCAGTTGGAAGGGACCTTGGAGGTCTTCTAGTCCAACCCCTGTTCAAGCAGGAGACTCTATACCAGTGTTTCTCAACCTTGGAAGCTTGAAGATGGGTGGACTTCAACTCCCAGAATCCCCCAGCCAGCAGCGCTGGCTGGGGGATTCTGGGAATTGAAGTCCACCCATCTTCAAGCTTCCAAGGTTGAGAAACACTGACTTAAGAGTTTGTAGTAGAGCCAGCAGCGCTGGCTGGGGGATTCTGGGAGTTGAAGTCCACCCATCTTCAAGCTTCCAAGGTTGAGAAACACTGCTCTATATCATTCCGGACAAATAGCTGTTCAATCTCTTCTTGAAAACCTCCAGTGTTGGAGTCTGGAGGTGAGATGAGCCTTTAATGCATTGTTCATTTCTTCCAGATGGTTATCCTGAGCTTGTCACTTCTTCTTTTTTTTTTTTCTTATTTTCTTCTTGTTTTAAAAATTATCTTGTGTCAAATTTCAGAAACAAATGTTAAAATACAAGCTAAAGTAAAGGAGGGAAAAGGGAGGAGAATAGCAAGTTAAAAAGTGACAAAAAGTACATTAAATATACCTTTAAAGTATCATTAACAAGTGGGGCTTCCAACTTTTTTCAGGTCAGAGATAAAATACAACTACGTCTATGTTTGAACGAATAATCCATATTTCAAATATCTTAAAATATTAATAAACAGCATTCCAAAAGGCAAAATTCACGTTACGTTTTGCCCTTCGTGATAATCTTAACACAGAATACATTGTCAAATGCAAATAACTGTGTAGTTGAAAAACCACTATATTTCTCAAGTCAGATCAGATCTAGTCCTCAAATCAAAAAGTCAAGCATTGATTCCTCCCTTAACATCTTAACAGGAGTTTATTTTTATTTTCTATATTGTTGCATTGATGTTTTTCACTCTGTTTGCTGCCAAGTTACTTCCTGCAAGGGGCAGGGGAACCATATACATTGAATAAATCAACAAGTATCCTAAAATGTTTACTGTAGAAAGCATATACCCCCTTCATCCTTCTCCTGCAAAGCATTCCCACTCACATGCAATATGCAACTTGGGGTCTTGAGGTCTTTTCCAAAAGTGATATGGGATCATAGAAAGATAATTTATTATTTATTTATTTATTAGTTTGATTTATATGCCGCCTTTCTCCGGAGACTCAGGGTGGCTTACAATGCGTTAAGCAATAGCCTTCATACTTTTGTATATACTTGCTTAGTAGGGCTTTTGGCCCCCCTAAGCGGTCTTCTTTTTTATACAAAGTCACCTTATTGCCCCCACAATCCGGGTCCTCATTTTACCTCCCTCGGAAGGATGGAAGGCTGAGTCAACCTTGAGCCTGGTGAGATTTGAACTTGCAGTAATTGCAGGCAGCTGGTGCTACTTAACAGTGCTTTAGTCTGCTGCGCCACCAAGTCTCTCAGGTGATGCTTGAAAACCTCGCATCAGCTCCGCCTCCCACCTGGGTTGCACCTTTCACAGGTAACACACGTGTGGTATTTCATTTATGAGATTTCTCCATCACCTCCAGCCGGTGGGTTCTCTTCTGCGCTTGACTGATGATCTCCTAGGCTGGGACCGTGGGCATCTCACGGGGGCAAATCTCTAGGCTTCTCTTAAGGCGTGTGGACCTCAACTCCCAGAATTCCCCAGCCTGCATGGGTGACTTGGGAATTCTGGGAGTTGAAGTCCACTCATCTTAAAAGTTGCCAAGTTAGGACATCCCTGTACTAAGAGCATGCTGAAGCCCCCAGCCCCATCCCGGATGCCCGTGCAACCACCGGTAGGGTCCGAAAGTTCTTGGAAGGTGGGGAGGTTGTAGCAGAGTCCGATAGGATAAGCTGCAGAGATGCCAGAATGGGAGTGGGGGCTCCCAGTCTGCTTTCCTCCTTGGTTGGCAACTGCCAGGGGGCATTGAGGTAGCCAATCAGAGAAGAAGTAGGTTGGGGAAATGCCTCCCCCCCTCCAATCTACAGCCCTCTCTGAATTTTTTTTTTTTTAATTTGATTTATATGCCGCCCTTCTCCGGAGACTCAGGGCGGCTTACAATGTGCTCAGCAATAGCCTTCATCCTTTTGTATATTTATACAAAGTCAGCTTATTGCCCCCACAACTGGGTTTAATTAATTTATTAATTGAGGCTTGGAAGTCATTCATAAGCTTTTGTGGTTATCACACACAGCTAGGATATATTTGGAGAGTTTATTTTCAAAAGAGGTGATGAAGAAAGCAAACCAAGTTCCTAGCCCTCATTGTCCAAAAAAAAAAAAAAAAAAGCACATGCTTTTTATAAGGAGGCGGGAAGTGGGCGTGACTACTTATAAGGCGGGGCGGGGTATAGGTGGGCTCTGTGCCAATGTTTTTCATCCTCAGCCGCTTTTTTTTTTTAAGACCAACGGACTTCAACTCCCACAATGCACTGGATTCGCTGGGCCCAAGCGAAGGAGCCTATTCTGTCCCAGCAGAGCCGGCTGAGGAATGCTGGGAGTTGAAGTCCCAACGCGTTTTAGAGCGGCTGAGGTGGAGAAAAACGCTTCTTCCTACGCGACTTCGGCACGCCCGGTCTTCACTGCGCACGCGCTCGCCGTGTGCCACACCCCACCCCACCCCAGCAGACCTCCGGCAAAGCCTAGAGCGGGAAACGGAAGTGGGCGTCTTTTTTTTTTCTCCCTAACCGGAAGTGACCTTCTCTTTGCTCCTTCCGCTTCCTTTCCGGCCTCCCCTTTCTTCGTCTCCTGCCTCCGCAGCCATGGCGGCCTTCGAGCAGATGCGGGCGAGCGTGGGGAAGCTGCTGAAGGGCATCGACAGGTACTTCCCGAAAGGGGTCCCGGAACCTGAAACCTTTGAGCCAGGAAGCTCTGTGAGAGGATGGCACTCTGCTCATGCTCAGGAACCCCACGTCTTCGCCGGGCAGGCAGCATTTCTGCGTCTCCCGCTTCTCCTTTTAGCTAAAAAAAAAAAGGGGGGGGCGGAAGGAATTCGCCTACTTCCCAATTTTAATAACCGTCATTAGATTTTTAAATCAAACTGAGGGTGAAATTCAATTTTTTGTTACTATTGGCTCTGTGGGCGTGGCTTGGTGGGCGTGGCATGCTTGGTGGGCGTGGCAGGGGGAGGGATACTGCAAAATCCCCATTCCCACCCCATTCTGGGGCCAGCCAGAGGTGGTGTTTGCTGGTTCTCCGAACTACTCAAGATTTCCGCCACTGGTTCTCCAGAACCTGCTGGATTTCTCCCCTGGTTCTGCCTTTCTCCACCGCTTGACTTGAGGCGGTGGGAATGGGGACCACCAGGAGATCCCTGGAGAGGTGGCGGGGGAGGAAAGAGCATTGGCGTGGGGGAGTTGCTCCCCCACCCCACTTGATCAAACAGACCCTGAGCTTCCTTTCTTGCATTCTTGCATCCAATGCATCGATCTTGCTCTCTTCCTTCCCTTCAATTCAATTCAAACCTTTATTGTCGGAATACAACATGTGTACTATGAGATTGGCTGAGCCTCCCTTCGTGCAGCCCCCCAACACAATACAATTCACAGTGAAAAACAAAAAAAACCCCAAATCCCTAGCCCAGTGAATCCTGCTAACAATCACCCAATTCTATTGCACCATGTGAACTTATTGCATGTCGCGCTGGCCCCGCAAGTCAATCGTACTATGTTGCTGTAGTAGTTATTTTTCATTCAGGAGCCTGACAGCCCACGGATAAAAACTGTTCTTCAGCCTGTTTGGGCGGCTGCCTATGCTTCCATATCTCCTTCCAGATGGTAGGAGGGTAAAGAAGGGCTGACCAGGGTGTGAGTCGTCCCTGAAGATTTTCCTCACTCTTCTAAGGCAGCGAGCCCTAGCGATCTCGTCTAGTGGTATCAGGGGGAAGCCCACGATGTTTTGTGCTGTGCTCACCACCCTCTATAATATTTTTCTATCCGCGGCTGTCAGGCCGGCATACCGCACCGTCAAGCACTGAGTGAGGACGCTTTCTATTGTGGACCGGTAAAAGGAAGTCATCAGTTGTTGTTCCACTTTATTATTATTATTTTTTTGCAAGACCCTAAGGAAGTGGACTCTCTCTTGGGCCTTTCTGGCCACCTGAGTCGTGTTGATTTTCCAGGTGAGATCTTCGCTGAGATAGACTCCCAGGAATTTAAAGGAGGAAACTCTCCACACAGCCCCCCTCGATGTAAAGTGGGGCATCTTTTTTTTTTTAATACAAAAGTTTTTTATTTTTATAATCAAACATACAAACAATACATAATCAATCATTGAATATATCATCTAATACATCTTTTATATCTTCTTCTTCTTACTTCTCTATTAATACATTTGCCTTTCTTTTTACTTTATTAAAAATCATAAAACAATTTTATCCCCAGTGGGGCATCTTTGTCAGTCTTAAATCAATTTTTAAAAAGCGTCCATGAAAAAGACCTAAAACAAGATGGATCGACTTGTATTGCGGGGCCAATTGTGGCAAAGGAGAGCTCGAGACTGCGTTGGTTGGAAACACGCAGAGGAGACCTCCTTCATCCTGCAGGGGATGGGCAACGGCTAGGATGATGAAAT